TACTGGCAGGATCAACCAGGTTGCTATCATTATTAATAACCGGTAAAGAAAAAAAGAGGAATATATTATAGCACTACAACAGTTGTGGAAAAGAAAAAAAATCCGAGGACTTTTTAGGCAACCACACCTTGGCACCACACTCCTCCTTTACCCATTACCAATTATCAACATTAAATTTCTAGTCTATTTTAACTTAAAAAACAATCAAACCAAGCGCTACCTTACATATATATATCCTTTTCACAACACATATTAAAAAAATACACACTGTAATCGCATATATATACACATCATCTCACCCGATTCAATTGTTTCATTAAAAAATAGAGAAATTTACAAGAATTTCCTTTATCCAGTTAAATAATAAATATTTATTTTTTAACTAGCAATTCAAGATAGTATTAGAACTACATTGAAAAACACCCCATAAAACCACAATACTATACAATCTACCCCAAAAAGGGAAGAAGAAAAAACAATAATGGTTACGAAGTATTCCAACTCAACACGCTCCCAAACACCATCATAACAAATCGCAAGAGGCCAATATATATTTTTCAACTACAAAAACAAGCAGATAAAAAACAGAGGCCGAACAAAAGTTATGACAATGTAGAGTCATGTATTAACCTGTACAAAAAGCTTTTTGGAAGCCATAATAATACAACGACCTCAAAAACAATGCGAGGCAACGGGAGCAATGATGCAACGAGCTGCCTACAAACACAAACGAGGGGTACTGGACGAAACGCGCCTTTTCAAATCAAAATAGACGCCATTCAAGCAGTACAAACTGTCAACGCTGCTTCACGTTTGATACTCTGATACCAGGTTGAGAACTAATAACCTAGGAAAAATATTTGGGTGCCTAAAGAAATAATTTTTTTTTAGATATAAAGTCATCCTTATTTTAAATTTCAAGTTATGTAATACATTAATTAAAACAAAAAACTAAACTTAGTCATTCCTACTACCTATTTCTAATAGTATACAATAATACTAGTTAAAAATTGAAGAAAATTTCATTTACTGTAAATACTTATTTTATTTCATTCCAGATGCAATATTTCTAGTTGTTCTCCGAATGTGTCTTAAAATACTGGTAATATCACTGATAATCGATCCGTCTGTTAAACATGCAGGTGGCATATAGTTTATAGTTTTATTTACGTCGATAACCGAGTTTATAATATTAATGCATTTATTCATGCTTTCAGAAATCTCGTTGAGTATTTGCATTACATCACTAGGTGTAAGAGCATCAGTAAACGGTTCAAAGCAATGAATGGTTTCTTTTATCCATAAGATTCTCAACTTTAAATCTAGAATAGAGTTGTTTTGAGAAAAGCTATTGCTTGTCTTAAATGATTCGATTAAACTGGGAAGAGTATCACTTAAAATTTTTGAAATTCCTAGTATTACTGGGTGGCTAATTGGAAGTGGGTCATCCAACCAAATACATGGGTCAAACTTATATGCAAGGTTCAAAACAAAGCACTCTCCATTGGAGATGTGCCTCTTATCTGATTGTGATAATGTAGATTGATCTGCAGAAATGGCAATAGCAAATGCACGATCATAATGTTTTTGCTTTAGGGCTTCTTCGATTTGTAGAGCTATACTTTGAGTACCCTTATTAATAATTGAATTATCCGGCGTAGGAGTTTTAAGTGTTATTCCACTATTTATCTGTGATTCCAAACGATTTACACTAGTTTGCAATTGAGTAACTGCGTTGGTTAAAGTCCCAAAAGAATCCGCAACTACCTGAGTAAAATCATCTATTGGGCTTGAGTTCATATTTTCGCATTGCTTGTTCAATTTAATGATTTTTTCACTAACATTCCTAGATTCTTTAGCAAGTCTCGAAATACAAGCATCCATATTTGCTAATTTATCACTTGTATTTGTGAAAAACTCTTTGACATTTGTTTCGATCTTAGAAATACTGTTAGTACTGACATAATTATTGTTAATAGACTTCTCAATTCCAGATAAATGAGACCTAATCGATTGAAAATCTCGTTCGATTGGTTTTAACAATCTGCCAATTGCTGAAGAAATTGAATCATTTATTTCTTTGGAGAAGCTAACTGATAATTTTTTAAATTCGTCTTTAATCACTTCAACTATTTGGTTATTTAAACTAGTGTCTATGTTGCCAATGTTACTTCTATTAATATTTTTAGATTGTGAGTTGTTCATCGTCTTTTTTTCTTCCATGTTTAGTGTGCTGAAAATTGAGGTGAGTAAATTTGATCTATCAGAAGTTAATTTACTTTGTGGGGTTTTATTGTATTGAAAATCGTTTTTCTCAACTTTTTGTGATGTGTTTGCCATTAAAACAGAATAATAGTCGTCAGCCATCTCATCCTTTAAATCAACAGTGTTTTTCTGATTTGATAAGCTAATTGCAAATACATCATTTGGAGTACTAATAGTTTCAGATGAGTGATGAATTTTATTTGTATCTAATTCCAGAACTGGTGGGATAGTGATAGATTCTAGACCTCCAAAAATATTTGAAACAAAAATCTCAATGGGCTGCTTGCATAGATTTTCACTAGATTTAGTTTTGCCTACATCGAGCCAGGTAACGTTCTTTGGTGGCCTGAAAGCAGCTGTTTCTAGCAGCCTGGAGGGAAAGAAAAACAAACTTTTTATGGGCAGCTCTTCTCCAACCGAACAAACTATTAATTGATTAAAAATTTGAATTGCGAAATATTCCCCCCAATTTGGTCCAATAATATGAGCATTATATTGGCTGTTTTTGTTCTCATCCATAATATGGACATTAATACTTTGCAAAAGTGTGGTATCAGCAAAGTTATTATTTGAATCTATTGGTAAGTTATAGATACGAACACTGTAAACGTCTTTTTCTACCGATAATAATGCAACTATCACATTGTTGTGGCTTACAGAAGAATCTCTGATCCTTATATTCGGATATACGGCAGTATCAAGCAATAATGAGTTTGAATCAATAATTTGCCTTGACATTAGTGATCTATAATATTCTCCAGGACTCAAATTTGAGGAAAAGGTGTCATAATAGCCATTCGAGGTAAATAAAATGATTAGGTCTCCAACGAAATGACAATTAGAAATTTTAATATCATCTGGGTAGTTAATTAACACACAGCCTGATAAATTAGAACTTGAAGTTTGGGTATTCTTGGACTTATTCGAGTTAGAACATTCTTGTAGAATATGGTATTCATAAGAAGAACGATTCCATAAACAAACTGAATATTTACTCCAAGCAACAAAACAGCGATCATCCAAAGGATTGAATACAACTGATTTCCAATGAGAATTACCTCTTACAAGTGTATTAACCGTATCTGATTGAATATTTACTATTGAAAGCTCTTTCCCTTTAATATAAACAATATTATTTGATACTTTAGAAAGCGAAAAATTTTCCATCCCAAGCCCTGATAATTTACTGCTGCATTTAGATCCATTGTTCAACTCTTCTTGGCTATTAATGCCGGAGTCTAACATGATTACTCTTGGAACATCAGAGAACATATGTACAACATATTCTCTATTACATTGTAATAAAGAAACCGCTTGAGATGTAGAGGCATTGTGAGATGATGGTATTTTAATATCTAAAGATGAACCGGAAACGTGGTACCATTGCCTTTTCGGTAACTCAATCAACTCCATTATTAATAATCTGCAATCAAATACACGAATAATTACTTTTTTCCGAATTCGCGCCGAGAAGTGTTTTCTCAAAATACTTAGAATATTTGCGAGGGAAAGTCAAAATATATACAATATTTCTAAAATTAAAATTCTATTATTTAACCTAGTTATATATGAACACTAATAAATCGAATCTGGCTTTTCTAGACTATCAATATTTCCTTTCATATAAAACAGTGTTTCCGGAAAACTGTCCATTTCGCCATTAACAATAGCATTAAAACCTTTAATTGTATCATTCAAATTGACAAAAACCCCAGGCTTTCCAGTAAAAGCCTCTGACATAAAGAACGGTTGGGTAAGAAACTTTTGGACTTTCCTCGCCCTAGAAATGATTAGTCTTTCTTCTTCAGAAAGTACATCTGTACCCTTAGTAGCAATTTTGTTCTGCAGTTGTTTATACTTTTGTAGAATGGAAAGAACTCTAGTGGAAGTTTTGTAGTGTTCTTCACCTATAATATTTTGGTCCAAAACCTTGGATCTACTTTCCAAGGGATCAATCGATGGGAATATACCAATTTCTGACATTTTTCTAGAAAGAACTATTGTAGAATCAAGGTGAGTAAACGCTGCAACTGGTGCAGGGTCATTAATATCGTCAGATGGAACATAAAGAGCTTGGATAGATGTTATAGAGCCATTCTTCGTAGTTGTGATCCTTTCCTGAAGTTTACCAAGATCTGTGGCCAAAGTAGGTTGATACCCAACTTCTGTAGGTAATAGCCCTAATAAAAGTTATTTAAGAAATTAGAAAGAAGCAACCCATCAGTCGGTAATTCCAGCTATTTTTCCAGTTGTTTCAGCATTGAAACTCAGATAAATATGGAAACTCTACATCACTTGGGAAATTATGTAAATTTAGACTTACCTAGAAGTGCAGAAACTTCACTTCCTGCCTGAGTAAAACGGTAAATATTATCTATAAAAAATAACACGTCTTGTAGCATTGAATCTCTAAAATATTCTGCCATAGTAAGACCTGTAAGTGCAACCCGCGCCCGCGCTCCAGGTGTTTCATTCATTTGACCATATACTAGCGCTGTCTTAGAACCCAGAAAGTCGTAAATAGGTTGTCTCTTGTGCTTACTGTCAACTCGAGATCCGATCACCGACTTTTTATTAACACCATTCGCTAGCATTTCGTTATACAAGTCATAACCCTCCCTTATACGTTCTCCAACACCCGTATAAACTGAGTATCCACCATATTTTTTTGCAATATTATTTATTAGCTCCATAATCAAAACTGTTTTGCCCACTCCCGCCCCACCAAATAGTCCTATTTTACCACCTTTAATGAATGGTGTGAGTAAATCTATTGCCTTGATTCCTGTAACGATTAGTGAAGGCTCCATAACCTGTTCCATATATTCAGGTGCTGCTCTATGGATCGGCCTTCTGATTTTAGTATTAATGTCTCCACATCCATCGATTGCATTCCCCATAACATTGACCATCCTACCTAACGTAGCTTCACCGACTGGAACACATATTGCACTTCCAGTATCTATAACTTTTTGTCCTCTAGAGAGTCCTTCTGTAACGTCCATTGCGATTGCTCTAACTGAATTATCGCTTAAATGCTGTGCAACCTCAAGGACTAATTTGTTTTGGTGTCCTTTAACTTCTAGAGCGTTTAATAGCTCCGGCAGTTTACCCTCGAATTTTACGTCAACAACTGAACCCATAATTTGTGATACATACCCCTCTGACAATTTTTCGTTTGTTTTGTTAAAAGACTTCCATCTTTTGTTTGAAAAATAGTATTCTAGATTTTGAATTGCTCTTTTCTGGAAATAGACTGAAAATAGTGGTAAAAAATTCCTTTTTGTTAATTTAGAAAATAAAAGAGATAGGTTTGATGTACTTCTCTGAACTCCAAACATATTACTATCCCACTTTTAACAATTTAAAACAATTGGAAAGTAATTTTAAGGCTTAAACATAAATTTTAGAATAAAACAGTTTTGATGAACGAGAATTGCAATCAAAATAGTTGCCAAGAAAGAATCTGAATCCGTTATTTAACTAATAATAATAAGTCTAAAGAGAGAAGACAAAGTACAAGGGTCTAATATCAGAAAAAATAAAAACATGGAGAAAATATCTTAAGGGACGAATAAAAAGTGGATATTCGTAATGACTAATATGAAAATATCAGGAAAATCGTATATATTAGATAATTTAAACAGAATGTAATTATTTTAAGTTATAATAGATTTAGGGCGGGTGTTTAACAAAAATCAAATTGCTGTGGGTGGGGGGAAACTTTATGCAGGAGTAATTTTCTATATATTTGAGTTAATTTAAGTTGTAACAGCAATGTCATCTGAGGAAGGTACCGATAATTGGTCTGCAGAGGAGGCTGTGGAGAGTGTAAAGAATCTAAGTGCCAGTGAAATACAATCGAGGATCCGACTTTTGGATGGTGAAATTCGATTAATGAAAAGCGAAAGTAACCGTCTAAAACACGAATTAAACCAGATGAATGAGAGGATCAGAAGTAACACTGAAAAAATAAAACTCAATAAGCAACTTCCTTATCTTGTTGCTAATATTGTTGAGTCATTGGACTTTTCAGATAAGCAAGAAAATGAAGGTGAAGGTATGGAATTTGATGGAGATAAAAATGATAAATGCATGGTAATAAAAACATCGTCAAGACAAACCGTATTTCTTCCCGTCATTGGGTTAGTTCCAGAGAATGAATTAAAACCAGGTGATCTCGTTGGGGTCAATAAAGATAGTTACTTGATTCTTGATAAATTACCACCAGAATATGATTCTAGAGTTAAAGCTATGGAAGTTGATGAAAGACCAATGGAGGAGTATTCTGATATTGGAGGATTAGATAAGCAAATCCAGGAATTAGTGGAGGCGGTCGTCTTGCCAATGACCCACAAGGAAAGATTTGAGAAAATTGGTATAAAACCTCCTAAGGGTGTATTAATGTATGGGCCCCCAGGCACTGGAAAAACTCTTTTGGCTCGTGCATGTGCAGCGCAAACTAAAGCAACATTTCTGAAACTAGCAGGCCCGCAACTCGTGCAAATGTTTATTGGTGATGGTGCAAAAATGGTGAGAGATGCGTTCGAGATTGCACGTGAAAAAGCTCCTTCAATAATTTTTATTGATGAGCTTGATGCAATTGGTATGAAGAGATTTGATAGTGAGCATAGTGGTGATAGGGAAGTACAAAGGACTATGCTTGAACTACTCAACCAATTAGACGGATTCAGCTCAGATGATAGAGTTAAAGTTATTGCTGCTACAAATAGGCCAGATACACTTGACCCAGCTCTCTTAAGATCTGGAAGGCTTGACCGTAAGGTCGAACTACCGCATCCAAATGAAGAGGCAAGATCCAGAATACTTCAAATTCATAGTAGAAAGATGAATGTTGACTTAAACGACGTCAATTTCCAAGAACTATCAAGATCAACAGATGATTTTAATGGTGCTCAGCTTAAAGCAGTTTGCGTTGAAGCAGGAATGACAGCACTCAGGAGAGGAGCAACAATACTTTGCCATGAAGATTATGTTGAAGGGATAGCAGCAGTACTAGCAAAGAAAAAATCCCCGCTTAGCTATTTTTCGTAAAGTACATGTGATTGTCAAAAAAAAAACTACTCGTTAGAATTCTAAAATATATATATATTTACATTATTAGCAATAATCTTTTTCTCTAGCCGAAATATCCTTAGTTTTACTTTCATCGAATGCGTCATCTCCAAAATATGGGTACTCTTCCCATTTGGGATGTTTATCAATAATTAGATGTCTCATTTCTTGTTCTAAGACCTCAAAAAATACGTGTTCAAAATGCTTGTCACCCCATTGAATCGGAATAATGTTGTTCTCCTTGTCTAACAACATCCATGTGGAGTTTTGGGGGGCAAGTCCAAGTAATAACTGGGTCCTGTAAGCTGTATTTCTTGACACCCCATTTAAGCAACTTTTCTGAAAGCTCGAAGGTGTAAGCTGTTCATTCGGGCACGAATGAACATCCGATTTCTGACTTCTTGAAGATTTTTGCTTTCTCTTGCGCGATTCCCACCATTTGCTTTTTATAGTTGAGTTATCAGAAGAAAAACCAGATTCAGAGTCTGAAAGCTCTGAATTCTCCGATAATTCGCAATCATCCAAAATATCTACCGTATTTGCATTCTGAACCTTTTTTGGTGATTCATTAAAAATTCTTGCCCTATTAGACGTGGATGAAGTTGTCGCTAAATCAATATGAATGTTCCCTAATCTATTTGATGAAATTAATGCAGTTGCATCAAATGCACGATAACAATGCTGAAGGCTACGTTGAATTAGTAATTCAATTGAAGAAGGGATTTCTAGGTCCTCTCTACAAAGAAAACTGGCAATTTGATATAGATTGAGATGCATTGATGATGCAAGTTTTAGCCATCTAACTGAAACTCTCATACTTCTTAAACATTCGCTTCTAATGAGCAACTTTCTTTTTAGCCTTTCTGCATCCGCATCTGGGTCCATATACTTTATAACTCTCAATTCCGATCGGCTAAATGGTATTTTTGAGTGTGGCCAGTCAAACCATACCCAATCAAATTGTGCAACGTCTAAAACATCAGGTAAACAGAGCCCATGATCTATTGGAATTAGCTTATACTTAGTTTTTTTACCATCAGGAGTGCTTAGTGGATGTTCATATGGTGAAATTACTGGGCTTGGATTGTTTGAATTAATAATATTAAACTTTATTGAATAGTTAGACTGGTTTGCAACAACAAGAATGTTGCTATCATTTCTATCTAAATTAAAAAGACAAATATCCAAAATTCCAATACGGTGTACATCTCTAATACAAAATACAGATGGATTAAAATTACCGACAGTTTCAGTAGTCGCAATAAATTCCTGAAATGCTCCTAATTTCCAATCAACAGTGATTTCATTCTTTACCTTAGTATTATCTTTTTCAAAAATATCACCCCATTCAAGAGTAATTTTATTCCAACCATCATAATTAAAAGCTTGATGGCATGCTTCAAGCAATGTAGTGTCGGGTACACCTGCAAAATTATGGTAATATGCGTCCCAAATTGCGGTTGCAACCTCTCTACTAGCTCCCTCACCTGATAAAACCCCTGATCTAAAGCCCTGCTGTCCCAATTTGCCTTGATAACCCCTTGGATTATTTGGAGAGAATGCTTCCTCATCTAGTGGCTTAAACATCGCAACAACTTGACCTTTTGCATTATACATTCTATATGTAGCACCGGTTCCATCTAACGTAAGTTTAGGATGTACGTTTCTCTGCATTGCAAGTTTAACTTCGACAACAAGTTTTTGAATTTTACTAGACCATTTAAGCCCAGTACTTCTAATTCCAAAATCTGATTTGTTCATTCTAAGAGAATAATGTAATGGATGTCTTTGTTTTTCAAATGTATGCATAAACCTGCCATTTGGAATTTCAACTCCTCTATAAAAAAGTTGAACATCACGAATAGTAGTACCTTCTGGAAGATCTAGATACTTAATTAATAACCTTTTAACCATTTGGCAATCATAGAATGGGTATATTGACAAAAGTACGCGTTTTGTCCCATCCAATTCGTCAATATACAAAACAAATTTTTGAATTTCATTTTCTCCTGCACGTAAAGCATTATGAGTCGAAAAATAGACTTGTTGAGCAACAGGAAAGTTGTTAATTTGATTCATTTACAACAAACATGACAACACTATTCTTCGTTTAATTTTTTTCATTCTATAAAAATGACCCGTCTAAAAATATAGCCGCTTCATAAATAATTAATTAAAGCCAAATTTCAGGGAAAAAAAATTTATCAATGCTTAATAACCTGACATTACTCCCATCAATTGGATCTAAATATGAACCTACAACCTGAAAATTATAATTAAATTGATTGAGATTATCATTTTTTTATACCCTAATGAATTATTGGTAAACTTAAACTTACGTGTAACATTCCATCTTCTACTGCCTTAGAAATCATTAAATTATAGTCTTTCACTGTTGGCTCTTCACCTCTTTTTAATAAGTCTACTGTCTGATTTTTAGTGAATAATGCTCATAGTATATATTTATAACTTACCCCTTCAGTTTTATTTGTTATAAACCAGTTAATAAGTGAGATATCACTTTGTGGTTGTTTCCATTCAATTTCAAGCTTTTTAAGCTGGTTGCAAATTTGAATACAAAAATTCAAGTAAATTTTCCACGGTATGGATTTTTTCTATATTAAAAATATTAGAAAAGCTATTAGTGTGTTGAAAGAACATATGTAAATCTCCTTACCTTCATGGTTTTAGCGAATTTAAGAGAAATGTTAAAATTACGCTAAAATCGGAATATAAAGTGTGGGTGGGGGATTTGCCATGTAAAATGATATTTAATTAGCGCAATTAAATAATGAAAACATGGTTATAAAACAAATCATATTTATTCAAAAATAAAGAATAGACTATTTAGATTGAAAAGTTAACTATATAGTTGTTTATTCATTATATGGGTGTTATTCAGGTACTGATATAAAAAAATTGAGCAAAAGATAGTGTTTGAAAATAATTACTACAAAACTTCTATTTGATTCATACTGAACTATTTCTTTTTTGAAACTTTTTGTTAATTTCACTTATTATATTGATTAACTTATCTTTAATTCCAATTTTCTCCTTGTGAGTTTTAGATAAATCAGGGTACGAGCATTGAGTGACGAAGTGAATAATGTAGTCCCCATGAGTGTTTTTCCCAAAAATAGGTGGCCCTTTACCTTTTATTATATATGGAATCCTTGGATCGGTTTTGGGTGGTATTTTAACTCGCATGCTTGTATCTTTAATTAAACCAGGTACATTAATTTCCCCACCAAAGATGCAAGTATTAATTGATATTGGAATACTTATATGAATATCGTCCTTTATCCATTTAAGTTTTGAATGCGGCTTAACATAAACTTTAATAAATAAATCGCCATAATTACCCAGGGCATAGTTACCTTCTGAACTCAGTTTTAATTGCCTCCCGTTTCTCGTTCCTCTCGGAATTCTTAGTGAAACGCTTTTATCTTTAATAATACTACCATTACCATTACAATTTAGACAAAGCATTAAATTTGAATATCCACTCCCACTGCATTTCATGCATAATGTCTTTATTAAAAACGGACCATTTTGATAAACATTTATCCCAGAACCACCACAATTTGGGCATTTAGTTGCGCTTGGTCTTTTAATAATCCCAACGCCATTACATACATCACATTTGCAAGTAGAATGAGTTTTAATAGTCTTATTTGTTCCATTTATAGCGTCAAAAATGTTTATGGTTACCTTTAAATGTATATTTTTTGTCAAATTCTGCCTTTCCTTCCGAAAAAAATCTTCAAACCCAAAGAGATTGTCGAAAAGTAAGGAACTTGTAAATATCTTGTCTATATTTGGCATCGTCCAAGGTCTATCTTCAAACCAGTTATATGAATGCTTGTTCTTTTTATTTTTATAAATATTGTATGCTTGACCAGCTGGCTCTGTTCTAGAATGATCAAAGTGACCTCTCTTTGATGGATCTGAAAGTGTTTCATATGCACTAAAAATAGATATTTAAACAATTTATTGAACTTAATATGACTTACCTTACTATTCTTGCCATTTTATTTTTAGCTTCATCTGATGGATTTAAATCTGGATGATATTTTTTTGCCAACTCCCTAAATTTTAGCTTAATTTCTTCATCAGATGCATTTCTTGAAACTCCTAAAACTTTATATGGATCGCTATTATATGTAATACTTCTAAATAATAATTTGTTTGGCAAGTTGAAAAGAGCACCGTAAAATAGGCATTTACCACTAAAAGATGTGTTTAATTGTTGAAATAAAGATCTGGAGAGAATTTGCCCAAATTTAAAGGACCTTGAACAAATTTCTCTCATTTCACCTTAACTAACTTCCATCTGAATTGAGTGTTGGAGTAAATTATAGGATAAATAAAGTAGTATATTAAGAATTTCCATTAATTATAAAAAAATAATGCGTAATTCAATAACATTAATAGGACGGTGCAAAAATCCTCACAAATGTTATCGGTTGAAAACAGAATAACCTGATCAGAATTAAGGTTTAAAATTTAACTATGACAGAAATGGCGGGACACGACACCGCATTGTAATTTTTGACGAATCGCTCCTCTAACTTTTTTTGTTTTTTTCACCAAAATGAGTAAGGAATCGCAAAATGAAAATTCTTCTTTAATAAAAGGAACCGGGCAAAAAACTCCATATGGTATTAACCGTTATTTACTTTTAATAATTTACTGCATTTTTTGTGGTCTGACAACTTCGGCAATTCAACAAAGTATTTGCATTAAATTCATTATGAATAAGCTGGGCGCATATGAATGGGCCTGTGACGGTGCTCAAACGGAAATTTTGCCAACTGGAGCTAAATGCAAGGCACAAGATAACTATATTACAACTTGCTGGACGGCAGGTATTATGGCACCTAACATTATCCTTTCAGTATTGGGAGGTGGAAAGTTATTTGATAATTTGGGCCCTAAGTTAACAGGTTATATAGGACAATTAATGTTTATGTTTGGGCTTTTAATTTTTTGTATTAGTAACCAGAGCTTTCCATTATACCCACTTGGATTTATATTAATTGGTTTACCTCAAGGCCCAATTTTTAACAGTGTTGTGTCTATAAGCAACTTGTTTCCAAGCCATTGCAATAAAATAATTTCTATCTTAAGTACAATGGGTGATGTTTCGGCGTTTGTTTTCTATTTTATTTATCACTTTCACGAATTTTCTGGAATTAGTATTAGAAAAATTTTGGTTTTTTATTCAATATTTGTCTGTGGAACTTTGTCATTAGTTGCATTATTCCTGATTCCCAATATTTCTTATGAAAAATTCCAGAGCACAGATTCAACTGAGGAAGAAGATTCCAATTCAGAGCTTACATATAACACTACTTATTCTTCAGAGTCGGTTTCACTTCATAATGCTTCGTTAATGGATCAACTCAAATCCTCATTTTTCATTCTTTTACTTCCATACTTTACCCTTACAGTCTTTCGATCAGATTCAATCAAGGCCTGCCTAGATTCATTCTTACAGAGTGCAAGTAATACCGATATTGATCTTATAAGAAGCCAAATGTCCGTATTTTCTACTTTACAATGTTTCTCATTCTTATTCTCTTTAATGAATGGATTTATCATGGACAAAATTGGAGTTTCTAAAGGAATGCTTCTTCAAAATTCGTTAGGAATTATTGTATCAGCCCTTTTCCTATTTAACGCATCTCATATAGTGAGGATTGTGTCGTTCTTCATTTTCTTTTCCTATGCCAGCTGTATTTATTCAACTGCATACTGCTATTTGGTTGAATGTTTTGGATTCTCAAATATTAATTTTTTGATGGCATTGACAACTGCGCCTGTTGGATTCATTTACATTGTTATTCCAATCATGTATAGTAAATTAAACCCATCAAATTTCTTCTATTTCCATCTATTTTATGTGATTTCATCACTTATAATGTACATAACTCCAATTAATCTATTAATGAGTAACCTATACAAAACGCAGAAGCTTAATTCAAATGACGAGCTATCTTCTATACAGGTTGATGAACCAAAAACAGTTGAATAATATCAGAACCACTGATTAGATAATTACTTATAGAGTAGGTTTCAAAAATTAGTTTAATTAGAAAAAAAAGAACTAACTAAATCTACTTTCTCTGAATTTGATACAAAAGGTTTAGAACATCGAATACTGAGCTATAGAATTGTCTCTACTGTTTCTAAATATATATATTAATTAATTAGAAATTTTTGTTAATTAAAATGTTTTTTCAGAAAAATTGGCACAAACCTATTATTTCCAAAAAAAGTGCATTAACCTTAAAAAAAAAAAAATGTCTGACCCTTGACGAATTACCGCCTAAATGGACAAGACTCTTAATTGACATGTTAAATATAATAAATATTAATTTTTATAGGTTTTAATAAAATTCAGAATTTGTTTTATAGTGAATAATTTTTGTGAAGTACAGAGCTTCTGTATTCATAAAGTTAATAATGTCGGAAAGAGAGCAAAATGGAGATGAATGCACAAAATATGAAGGAGCTAGCGTGGTACCTGTGTTACATAATGTGACGGAAGAATGCAATTTCAAATCTGAAAAAAAGGAAATTGTACTTGGAGCTGAAGGAACTGAACCAGATTCAAAAAGTTGTTGTGATTCTGACGAATATCTTGAAGGGCACATTTATGCAGCTATGTGTACAAAGTGTGCAGGGGAACTGCAACAAAAATTGAATCCAACAGAACCATATCGTGATCCAAAAAAAATTAGCGGGAAGGAACAGATTTCTCGTGGATTAATTATTGAAAGCAAATCATTTGTGGATGCAAATAAGAACATTAAATTTGCAAAGAAAAACGAAAAGAACTATTATGCAGGTCTTTGCTCAAGTCCAGAAGTAACCACTCCAAATAGTGAACATGAAAGTTCTGGAGATCCAAACGCTAAAGGCACAGATAGTAAAAAAGTTTCTCACGGACTTTTTGACAGGACGTGTTTAATTCAAGAGCACGCTCTCGTTAACAAGAATATTAATGACTTCTATGAACTAAACTTAGGGAATTTGGGGAGAGGTTCTTATGGATCAGTCGTTAAGGCTATCGATAAACAATCAGGTGCTCAGAGAGCAGTAAAAATAATACTTAAGCCAAAGCTTGAGAATATTAATCGCTTAAAAAGAGAAATTTTGATAATGAAAAGGTTGGATCATCCAAATATTATCAAACTTTTTGAGGTATTTGAAGATACAAATTATCTTTATTTTGTAATGGAAATATGTACAGGAGGAGAATTATTTGATAGAATAATTAAACGAGGACACTTTTCTGAAAGGTATGCTGCTGTGATCATGAGGCAAGTCTTTAGTGCAATTGCATATTGCCACTCAAATGAGTTTATGCATAGAGATTTGAAGCCAGAAAATTTGTTATTTTCTGATTCTTCTCCAAACTCACTGCTGAAGGTAATCGATTGGGGTTTTGCTGCTAAGTGCCCAAAGACACATAAGTTTACTTCAGTTGTGGGAACTCCCTATTATGTTGCTCCAGAAGTGTTGTATGGTAGCTACAGCAAGTTGTGTGATTTATGGAGCGCAGGAGTCATCTTATATATTTTGCTATGCGGATATCCACCATTTCATGGAAAAGATAATGTTGAAATTTTAAGAAAGGTGAAAATTGGTCAGTATTCATTAGAACACAACATTTGGAAGTATGTCTCAGATTCTGCAAAGGATTTGATTAAGAGGCTATTGATGACTGATCCAAGTAAAAGAATTAGTGCACAAGACGCTTTAAATCATCCATGGATCAAGTCACTTATTTCTTCTCCAAATAACGCTGATGCTAGCTATTTTACGAATGATGTCTGTAGCTCATTACTTGCAAGATTTAGAGACTTTCAGAGACAGAGTAAATTAAAGAAGTTGGCTCTTACATGTGTCGCATACCATCTTAACGATACAGATATAGGGGCTTTACAAAAATTGTTTTCTACGCTAGATAGAAATGGAGATGGAGTTTTAACAATAAGTGAAATTAGAAGTGCATTACACAAAATTCAAAATGTATCTCAATTGGGAGACGATATCGATAACTTATTAATGGAACTGGACACTGATGGGAATGGAAGAATTGATTATACTGAGTTTATTGCTGCATCCATTGATCATAAACTTTATGAACAAGAATCGCTATGCAAGGCAGCATTCAAAGTGTTTGATCTTGATATGGATGGTCGGATATCTCCTCAAGAGCTTAGCCGTGTTCTTAATATTACATTTCTTCAAGAAGCCTTTGAGCAATCTACGATAGACTCCCTATTAAAAGAAGTAGATATTAATCAAGACGGATATATTGACTTTAATGAGTTTATGAAGATGATGATGGGAGATAAGCACGAAAAAAAACCAGAACCTAAAGTTCAAAAAGTTGAAGATGAGGAAAGCGGTAATAAAAAGCTTTCAAAAAATGGAATAATTTCAGATATAATCAGTGCTACCAACATTTTTAAGAAGTTAAATAGTTAAATATTGTGTTTTCAAATATTATGTTTTTTTCACTAGTAGGGATTTTAGGGAGAAATTTTCACTGTCCTGTTCTTAAAATTATTAGAATATTTGGATCTATTAATTCATTAATTGCGGTAATCGCAAATAATGTTGGCTGGTTATTGGGCGCCAATTCTGGCTAATTTTTACATGATTCCTCACAAAATATGAATTTAGGAACAAATTAACTAATTCTTTCATCTTAATTACTGGGCAAATCTTGCTGTTAAAATGAATAATTTACCTTTTAGTAATTATGTTACAGCACTTTTGCTTTTATATAGCTGTTTCATTGCATTTAATTATGCAAGTTGTGAATTATTTATAATCGGTAACAAAGCTACAAACCAGACGAATGATTCATGGTTTAATCTGGACTTATTGAGAGAGTTTCTGATGGATGAAAACGTAACTTCAAGTTCAGCGGATGTTTTTGAGGGCTTTAAAAGGATGATTAAAGTTTCTCCTCCAGCTCCTCAGACTAAATCGAGTTCATGGATACCACAAAATGTTAAGGACGTAATATCAAGGATTAATTCAAATTCAAAAAAGGAGGAGGTTAAATCTAAACCAATATTAAAGAGAAAGTTTGAAGATTTAAAACACTATCTTGAGTATCATCTTTACCCAACTAGAAATGCTCAGAACAAAACGAATTCAGAGGAGAAAGGTTGGAATTTGCCTTCACTCGGATTTGTAGGAAAGAATTCAACAAATGAACAAAATAACAGAAAAATAATTGTCCAAGGTTCAGAGAGTTTGGTTAAAGAACAAGTATTAACTGACAAAAAGACAGAAGAAAATATTCAAAGTTCAAGTAATTTGAAAGAAAGTGTTAATCAAAACACTCAAGCAAATCCATTACCTGTAATAACAGTAGAACAGTGTGAAAAGAATGTAATTAATATGTTTAAGGAATGTATTGAGCGATGCAAGAGCAATCTTAAGCAAGCTCAATACAGGTCTGGCGGTATTTCTCCACTTATCATTTCAGAACTAAATGCATGTATTAACACATGTAGGCATTCTGCAAATTCTTCAAATTGCAGGTTATCAACTAGCTCTATTAACTTAATCAACGAAGAAATCCCAATCCCAAAGCCTACAATAAGAAGAAACCAAAAAAATCAGGAGAGAAGCCGTGGGTTATTAAATAAATACATAATTGATCCTATTGTTAATTTTATCACAACATTCCTATTTTGTATACTAGGAATTATTGTGGTTCTTTACTATTTCAAAGAATATAGGCTTTATCCAAAAATGGCTGATTACATCACCTACAAAATTGAGTCTTACTACACTGAGGATGAAAAAAGAAGAGCAATATTTGAAGGTGATGGTTTCCCTCAACAACCAAAGCTAAATTGGAAACGAACAATTGTCTACTTTGTTAGACTAAACTTCCTCCCAAGAATTTTAGCTAATAACTTTACTTGGTTAATACCTATGAGAGATCATTATCAACAAACAACTGATACTTGTAACTATGTTAGGGTACATTAGAATTTTAAAACATTACATTAAAAAAATATAATTTAGATAAATCTTTTAGTAATTTCTTTTATAATTAACCAGGAAAATACGTCAGTCTGATTCCAAGTCATAAGATGAGTCATCTGAAATCTCAGATGATGAATCAAGGTGGTCTAAGCCTACCTGGTCTTGCTTTAGATGCTCTAATGCAGCTTTGTAGTCATCGTGAGAAATTACAGGTTCAAAATCTTCAATTATTTTCCAAAGTATAAAAAATCCTAAATCCCTGCTTTTCCAATAATTAAAATGTGACTGCAGAAATGCCAAAGATGAAATATAATGTTCGGTAGTTCCTTCTTGAAGCTGGTAGTCTACTCTTATTGGTATTCCAGGTACCTCATTGGTTTTCAATAGAGAGAAGTTGACTGATTCGCTTTCTTTCCCTTCAGAATAGCTATGCGTTTTTAACTGACCTTTTGATGAACTTGAAAAATTTATACCAGAAAACCCAGCTATCTTACTACCTGCAGAAAACTTTGTCTTAAATTTGGAAATTACAGATTCATCCCTTAACTGTTTAATTTTCTGATCTCTTGGCACAAGATTTACTTCCAGTGTTGATTTATATTCATTCACTCCACCCCAACCTAAAATTCCCCCAAGTACAGCATTAGAAATCGAAGAAGTTATTCCACTAATACTATCATATAAAGCCCTCCTTGCATTCTCCATCTCCTTATCCCACTGATGGTAAGTTCTTTTTGAAAGGTTGCGCCAATATGGAAGAAGAACAGGGTCAGGGAGCGAAACCAAATTTGGGTATAACAACGGTTCAAGTCTGAATGCAACAGGGTCATAGGGGTGGAAGACGTTGTAGACCTTTAATTCAGGGCATTTGTTCAGAATAAAATTGCCCCCACTAAAACTTTCATTCGGCTGAATTGGTGCAAGTCCTTTAGGAAGAGTCAGACCAGAGCGTAGATACTCAGGAAACATCATAACAAGCATTGCTGGTAATGGAGAACCCCATAGAAACAGGTGATCCACATCAAAATCAAGCTTTGGGATTTCCGACTTAGTAATCCTGGTTTGTTGTCTTGAAACAAGTTCATATACAATTACACTTCCCAAAGAGTGTCCAATCAAAACAATTTTTGGTTTTCCAGATATTTTTGACTTATAATGTTTGATTTTCTGATTTAATTGTTTTGCAACCTCAGCAATAATGTAGTCGCCATATCTTGGAACCATGAAGTACATTACATCGCCAATTGTCTTATTTAAAAGCATTCTGTTTTCCCTATGTTGTGGAAGAGTAATTCTGTCGAACATATGATCCTGTACAGAGGCTAACTTGCTCTTCCAATCTACTGCATCTACCGTAATATCAATATCCACCTCCCAAAACCAGTGTGCCTTCACAGATTCCAATTGGTGAACAAACTCATCCTTATTTTTATTAATGGCAGACTCGTTGCTTCCAATTCCATGTACTATCAGCATAATATGAGGCGGCTGTTTTGATTTCCTAGGGGAAAATGGGCCGTATCCATCAATAATAGGCAGTTTTTTCTCTGATAATGGCGACAACTGTTCTGATAAGTAATTATCGCTTGAGAACGTTTCTTTATGTGAATTTAAAGGACTAAAAGTTTCATCTTTTTGGAATCTGGCATTAATACCAGAAGGACTATCATTTTGGATTGAATCAGAGTTTTCTGTAAAACTCCCTTTAGCAGCACTATTGAATCTTATCTTCTTTTTCTTTCTTCGGCTTACTACAAATCGATTTACTTTACTTCTAGCTTTTGGTTCACCAACTTCTTTGTTTGAATATAAATTGTGATCATCTCTTTTTACACTGTCCTCATTAGTAATTAAGCTATTTACTACCGAAAAGTCTTTATTAAATCCTTTTTTTTTACAAATGCTTTTCTGAATTGAATATTTATCAGTTACTAGGTCTCTACAACCTGTTACAAAAGGTTTCCGCTCATTTTCTGGGATATCCGAAAATAAATTATCAAAATCTTCAACAAATTTCTCTGAGTTTTGATTATATTGACAGTATGTCTGAACCAATGTATCAGGCTCGATAAAATCTTGAATTGTAAAATTAATGGATATTTTTTTGTCATGTGGGCTTTTAAATTTTGTGGGCATGTTATCAAAGTGAATAACTTTAATATTAGGCAAAAACACAAATATTACATAATAAAATATAACTGAGCTTTATTTTTAACTATCTATATTTTTATATATCACATTTTTTTTTCTTTAAATTGGAATTTTAAATGTTTTTTATTCTTTTATAGCGGCAAGTTATTTAATTTACAATTGGTGGGGGTGTGAGTCTAGTAATGACTGTATTTATTAGCATGTAAATGTTTTAGTAATTTATTTAAAATCAAAATAAATTCATGAAAATCCTGGCAATAAAGAAGAATAAATGAGTATTTATCTCTAAGTATCAAAACATCATTAGTTCTTGTTTCATGGCAATTACATAACTATTGTGTTTTTTCAAATATAAAGACTTTTTGATAAAATGAGAACTTTAGTGGATAAATTTAAGCATGAATATAAAACTTTACTGAAAAAAGTGCTATACAATAGATTTACATTTATCATTTTTGGAATCCTTACAATAACTTCAATGATTATTAATGAAGTTAGATTTTTGTTCAGAGAATCTACTGTAGATTGGATTTTTTTTTCAACACTAATATTTCTAACAATAGCTAGAGGAATTGAAATACTAATTCTCTTTTCTTTCAAAAAAAACTACCTCTCAATATTTTTTTTTGATTTGGTTGCATATATATTTCTTATTTTATCAACAGTTTTTTTTGATTCGAGTGAACATTCAACATGTGATACTGATAACCAAAACTTCGACGATCTTCAAATATTTTCACAAGTCAAAGGTTACGGATTTAACTTTCAACTAAATTTGGTAAACTCAACATTACAGTGTTCAAGGTTTATTTTATTATTAATAAGTAGTGACTTTTTTACTTTATTTTCAAAACGCATGAAAAAAACATCTATTGTCCATACAGAAAAGACATACCGTGAAAACCCAAAAGAAGATTTATCAAAGAATGAAATAGATTCTGATAAATATTTGAATGAGAATAAGATAGCCCTTTCACAATTATTGGGTCTTAGATTTGCCATCGTTTTACTATTAAGTGTATTGCTATATCCTTTGTTAAGCTCATCCGTTTGGATTCAAATAAATAGTTCGGCATTTTTAAATGTTAAAACTCTAAGTCAACTATCCTTATTAAGAAATCAGTACCCAGGGGATGAATCATGGCCAATTGCATATATGCTAGAGCTTTCTAATTTTGTATACACAAATAGTATTGGAAATTCATGTAAATGGATGAAACTAGTAGCTATTCAATCACCATTTACTTTAAACAATAACCCAACATGCAACGGCTGTCCAAAATCTAATTTGGAAATTATGACAGATGCTATGTCAATTATATCTAATTCCGAATTCCCATCTTGGTTTGTCGGAGTATTGACATTACCCACTTTAAAAGAAGGGATTTCATTAATTCCAATCAAAGATTATAGAAAAATTCGCAAGCAATCTCTTAGGCAGTATGTGAGTCAAGTATGCATGAGATCAGGTATTGATGCAATTTCTAATTTTTATAGTTCTTGTCCTGAAGATCTTAAAGCCAAGATAACCATGGTGTTCGACACCAGCGCAATGCTTCAATTAGGAGCAGGGTTAAGTATTGGAATATCATTATTAACTCTAATCATATTAACCATATTAATGTTTTTGGTATACAATGTATTAGAAAAACACATTTTTAGTAGCATAAAGCGAATAAACAACACACTTATTGCAATTGCAAATAATCCATTATTGGCAATAAAAATATCCAATAAAGTTTGTAATGAAGGCAGTCATGAAAAGGCAACTGTGGGGAAATTTTCAAATCAAATGCTGGAGGAAACTTTCTCAAAGCTGGGAACATTGCTTGCAGTGGGACTTGGATCGGCAGGTGCTAACATTATTATGCATAATTTGAAAGATGATAAGGTAGTTGTAAAATTACCTGGAAGAAAAATAATGGGTATTTATGGATTTTGTGATATTCGAAACTTTACGGATGCAACAGAAATACTTGGAGAAGATGTTATGGTATTTGTAAATCAAATTGCTGAAATCACTCATGGAGTAGTTTGTAACTATGGAGGGTCTGCAAATAAAAATGTTGGTGATGCATTTTTGTTTGTATGGAAGCCTGAAGAAAAATGGGAGGGGATTGAGTCTTTATTAGCTGATTTGTCAGTTATGGCCTTCATCATAATTATTAAGCAAATCTACAATTGCCCCAAGCTAAAAAGAATTGCCATGAGAAATGAGATTCAAGAAAGAATGCCAAATTACAAAGTTAAACTTGGGTTTGGACTACATTATGGATGGGCAATAGAAGGTGCAATAGGTTCAGAATATAAAATAGATGCTTCATATTTATCTCCAAACGTTAACCTCTCTTCCAGGCTTGAAAGTGCAACCAAACACTATGGAGTGAACATCCTGTTTTCTCATGACCTCTTTGAAAAACTTTCTGTTAACATGAAAGAATTTTGTAGGAAAATAGACTGTGTCACTTTAAAAGGTAGCAAGCAACCTATTGAATTATACACAATAGATATTGACCCAGAATTTCAAGATGGCGAGATAAACAACACTTACCATGAAGTTGACACGAATAAAATAAGTTATAGGGTGTTTTCCGAATTCTTTATAGATAATACAATTAAAAGCATGAGGAAATATCTCTTTCAAGATTTTTACTATAAGTTTAATAAAGGTTTAAAACACTACTTAACAGGAAATTGGAAAATATCTAAACAAATTCTTCAAGACCTGCAGTGTGAGTGTATAAAATCTTGGGGGAAAAAAGATGGTCCAAGTTCAACTTTGTTAAAATTTATGGAGGAAAATAACTATATATGCCCAATTGATTGGAAAGGGTATCGAATTTGGGATGAAAAATGAAGTTTTTTTGTTAACTCTTTAGTATTCCGTATAATTTAGTGTAACTAGGAGCTTCTTTTATTGCATTAATATATTCTTCAACACAATTCTCAGATCCTGGATCTAAATTATTGAAAAAGCCTGAGATTAATTTGAGCATTTTTGCTAGCCATGTATCAATGTCTGTCATATATTGGGATGCTATTATACTCGGGTCAATTCTATTAGCTGCCGATCCTTCTATATTTTTCTGTGCTAGCTTCTGTAATGAAGCCAGTTGGTGTTTGGATGAAAGAATTTGTTTTTCACAAATATCAAATATTTGTAAAAATATTTGATCAAAAGTAACATACAAGATATTGTTATATATTTCTTTTAACTTTTGTATTGTATTGGTACTTAAATCTGCCAAAATTGATTTAATTGCATTTAAAGAAAATATTAGAAATATCTCAACTGGTTTTGTTGCATTTTCAATATAACTACTTGGTATTCTTTCACTATTTTCAGCTCTATCAGTAGATTTGTTAGAAATTGATGTAGCAGTAAGTCTATATAAGCAAGGGACTGCTCTAAGTCCTGATTCAAAAATCCTTATTGTTTGATTTTTCAAATAAAGACTAATTGTGTTACTTAGTGGCTTTAAAAGGTTTTCATTAATATGAACCAAATAGTCCTTATTAATCAACTCATCTTTAACCATTGATTTGAGCTGATCAATATTTAGAACATTTTCCGAATCAGAGAAGTCAAATGATTCAGTGAATCCAAATTCACTTTTTACATTATAAATATGAAAGAACATCTCGTTTGTAAAATGACTCTCCACCCATTCTTCAAAAGAAATTGCATCCATCAAAACACAACAAATATGTTCCGGCTTGGTTTTCGGGGACCAAATTGAATTGTTTTGGTTACTTTTCTCAGAAAAGTGGCTTAATTCTGTAAAGCTCAACAAGTAACTTGAGTAGTCATATAGTAGTGACAATGAGGAATAAAGACAGCGTGTAAATAAAGGAACAAAGTATCTTGAAGGAGGGAGAGGAGTATTACTGTGAATTGAAGAATTCCCCAGTATCCAACGTATTTGACGTATGATTTCTATTGAATACTTTAGCCAATACTTCTTATTGTCATATACATAAACTTTTGAAAATTCTACCAGTTCATTTCGGATACTGATCCTTCTATTGAGAATATTTCTATAAATTAGATTCCAATAAGTCCCAAATTTCCATTTTTTTGAATAATTATTGATGAAATAGTTTTCTCTGAAACAAATCAGAATTCTAAGCTTCAAGTCTTTCAATTTATTGGCTGGAATTACGTTGGATTCATAATTGATCAGTATTTTCTCATTTTTTTCAATAAGAGACACAATAGAATTGAGTTGATGAACAAATAAATCCATTGGAGCTGTTGGTGAAACTATATGTTCAGAATATTGATTTTCCAGATACTCCAATAAGTATAACAAAATACCTTGAATGTAAATGTCTATTACAAACGTCAGATATTCAGTATTGTCGTAATTAAATAACGAAAATACAATTTTCTTGATCAGTTTGGCTAATTTTTCGCCTTGAATAATATTTTCCAACTCACATATTAAATTAGAAAAAAAAAGCTTGTCGTCTTTATTGGAACTAAAGATGTAATTTTTAATAATTTCATTATCAATATAACTGTTTATTTTAGTTATGAACTCAGCCTTGAGATTTAGAAGAAAAATACATTGAAGCAATAGATTATCATTTTGTTTGAATTCTTCTGATTCCGAAAATATACTATCATTGACTAGTAGTAGATTACTAGACGCCTGAATAACTAATTCTTTTAATTCATCAGAGAAATCATTACACATTTCAAAACATTCATTATAATATTTATTGTTCTCGAGCTCAAAGCCAAGTTTTGCATTCATTTTTGAAATGGTTTGATATATGGTATCAATGCTTTTTCTAATCTTTAATAACCTTAAAATACAGTAATGAACTAATCTTATTGATAGAAATGGAGTGCTTGTTTCATCTTTATTAAACAGGTCTTTTGTATTTAACAACATCTCCTTAAATCTGTTAATTTCATTGTGACAAATTATAAATAAATTATGCTCCAGCTTTTTGGTAAAAAGTAGGCTATGATTATTTATCTTTGAATTAATATCTTCTGAATATCTTTCAACTATAGATGTAACTTCATTGATATTGGAATCAATTTTCTCTTGAAATTGTTTAATACTTGGCAAAAAACTATCAATCAGTGGTAATAACTCTGTCGAAATCAATGAATAATCTCCATAGGCGGTGTTCAAAATATTACTAATTGACTCATCTTCTTCTATTAGCATAGACTGCAAAGTTTCATGTAATCTATGTATTTCAAGCTCTCTTCTGTAATTTTCTACCAAGGTCTCCGCATTTTCAAAGTTCTCCAACTTAATTATTGAAGAGCTTCTCTCCTTCACCATTGTAATGTAATCAGCTGTTATCTACTATAACTAAAACTTTCAGCACTAATCTACATACAATACTTCTTCTCTTCCACTATGTGTTAATAAATTATTAATTTGAACTAAAACTTTACTCTTAGCGCGTCCAATTAAATTATTTAAAAATTAAAAAATACAAAAATTAACCCAAAAGAAATTAATATAAAGTGGGCTATTCAAAAAAAATGTGCAGATTTTAAGTATTTATGATAATTTAGTTAAATTGTTATTGCTCATTTTTAGAATTTTGTAGAAATTTTAAATTATCAAAAATACCTGTAAATTAAACAAATTATACTGTGGGGAAGAAGAAAACACCAATGTTTGGAAATGATTAATTGTATAATAACAGTAAAGGTGCAGTCAAAATTTGCAGTTGTTTTCAAAATTAATTTTAAGAATATTATTGATTGGAAAAAATGTCACTATTCCCACACTAAAGCGGTATTCTCTTGTTTATACCTTTATACCCCACATAACAGAAAATACTTCCTATCCAAATAACAGGAATTTTTTCAATTTAAAAGCACTTCAAATAACCGAGTTACTAAAGTTTCCCCGGATATCATTTGTTTGAAGAACCTTTTGTTTGTTACGATATTTAAAATAAAATAATATGGAAGATGAAAAAAGTGTTGCAAATAGTGATGGGATTATGTTTGATGCTTCTATGAGTGCAGCAAATGATGGGTACTCCCAATTGGACGGAAGCTCAATAGGCCAAAGTATAAGAACCTTTGGAAGTGCAGGGAAACTTTCAAGGACAGATTTAGGTGATTCAGCCAGAATCAGAGGTGAACGTTATGCGTCTAGTTGCAATGCATCTTCTCTGAATGAATCTGAAATAGTAAAAAAGCATCTAAACAGTGTTGAGATTGGGGGAGAAATTGAATTCAAAGAACTATTTTCTACTTTTTTAAAGAATTATGTTGCAAAAGATGGAGATACAATTACCGAGTATAGTACTTCTAAAGGTGACAACTCAATGATAGATGGTGGGTCATCAACATATATGAGCCTTTTAAAGAAGCTTTTAGAAGCACAGCTGACCGTTGAGAGTGGGAATGATAACAGAAATGAATCTTCTTCTTCTGGTTATAGCTTTGATATCAGCTTAAGGCACATCGAGGACTTCAATAAGGGTCTTTATTATACTATAGTATCAGCTCCGAGTGATGCAATAATATTTATGGATGAAGTTATTGAGTCGGAAATTGAATCTATTTTAGGTGATGATTACTTGAAAGAATTTGCACTACCAAGAGTACGTGTATTTGATAATATCAATATTTGCAATATGAGGGAGGTAAATCCATCAGATATTGAGCAACTTGTTAGTATTCGTGGAATAGTAATTCGTTGTTCAGATGTTATCCCAGAGATGCAAAAGGCAGTGTTCAGATGTACTAGTTCTTATAATGCAAATGGCTTGCACACGAACTGTGATCACAGAGAATACCGTTTACTTATTGGGGGAGAAATTGATGAACCTACTTTATGTCCAGTTTGTAATAATAACTACTCATTTGAGCTTATGCACAATTTATGTCAGTTTTCTAACAAGCAAATTTTAAAGATCCAAGAGCTTCCCGATACTATACCACCAGGAGAGACCCCACATACTATATTAGGATATGTATATGATGAAATGGTTGATTGTTGCCGTCCTGGAGATAGGATTGAGTTTAATGGAATAGTAAAAGTATCTGGAGTTAGGCTCATGGCTAAAAGAAGGCAGTTAATGTCAGTATTCCGAATTTATGTAGATATTTTACACGTTAATAAAAATATCCACAATATGCTTTATTCTGTAGTTGGTAATTCTGCTGGAGAAATATCAGAGATCGGTAATGGAGTGCAGTGCATAGACGGCCAAAACTCTAATGCAGCTGAAAAAAATACTCTGTTTACAAAGGAAATGATTGAGCAGTTCCACAAAATGTCCAAGGATCCAATGCTTTATGAGAAACTTTCAAGATCAATTGCACCAAGCATTTGGGAGAACGATGATGTGAAGAAAGGTCTATTGTGTCAACTTTTCGGAGGAAGCAGGAAAAACCTACTCAAGGCAGCATCCGAAATGTTGGCCGGGCCGGATAGACAGAGTGATTCAATTTCAGACTCTTCTGAAAGTAAAAATATAAATAACTCTTCCCTCAACAGAAGCGAGATCAATATTCTTCTTTGTGGAGATCCAAGTACTGCAAAATCCCAGCTACTTCAGTACATCCACAAGATTACTCCAAGAGGTTACTACATTAGTGGGAAAGGCAGCTCTGCGGTTGGTCTGACTGCATACATTACAAAGGACCCAGAAACCAAAGAGATTGTTCTAGAAAGTGGAGCCCTTGTTTTAAGTGACAGAGGTATATGCTGCATTGATGAATTCGACAAAATGGATGACTCCTCAAGGAGTATTCTGCATGAGGCAATGGAACAGCAAACAGTAAGTATTGCAAAGGCAGGTATTATCTGTTCGCTGAATGCAAGAGTTGCTGTTCTTGCCTCCGCTAATCCCATCTCAAGTCGTTATGATCCCAAAAAAAGTGTTGTCGAAAACATCAATCTTCCGCCCTCACTTATGTCCAGGTTTGATCTTATTTACCTAATGCTTGACAAGCAAAGCGAGGAATCTGATAAAAAGCTTGCAGAGCACCTATGTGCACTATATACATCCTGTAACTCAGAGGAAAAGTCAAAAAATACAGCTATTTTTGATAAGGTCATTCTTTCTAGGTATATAAGTTACTGTCGTCAACACTGTAATCCAAAATTGTCAACTGATGCATGTAACAAGTTGGTGCAGAATTACATTTCAATGAGGAGACAAGGCACGAGTGGTGGAGGTTTACAAAGACAGAAAACAATCACTGCTACCCCAAGACAGTTGGAAAGCTTAATCCGTATTTCTGAATCTCTAGCAAGAATGGAGCTCTCTGAATGGGTCAAAGAATCTCACGTAGAAGAAGCAACTAGACTGATGATGTCTGCAACTTACAGTGCACTTGTTGACCCAACCACAGGATTAATAGACATGGAACAATTAACGATTGGTTTTGGAGGGAGAGAAAGAATGATTCAAGGAAAGATAAATAAATTAATAATTGAGATTCTTGGCAATAATCCGGATGGAATCTCCAAGGATGGGATTTTTAACAAAATTCTGGAACAACTTAAGACAAACAATTCGAGTGAATTGTACCAATTTGATTATAGAAAAGAGTTTGATGTTTGCCTAGACACTTTGGTAATTAGTGGAAGTATTAAAAAGTTTTCAGGACAGAAATACAAGTTGTCATAAAACTTAAATTAGGGTTTTCTTTCAATGGGGTCCCTTGAAGGGAATTCCACCCAATCATTATACTTTCTATTTTGGCACTTTTCTAATACTACATTTCCTGTATTTGTATTACTTTTCGGAATTTTCTTGTTAATATTCGTATCTGAGTATATTTTCCCATTTTTAACGTTTTTAATTTTTGGAAGATCAAAATTAGATAATACACTATTTGTCTCTTTAAGGAATTTAATGTCTTGATATAAGTAATTAATTAAATCCCTGTTTTTTATAATTTCTGAGTATTTATCGTTCAACTTTTGAATAAGATCTTTATGTTCTGCCATCAACATTATTTTTTTCTCGTTTAATTTAATAATTTGTTGCTCGTCATTATCTTTATAACAAGACATTACATCTTTAGCCTCTTTAAAATCATTAATTTCGCCTTTTAATCTCTCTATTTCACTTTTTAATTTTTCGATATCCTCTTCTTCTAAAGAATTAAATTGTGTCAATTTACTTTCTTTGGGCTTGGAAATATTGCAATAATCTATTTCTTTATGTTTTTTCTTCATTTTTATTATTTGATTTATTATAAGTAACAAACTTTGTTTAGAAATCCCAGAACTAATATTGATGTTTCTTTCTATAGAAACCTTAACTAGAGTGTTGAATATTATGAATTCTGCAGCTGAAAGTTTTCCATCCTCATCTAAATCAGAGAAATTCCAAATCCTTTTCAATTCTTTTTGAGCAAGAGTTGAGCTTATGTATACTTTGAAAATTGTAATTCCATCCAAAAATTCATTTTTTTCTTTATCCAAGTCTTGAAAAATTTTCAGGCAGTCAGAAATATGTGATTTATCTAAAAAGTATGAATCTATTATACCACTTAAATCCTCCTTATTAACCTCATTCACCTTAGCTTCCCCAACTTCGTCCCAAAACTTTGAAATGCTAAAATATGCAATTTTTAAAGGAATTTTTGATAGTATTTGTTGGCTTGGAAAAAGTTTTTCATGTTGATAAAACGAAACCAATCTGCACGCATTTCCAAACTCAGAAAATCCCAATGTTCCTTTGTTATCAACATCAACAATTTGCCATATATCATGAAGAATATCCTTGGGAATGCCTGAAGTTTTTAAAAACCGTGCTATAGCCATTCCAAATTTTGGGATGTCATAAGCATTATTCAATTCTAGCTCCCCAGAATATTTATCATTGAAGTTCTGAATTATTTTATACCATGTTTCGTAGCATGTTAATTCTTCACACGTAAAGTTAAAACTATTTTGGTCGCCAATAATTAAATCCATATCTAAAGGTTAAGAAATAAAATGTTAAACTTGTAGGTTGTAAATATTATAAGCATTAATAAGATTTTAAAATAACTCGACTTTATAAAAGAAAAATTCTTTTAAATTTCTTAGAAACATTTTTCTGTTGTAATTTTTATTTCTTTAGAGATAAAAAATAATTAGCATGTATTTCCCCCTCACTAAAATGCGTACAATAGAATAAATTTTAAAGTTAAGAAATAAATTTTTAAACAAAATATTGAAAATAATTATTAATTAGTTTTCTAATATTCTAATTCTATTAAGAATCTAATTAATCAGGCAGCCCCAGATGGAAGTTTTTTAAATTCAATTTTCTATTCAACATTATTTAAATTGAGGTTCATATTTTCTAAAGAGTCATTAAATGCCTCATCATCCGTATCTTCTAAAAATGCATCATATTGATCGTTATCTTCCGAGCTGAATTTGAGGCTTCGTGTTATAATATCCTTAGAATTCAGTGCAGAGCTTCTTTCTGAAATTAGGGTAACTATTTGCGAAAGCTCTTTAATAATTATACAACGTTCAGACATGAATATCCTTTTCCATAAATCAACAAACTTGAATTGAGAAGATGAAATCCACCCACATACTTTGAAATGAGGTGAGGGTAAATATCTTCTTCGTGATACGTTTGTCCAGTTGTATGTAGAAACATCAGAGATAATAGATAATGATAAAATTAAGCTAGAACCAATGAAATAAATTGTGTCTTTCTGTTCTTGGCTTATTTGATTATAGTTAGTGGTTTTTGAATGATCTTTGGATGGTTTTTCAGAATTTGACTCTGTGATAAATATTTGAGACAAGCTTAAGAAACACTCAGAAAATACGGAAAGTATATTACTGAGAGCTTTTTGAAGAAATTGAAATGTTGATTTATATGTATTTTTGTTATTACTATTAATATTTTTTTGTCTTAGATATTTCAAATAGATGGGTACAATTAAGTTAAGTAATGTGTTAATTTCTGATAAAATCAATATCATCTGTTCATTTGTAAATTTGTTATTAATAATATAATCAATTTGTTTTTCCCATTCAATTATGCATTTCCTTAATAATAACTCAAATGTAGGACAAACAATCTCAAGAATTCCTGATACTTTCATATTTTCATTACTTTTTATTGGAAAATCAAAACTTTGTAATATTATTCCAGTTAAACAACTGATTATATTTTTTGTTTGTTCAGTTAAAGTGACAATTTCTATTGATTTGATATTACTGCATTTCTCATCTGAATTTGAGTTCGAGATTTCAGACCCAGTTTTTGAGATTGTTATTTTAGCAAAGCATGTTCTATTAGATTCTAATGTAGTTAATTGAGTATTTTCAGTAGAAATTTTTGTTGATTTCGGCATTATTTGCATCAAAGTAACTATAGTTTTATTTAAATGTTCAGTATCGAACATTTTTTGTATGAAAGGTATCATATTAATAAATGCCTTTTGATAGCTAAAATAATTATTGGATGATGTTATATCCATTGTACAATTGTTGTCAATATTTTGTATGGTTGTTATTAAGTTACTTAGCATATCTAGGGCATTGTTTTTCATAAAAACATCTATTAACTCTTTTAATAACGGAACAGATTCTTTAATAATTAATTCCTCTCTTTTTGTACATATTTTTTGTATTTTTCGACAATTTTCGCAGTATCTGCAGGAACATCTAATGCTTACCATATTATTACTTTGTGTTAAAAACAGTTTTTGAAACCCAATCTGAATTAATGAAGGTATTATATGCTTATTTATTCCCGGACTTGTGCCAATTGTTGGAAAATATGTTATTATCTGAACTAGCACTAATGCGCACTCCCTGAATTGCATCAAAATATTGGTGTTATTATTTTCACTTTTTTCTTTTTGTTCTAATAAAAGTTCTAATGTATTAGAAATAATTATTTCCGCAACAAAAGCAATAATCTCCCAAGTAGAATTTTCTGTGAGTGCCTTAACCATATTTGGAACTATTCTATGTGCAGGAAAACCACGTATTGCTACTTCAATATTTTTAAGTGTTAGTAATAAGATGGAGGGCCCCTCAGTCTTCTCAAACTTGTTAAATGACTTAATTGCAGAATATAAAAAACGAAAATGAGATTGGAGAAAAATTCCCATATACTTTAGTTCATTCGATTTCCAGTTTACGTCAACATAATATCTATGCCTTTCAGTTAAAAAGAAAATCAGCATTGAAATTTCTCCAATTTCTTCATCAAATGATTGCAGTGTAAAAGATGAAAGTAATGAAAGTTGCTCAATAATTAAATTAGGGATTTCAACATCTTGTACCTCAGAAGAATCATTATTCATTATTTTTAAATCATTTTCTCCTTTAATTTTTAAAAATTCACAACAAAATTCAAATGCACCACTATAAAAAAATTCTTCAATTAGCTCTCTATCGTTACAAAGAGACAATAATAGTTCACAAATCAATGAATATGATTCCTTATAATTTTTGCTTTCTAGTAAACTTTTGCAATTCTCTACAGTAGACACCATATAGTCAAATCTTGCTCCTCTGCATTGCTTTTCATATACACCAGTCATTTTCTAAATAACTTAAAAAATCAGGTAATTATGTTCTAGTGCAGCGATAATACTTGGACTTAATGTTTATTTATGTTTTTAATATTTTGTAAATATTTTGGTTAGACAGCGCAAAATAATTGTTGCATTAAATATTCTCACAATGCATTAATGTGCACTAAGTGATTCTTAAATTAAAATGTTGGGCGCCATAGCTCATTAGATTATTTTCTGTATTTATTTCGAGAAAGAAATTGATTTTTATTACAACGAATTAAATATATATTTTTTGCTAATTCTTTGAATTGTTTTCTAATATTAATTTTAGAATTATATTAGGCATTGTTTTAATAAATTTAGCTTCTCAACAAATAGTATTCAAGCTAAAATAGTGCAATTTGTTATTTTTTTTCCGATGAATTATTTAATGCAAACTGACATTAATAGATTAATAAAATTATAAATCGTTCAACTCAAAATTCCTATTCTTCATTTATAGGTCATTTTGATGTGTGATTATGATGATTCTAGTAATGATTATTTCCCGACATGCTTCATACTAATAAATAACAATATGAATAATTGAATTAACGAAAGAAATTTGCCAAGTAGAGTTAAAAAGAAAGATTTAAAATATAAAGATTAATTAATATCAATATTATTCTCGGAAGATCTAGATAAAGCACTTTTTTTAAAATTAACTTTTAGTTTATTAAACCAATTAACACGACCAGTGGATTTGATTTCAAATTTATTTATCCTTTGGTGATAAATGAATGCAAAATCGTCACTTATCCTTCTAAGTTCATATTCAACTTGAGCAAGTGTTAATCTTTGTGATGGAGTAAAATTTAGGCAACCCCACAACAATTTATGAATTTTATTTTTTAATTGCAATGTTTGAGGGTTCAACCCAATTTTTAAGTCAAGTTCAGGCAATATATCTTCTACAGACTGGTTTCTTCTTCCAGAAAGAGAGTTCATCACATTATCTTCTTTAACTCTCCCAATAAATGGTACAAAATCACCACAGGAATTCCACTCACACAAACAATCAATTGAATGCAAAGTATCATTGTCACAAGAAACTACAAGGTCCTTACCACCAAAAATCTTCGAAATTAACAAACCGAGAGAAAAAACAACGGATGGCATTCCAATCCTTACAATCAAATTGATTTCCTTTTGAATAATCATATCTGTAATGTTATCTTGATTATTAAAAACATTTTGCACGTTATTATTTTTATCATAAAACATTATATCACCGGAAAAGATTAAAGGCTGCCATTTGTTTAGAATCCTTTGATTTAAAGCATTTTTCAAAATTCTAGAATCAAAATTATCGTAAATTGTTTTTATTTTGCCAATTTCCATGTTACTGCTTTCTCTATTCTTCTTTAAAGAACATTCAATAAAATAGGATATTGCTATTTCAGGACTAAGATACTTGTTGTTTTTATAGACATTAAGAATTGGATATAAACAATCTAAATGCCCATAAGTAGAGTATTTAGTTACTTCTAAATATGATTTCTCGCCTATATCGGTAAGAGTTATTTCACTAATATTTAAAATGCTTTCTTCAATGGATTTTTCTATATCCAGAAGAATTGAGTCAGTTGAGAGAAAAATTGGTAGATAAGAAGTATTACAAAATACATTTCTAATAACTGAAATATATTTAATTACCAAATTGATTAGCCCTATTATATGGTTTAATTTCGTATCGTTTAAAGAATTCAAGTCATTATAATTTCCTGAAATCATTAATGAAGATAAGCTTCTTCTAAGAGGCATTTCAACTCCAAGTGCCAAATATATTCCTTCTTTTCCTACTAAACTACACTCTTCAAACCAAAATATTTTAATAGCCTTCCAGCTTGTTTTTAAATTCAAACTATTATTAATATTACGGTTCGTTGGGCTTAAGGGGTATTCATAGTATTCATTTATTTCCGACTTTTCAAAAAAATTAATGCTGGATTTCAACATCTTATATTGTCTTTCAAGAAGCTTGATACCCAAATTATTTTCTTTATTGTTATAATCCCCCGGATTTTTTGTTATAAATACCATTATTGATTCCGTTTTTGGGTTTAAACAAATGCTTTCTTTAATTACTTGGATTCCCTCGGATGCTGAAAACTTAAACTTCCCTGAAATTGTGCAATCTCTTCCCTCCCAACATTCTAATTCACTATCAAAAAAATATGGGTTTTTATATCCATCCAATTTTGATATTAGGCAAACATATTTTGGAATTTTTAGATTTACTTTAATTACTTCACTTTCTTCGTAGATTTCTCTCAGAGATTGCAGTGCCCTCAACTCTACTATCTGATTTGCTTGCATTGCTATTTTCTTTCACTACACATTGTTATTTTTGGTACTTCTATACATAATTTTTAAATTCCGAGAACGTAATGCGGTAAACATAAATTTAATAAAATGAAAATTATCGAGTTGAATTAACAATTAATCTAATTATTTCAGGGATTGCATGCTCAACATTGATATTATTTAGTAAAATTTCCCCATTCTTTATATCAATGCAAAAAAGAAACATACTTGGGTCAATTAAACCTTGCTGATTGCCTTTGGTTAAAATTACACCATTGTCTGAAATATAAAATTTACAATTGGGATTAGTATTAATACAACTGAGTATATCTATGAAAATTAACACTTCACTAGTTGGTCTAATACCTAATTTACACCTATAATTGCACATTTCCTTGATAATTTGATCAATGTTCATATCTTCGCAAATATTTGAATCTTGCTTTATACATTCTAATTTAAAATTGGTAGCAGAAACAAAGTGAATATGCGATCTACTCATACGATTTAGTCCATTTTCTTTAATAGTTTCCCATTTATCTAGATATGTCCCATGTATGATTATTCTTTGAATGAAGTTCGAATTATCATCAATTTCCACTTTATTAAGAAGTTTTTCATCTTCTAAAAATTGAAAAGAATGGCCTTGGTTTGCACGAATAAAACTCTTCCCATATTCATTAATAATTTTAAATCTGCCTTTAGAATCATTTTCTACAATGTAACATAGTTTTTCAAAAGAAATACCAACTTGCTTTAAAATCTGGTCAACCTCCACAAACCCATCATTTCTTATATCTAGTCCAGTCTTAGCTGGATCCCCATGCCTAAGTAGCCAACTTAACTTCTTTGAAATAACCAAGTTTGAAGTTTTTGCCATAAATCTATTAATCTAATAAATTTAATCTGTATCTAAAAATATACACAAATTAGCAGAACCCCATTAAATTATGCCATTTTTTTTGTTAAGCAAAACACATACAATTAAGGCCGCTAAAGACTTTACGGTACTTGTAGACAAACATAATATTAATTTCTCTAAAGTTATTAGTATCAAAATTGCGCCAATGGGTTACTGGCAAAAAACCCACTAATAAACGCAAGTAATGAGGCGATTTTAACAAATAATTTTTGAGGAGATAAATATAAATACGACTTGGTTAAGAAATAGTTATTTAGTTCTTTGAAGTTGCTAAGTTAATTATGGATATGGATTCGACAATAGGGGAGTCTCAACCTGATTCGATTATACGGATATATGTGAAGAAACGAAGTGGGAAACACCTTGCAGTATTGAATATAAATAAGGATGCTACTGTTAGTGATTTAAAGCTAAATTTTTATGAAGAATTTCACTACTATCCAGAAAGGCAGTGGTTTAATGTTGCAAGACCAAACGGAGAGGTGCTTAAAGAAGGGAAGTTAGAATCATACGGAGTAGAAGATGGGACTACTTTATATTTTAAGGATCTAGGGGTCCAAATTTCATGGAGATTAGTATTTTTTATAGAGTATCTTGGACCAATCTTAATATTCCCAATTTTTTATTTCTTCCCGACATTAATTTATGGCGAACCGGCTCCACCTAAAAGTATTTCTCAAAAACTTGCGTTTGCTTTGGCTTTATGCCATTATATTAAAAGAGAGATTGAGACATGCTTTGTCCACAGGTTTTCAAACGCAACTATGCCTCTTATTAGACTTCCAATCAACTGCTTTCATTATTGGTTTATTTTTGGTGTTTTTGTTGGGTATTACACATTTCATCCAAAATATTCGCCTCCGGAGTTTTCCCCAATAACTTTATATTCAATTGCTGTTTTAATGTGTGTCTTCGAGTCTTTGAATTTCAGTTCCCATTTGGTTTTGAGGAAATTGAGAGACAGAGGTACAAAGAAAAGAGGCATTCCATATGGCTCAGGCTTTGATATTGTTTCTTGCGCTAACTATTTTTGGGAAACACTTTCATGGATATGTTTTAGCTTTATTGCAAACTGCGCTACTTGTTGGCTATACACTTTAGTTGCCTTTATCCAAATGGCACAATGGGCATTAAAAAAACACAAAAATTATCACAAAGAATTTTCTAACTACCCAAAATGTAGGAAGGCAATTGTGCCATTTGTTTTGTAATGCACCAAATTATATAATTTTATTAGTTAATAATAATTATTAAGCCAAAATTTAACGATTATAGCAGTTATAAATGTTAGTTTTTAATTTATATTATTTCATTCATTTTCCTTTCAATCTATTCTATAACAAATAAACCTTTGAGTTTATTTGTAAGTTGTTTAAATTTTTAACTACTTGAGTGGTTCATTTTAAAGTTTTTCTTAATTTAATAATTGTGTTAAAGATAATAAGAATTTGCGATGAAAAATACATGTTAATTGAACTTTTGGCGGTATTTTTTTCAGATTTGACATTTAAGAAAATTATTTAACTGAAATGCAGCTATTTAAAATAAAGGGAATATTAATATACAATAAAATTGATTATAATGAGTACTAGGATGACGAAGAATAAAAGAAAGAGGGTTCCCCAGGACAACAAAACAAATGAGCTGATTTTTCTTGAGAGTGGATTAAAAAAAAATGTGGAATCAAATTTGAAAAGCTCATTTACAGGAAATGAATTGGTAATAATTAAGGGAGAAGTGGGTTCTTGGCTAAGGTTGGTTTCTGGCTCATCGCTTTTTCCAGTGGGTGCTGAGAAAATTTTGAGTTCTGTAAATAATAAGGAGTTATTTAGAGGATTGATTATTTCGAAAAGAATAACAAATCTACCCATTAGATATACAAATATACCTGGCTCTATAATTCCAAATCTATGCAAAAATTCATTATATTCTATTTCTGAAAGATTTCCTTGTACACCACTTAATTCAGATTTTGAGAAAGAAAACTTTGAAAAGATTTTATTTCAAGTCGAGAAGTCTTTTGACAGCAGTACTGAATTAGAAGAAGCACTTTTTGGAGTCATAGACAGTTCAGAAAAGCTTATAGAAAGGAGTGAGTTTTCAATCAATAAAAAAAGAAAGAAAGAAACAAAAGCTAATATTGATTTTTTGGAACAAAAGCTATCAATTTTTCCAGGTAATGTTGGAAGAGAGTACCTCGTGTTTCAAAGATATGATGAAGGAGTAATCTTGGATAAAGATGCGGTAATGGATGCAACCCCCGAAATTCTTGCTCAACATATAGCTAGAAGATTAAGAGGATGCACTATATTGGATGCATGCGGAGGAGTAGGTGGCAATACAATCGCATTTTCACAACACTGTAAGCGTGTAATTTCAGTAGAAATTTCTAACTACAGGACACTAATTTGTAAACATAACTCACAAATATATAAGTTGTACGGGGAATCATCTTGTTTTGGTAGTCAAAACATTGTTGGGGGTGAAAGTTTTATTGATGTAATTAGAGAATCTGGATCGCCTACTTTACCTTTTAACCAAGCTCACTCAATCGATGAAAGTGGCAACTTAAACATGTACTTTGATCCGAAAAGTAACATAGTATTTATTAATGGTGATATTTTGAATTTTTGTAACTGGTACCACATTTATAGTCGTAAAGAATATAGCGGTACTTCCTCTTCAATAGTCAAACAGGCATTTAAGGATTTTGAAAACTTTGAGTGGGCTTTTGCTTCTCCACCATGGGGTGGATATTCATACAATGGGATTAAAAATTTTAGTTTGGAGAATAACTCACTATTAAACTATAAAGAGATGATTATCAGACTTTCTTCAATTGCAAACAATATTGCATTGTTTTTACCTAGAAATACAAATTTGTCAGAATTTTCAGCCTTGCTTTCAATACTTGGGTTTCACGCCATAGAAATTGAGGCAATTCGTGATACAAGGTTTAACTATATACTAGGGATAGTTTTGTACTCAGTAAGAACTAAATCCAAGTTTAAATTACGATATTTATTTGGTCAAGATATTAATTTCATGAATGACCAAATTTCAAAAAGATTAATATCTTTTACTGAAAATATGATTAAAAAAACAAACCCAGGGAGTAATACAAATTCCAATCAAAAAAACATATCAAAACCAGGAATCAAAAAATTATCGAAATTTGGGAGAAAGGTCGAGAAGTTATTAAAAAAAAAAGGATTAGAGTCACTAATAGTCATTACATATATATTGAACTACATTGTACACAGGAACGATTATTACACAAATCCTTTCCTACTAAATTACTCAAGTGATTTTTTTCCAGTAGTTGGCAATGATTTAGTTCAAATTCCAACTATTAGTATTAAAATGAAAAGAAAATACGACAAATATATAAGAAAGATTATTAAGAAGTTTGATAAAGGAAATCAATTTTCAGACTCAGAGTAATTCTCCACCTTAATATCATTGATTCCAAGACTTTCATTTTGATCGTTAGTACGTTGATATTTCTCTGTTTTCAATTGTTGATCATCTTGGATAAATTGGCCATTAACAATACGTTTACCAATAAAGCTATGGTCTGCTGCATCGTCAATAATTAAAGTAAACTTTTCTTTTTTTTCTAATAAATTTTCCAGGTTTTGAATTACTTTTTGAAAACCTTTCTTTTGTTCAGATGTTGCAGAATCACCCTGGAAAGTAAAGCAATCTTTCAGGGAATCTGTAATTTTAATAATCATACCCTCGACAGTCGTAAATAATGATCCCAAAGATCCCATTCCCATTTCAAGTTCAATCTCAGGAATCTCAATTGAAGCAGTATCACTTTTTAAGACGTCTCTATTTAAATCTAGTTCGTTTTCGACAGATAAAATCCTAAAATGATAGATTTTAATTAAAGTTATTTTGATAATAATAAATAAACTTACCATTTTTTTGCAAGCTCACCATACGCACCTGAAGGCTTTAATTCATTTGTTTTAATCCCGCAAAAACTGCAAACAAATGCCATAATAAGGCATCTTCTGAAACCAGGAATATCTATTTCACATACATCGCTCTCACCATTATTACCACAGTTTGGACAAGGCACATCGAACTTAATACGATCATCATTGTTACTCATTTCGCCTTGATCCTCAATACTCTTATTTAAGTCAATATAATGAGGAATGAGGTGATCTGGAATATCTGCTCCTTTGCTAAATGTATTATTTGGATTATCTTTTCTTGGCTGATATGTAGAAATACGATGACTTTCTTCATTTTGCAGATTCTGAACTCCAAAGTATCCCATTTCTTCCAACTGCTTTTTTGTTCGATCATAAAGTTTTCTTTTCATATTATGGTCAACAAGAGGCGCAATTGGATTTTGGATAAAGCTATTTCCACTTGGATCATCTAGTTTAATAGTAAAGGGAAGCCCCTTACCTTCTAGATACCCTTTTAAATTATTAATAATTTTTTCAATCTTGTTACCTACTTGTTGATCTTCAGCAATTCTCGCTTCTTGATTGAGCGAAAGACCTTGAATAGTTTTTGTGATTATACCTTCAATAGTTGAAATTACACCTTTTTGAGTAGATGGAGGGATGTCAAGCTCTTGCTCTAATATTGAAATAGTTGCGAATTCTGATTTTACAATTTGTCTATCTAGATCAGAAACATTCGTTACAACTAACTCAATACACTCCCCCTTATCCTGCAAAACACCTCCTGATTGGATCTCGTTATTTTTAAATCCACAATGTGGACATTCAAATGACATTAATATTACTTCTTTGAATTGCGGAATTGACGTAAGTAATAATTTTGTTTCGCCTTCTTTATAACAGTTCATACACAATGACTGAATAATGGTTGGGCCTATTTCTTCATCTTTATTATATTCAGGATTTTCGCTCATCTTTGGAGATTTAAACTTAAGTAGTCTTTTTTGAACCAAAAAATTGTCTGAGAATCAGAAAATTTGGCGCGCCAGGTCAACAATACTAAAACAATAGAAACCAAAAACTATTTAAAGAATTTGTTGAGATATTTAAAATACCGGATTTTTCGTAGCAAAGTTCTGAATTCAGTAAAATTGTATAACGCAGATGATTAAGAAGTTATTATTGAGAAACAAATGACTAGATTTGCAAGAAAGGGGGGAACATTGAAATATTACTTGATGATAATACGATAATAATATTTTTTATTACTTTGAGCAAAAGAAATTCTTTTTGTAAAAGGAAAAAGAAAAATGAGGGAAATTTTATTTGAGTTTTATTTTTTTTTAATGTCTCGAATTATAAAAGAAAAATGTTGGTTTACCGCAATAAGTTTAATTCTGTACGACATTGAAATTCCGTGAATCTATTACAAGTTTTCCTATTTGGTAAAAAAAATAATATTTGGAAATTAATTAATTAAGATGTCTTTTCAAATTGTCCCAGATCAGTTAGAAGAGGTAGAAGAAGATGTGAACACTGCAATTGCAGTTGCTGTTTCAACTAATAGAAACGCACTTATGGAAATTGGTATAAATGAAGAAGAAGAAGGAACCCCAATGTCTCAAAGCACCAATATAGAGGGCCAGCTACAAACACAACAGAGCTACAGCTCAGATACATTATTTCCGGACGATGTGCAGTCGTTCTTAATTAATCTTAATGATTCTATTACAAGACGTGATATTGAAAGAATCCGATATTTTCATGAGAATTCACATAATAACCTGACTTTTAAATACTACATGAAGTCCCGATGGCCAAATCCATCAGTAGTAGAAAATTTAATTGATAGCTTTAGCTATTTTTCAGAACTAACCAAACTTTTGTATACTGAACAGTATTATCGTCACATATTTGCCAAATTCCCAAATCATGTTAAGTGGATAGATAGAGTCTCATCATGGAAGAATTATATTGCATTGTTTAATTATTTGTTATTCAGAGGGCATTCAAACACTGAGTCACAAGAGGTACAAGTACCTAATTCTTTAAAGGAGTACTTTGAAAGTAACGACTTGAGTACAAATTATGATCGAGAAGATGAAATATGTTTGCCTCCCGAAATGATTAATGGCATAATTGATGAATTTTTATATCAGTTTCAGGATACATGTAGATACAGAACTAGGATAGCACATGTGATATCAATGAGCGAGCAAAGCCAAAATGAGGGAAGAGCAGCAAAGGTGGATCAAGATGTTTGGAGATGCGATATTATTCTCCAGATATTCCAGTCCTTTGTTGATTTAAGCGAGATAAGAGCACTGATGAGTACGGATGGTGCGGTTTCCCAGCAAGATCAATTACAGGCTTTAAGTTCTGTTGATTTAATTCCAATTAGATACCAACTTGGGTACTTCTCAATTCTTGGGTTATTACGCCTACATGCGTTACTTGGAAGCTACTATATTGCAATTGAAATTTCAAATGGTATTGATCACCAGATTTTCCGTCCATTACTGTGGAAGGTTCAAACAGCTTATGTTTCTTATTTGTATTATTTAGGATTTTCGTATATGATGTTGCAAAGGTACATTGACGCAATCCGAATTTTCCAACAGAGCACAGTCAGCTTCACATCAAATGCAATGAATTCCAATAATTCTTCGTCCCATTCTTCTCCATACCAACATGATGCCATAGGAAAGTTTGTTGACAGAATGTCTTGGTTGATGCTCTTCTGCCAGCTTCTCTCCTATGGAAATAGTTCCAACTTTAATAGAATGGAGGAGTCTTTATCACACCAAAATGACAGGAAGACATCTCCGTCATTTTCCCCACTAGGATCAGACACTTCAAACTGGAAGGAAATGTTGTCAAAGGTATCACCTAGATTCATATCCCCAAGTGTACCAGTAATAACTCCAAGAGATCAGATGGTAAAGACCGATCAGAGCGAACCCCAGCAAAGGCAGATGCAGACGTTCTCACCCCTTATGCACCTTTACGAATTGAGTTCAATGATAAGATCTTTCACAAAGCTTTACAATAATTTGAATGTCGATACTTTGGCGAGCCTGATGCACATTGCAAAGAAAAATGGCAATTTGAAGTCCCGCGAGGTGATTAAGTCTCGTGGAGGAGCTGATTCTCAAACTAATGAACCAACAAACAATATTCCTTTAGTATCTGACGACTTTGAAGTACAGGAGCCATCAAGCATCGCAAGATCTCAAATAATTGCAATCAAAAGCAGATCTGGACGCCAAAGGATTTGGAAGTCAGGAGATTTACATTCTGGTGAACTGGTTCCATTGAATGGAGATGTTGACCTACTTCTAGATCTAGATACAATACATATTATTGAAGGAAAGCAGGTTGATAAATTCTTTGGGGATATCTTCGCAAAGCAAATTGTTAAGGCTCGCAACTTACTTAGACACATCGACTCGCTAACGAGTAAAAGCTCAGACTTATCCTCAAAGAGGGAAAAGGCCTAGTCATTCAAGATTCTGATATCTTTTCTACATGACATTCTGGATTGTTAGGAATTGTTTTCTATTAGACTACTGTATATGTTACCCTATTCTAATAATTTTTCTCTATAAACTCGAAAATTTTGCAAAATAAACAAAAATTAAAGCTTCAAGCTATTGACACTATAAATGTTTAGTAATTTGAATTAGTTCGCTTCTATTTGAGGTACTTTCTATGCGGTATGGAGACAAATTAAAAAGGGATAGCATCAACGTATAGTGGAGGGTAGTGAGGAGTTCCGGGTATCGTTAGATCGCTGTGAGATTCGTCCATCGTAGTAATTCCACTACAATGATCATTTATTATGTTATCGTCTTGAAATTCAGGGTGGCTGTTCTTCATATGGCGAATATAAGGAGTTCTGTAGCCATACTTCTTGGGGCATAAGTGGCACTCGTAAGGCTTGCTGTTGCAGTGAGAAACTTGTATGTGTTTTCTAACATTACTCTTCGAGCTATAAAATCTTCCACAATCAGGATATGGACACCTATATGAACAATCAATATCACTATCTTTATTTTCTCCAATTGTGTTATTCAATAAAGGGTCATTTTCGTTGTGACCTACATTGGCCTCATTAGGCAAAGCATAGAGGCACTGATTTTGTGAATTATCATTATTTATTATACACTGACTTTGGTTAAGAATTAGCGGCTGTGGTTCATTAGTTGAAGACCAGTGTTTAGATTTAATGTGTCTTACTAAGCCTGGGTATGAAAGAAAAGCTGCTGAACATAGCATTGGATCAGCTCTGCAAACATACCAACATTGCTTTGAGTTGCTATCTTCTGTACGATTAGGGAATGGAATTTCAGCAGTAAGATGTTGTCTGAGAGTATGCCTTTGAAGAGAAGTGGCAGAGGGAAAGAGATTGCCACAAACCTCACAAATATATGGTGTATCATGTGACCTTTTAATGTGCCTTCTTAAAGATGTCGGGCTCATAAATACACTATTACACGACGAACATGGATAACTCGCCTTTTCTTCGATTGAACTATGTACCAACATCATATGACGGCGTAAGTGGTCACTTCTTCCAAACGCCTTCGAACATTCATGACATTTAAAGAGCTTTATTCCAGTATGAGTTTGAGCATGACGCTCCAAATGAGACCTTCTTTTAAACGATGCATGACAACCAGGATATCCACAAGCGAATAGTCTTGGAGATTTCACATCTACAGCTTCTGAAGACATTACTCTTCATAAATAACGAATACTGTTTTGTTATACTTAAGTTGCCAACTTTTACTCAACTGTTTAATCACGAAGCAAGCCGCTTACATAAACTCGTTTAATATCAATGAAAAGGAAAAAAAGTAATAATTATATAATAATTATTGGCGGCGTCCTTTAGCCACAATATTTTAATTATTCGCTCCACTCCAGCGACTTAATATATATATTTGACTATTTAAAAAACTGGAATTGTTCATTTGGCGCCTAATTTCAAGACACATTTTAAAAGTTAAATAATAAATTAATTGATGTTAAATAAAAATATTAGGAAAAGATATATAATATTTATATAATTAAAAACTTTTTGCCGGTAATTGATCTTGTTTTCGTTTTTTCTCAATAGAGTCGTTTTTGTGTAAAATAAAAGATTTATGTTAATAATATGGCGGGTTTCTATTCACAAAGTTATTTTTGAAGTGATTTGTTTTATTTTGTGCACTGTTAGTTAGAGCCTTTTTAGTTTCGCAGTTTTTATTCTCTTTGGTGTTAATCTTGAGTTAGTTTAAGAGCTTTTAGTACGGGCTACAGTTTAGGGAAAATGTGACAATTTGATCTCAAATAATTGTCAATTGACTTGTGTTTCTACTTATAGTTTGAGATCTTAAGTGTTTGCTCTGAAATTGAGGGCAGAAAATAGAGATATTGTTGAATATTTGATTAAGATACTATTAGCAATGAATGTATTGTAATTTAAAAGCAATTTACAATATGATTAAATTTAAAATAATAAATAAGTACATTGTTGATATAGGCTGGAAAAAAATGGATTTGTTTTTGGCTTGGAAATCGCCTATTATTGGAATTTATCAATATTAAAAAGTTAGATGTGTTAAGGATTCAGAGGTAGAGAATTTACTAAATTAAAAAGCCCGAGAAGAATCACAAAAAATTAAATCTGTGAAGCTTTGAATACAAACTTTATTAATTTTAAGCCTAAGACTTATAGTCGAATTCTGCAGTAATAAACACTTCAAAAGTAGAATATTACTTGAAGTAATACAAAAAATTAAGGTTTAACGAGAAGATGCTTGGTAATAATAAATTTTCCCACAAATTGTAACTATTAATAACAATTTTAGCAACTTTACAGTATTTTTGCCGGTCATTCTACAATAAAACAAATCTGTTTTTTGGCGCTGAATGGCACCATATATTTGTACAGGATAAAAGTCGATAGACTAATATTAATGATAAGAATTGGCAATGAGACTGCATTTAATCTTATGTTCTGATACGAGATTAAGTACATGATTGACCTACTTTATGATCTTAGGAAGTATGCAGTTGCAAAGCACCCAGAATTCCTCACAGCAATTAGCGATGCTGAAAAGGGTGCTCTTCAGTTAGGTGTGGACCAAGGTGTGCTTGAGCAAAATGGCAGCTTAAAAGACGATGAGGAAATGTCCAGTTATTACAGCGAGATTCGTTCGATTGGCGTTTCTCTTGGCTATATAAACAAGATGATTGATGAAATCAGGATTAATAAGCAACGTGCATTGCTAACTACAAGCTCAAGTGAGGACGAAGAGATATCTGAGAATCTGTCTAAGATTCTGGATGAGACACATGAAAGGACTCTGGAGTTAAAGAATAATATAGAATATTTAAGGGCTCAAAATGAAAATCTTAAAAAGAAGGCCAGTAAAAAAGAAGCAGCTGAAATTATGATTAGAGAAAATTTGCTTCAGACTATCTCGAAGAGATTTAGGGAAACTATATCCGAATTTCAGGCAGTACAGTCTGAATACAAAGCTGAGATGAGAAATAAGATTTTTAGACAAATAAAAATAGTCTATCCAGATGTCACACAAAATACTATTGAATTGATTGCTGAAGAAGAAGGCAAGATAACTACAACACAACTAATAAAAATGAAATTGAGTGGATCACATGAAACTATCGGAAATGCAATAACTGATTTACAAGATAGATATAGAGATATTAGAAGGCTCGAGAAGAGTGTTGAAGAGTTACAGCAGTTATTTATTGAGTTGGCATCGTTAATTAATGAGCAGGGTGAAATGTTGGACCACATCGAGTTCTCTGTCTCTACTGCTAGGGATTACACTGAAAAAGCGGACATAGAGTTAATTTCGGCCAGAAAATATCAAAAGAGAACCCAAAAGAAGATGCTGTGGATTATTTTGTGTATATTTATACTGATCTTCGTTGTTATGCTACCTATAATCATCGGGGTTTCATTAGAAAGTTGATAGTTAGAATAACTTAATGCTAATTAATCTTTTAACTTTTGCAAATTAGAATTTTGGCTTTTTTTTTCCAAAAACTGCCGCAATTTGTTGGTAAATATAAATTATGAATTTTGAGGTGAATAATAAATTATGCCTTAGCGTTGAATCTAGGATTGAAATTGAGCTTGAAAAAAGCCAGCTTAGTGCATCAGAAAAGTTTTTCTTTTCAGAATCAAAGTTTGATTTTTTAGTAGAAGCAGTCTGTAAATCATTTGATGTAATACATGACATTAATATTTTGTTGATCGTATTAAAGTTATACTCTGGTAGAGTAATTGCTTGCAACGATCACCTGAACATATATGATGGATACTCAGAGTATAACAGACCACAGATCTTACTTTTGTTGAAAAAGAGCTGGGTTATTTCTATTGGAATATGCAAAAGAATCGAAAAACTTGAAACTAATTTCATTGAAAAAATCAACAATTATTGTAATCAAGAAGACTCAAAAGATATTTTAACCTGCTTATCTTGTTTACTATTGCCATTTCTGATATTTAGTAAATCTAGGCTTAACGGGAATCTTCTTCCATGTAATTTTAAAGAAAAGTTATCTCTTTTGGATGAAATTAAACTTGGCTCAAGATTTAGATGCCTGAAATTCATTCAAGACGAGAAATACATTCATAAACCAACCGAAGAGCTCATAGAGAAAAAGATCACAAAAACTGATAATAAGAAAAGTATACCAAAGCTTGCAAGTGAAATTAATTTACTAAATACATTAGAGCAAAGAACACTTGCAATATTAAATATGATAACTTTTGATGAGAATGGCTTTGGCTATAATAAAATCTTGAACATTAATAATCATCATCTTATTTTTAATCTTTGGGAGGAGTATATAAGTATTGGTTCTGAAGAATGTCTGATATCTGAAATTATAGAAACAAAAAACCTTCCTTCTATGTGCTTAAAATGCGAAATACTATTTATAATAACTACTTATTCGAGAGAAGGATCCACTTTTGAGAAGGTTATTAAGATAATTATTTCAAAGACCTCTAAAGATCACAAAATAATGCATTATATTTGTAATAGGTGGCAATCATTGTTAGGAGAAGATAAAATCGAATATATTTCTAAAGAATCACAAATTCAAGCAATAAAAGACTATTGGAAGAATATGAGGATATTAATTTGGGAGTTTCAGATTTTAGTACCACTTGTTTCAAAAAATGTTCCATACTTTATTAAGCTTCAAAGTATTGCTTTAAGCTATTATTTAATTTCAAATTTTGTTCAGACAGATGAAATAATATATGAATACTCACAAGAAATAGAATCCATGAATAAAGTATTGCAAGTTTTGTCTAATGATATAATTAACATTATCAAAGGTTCAGTTTTACATTCTTTTGTGTTGGAAAGAAGCGTGTTGCCAAGAATCAGTGCTTTTTCTGAAAACACTATTTTCTCATGTAATTTAATTAATTTAATTAGTAGTATTGCAAATATTGATTTGGGAGAAGATGCCAACAAAGCAGTTTATTACCAGCTAGTTTCTAATATGTTATGTGATCCGTATCTTACAAGGCATTTTAGTTTTGAAGGAGAATCAGGACTTATTGATATGTTTCGTAATATTTTAGATCTGGATAAATTGTTAGTTACAGATAATTTGATCAAATTTATTTATCTTTTTGGGCAAATTCCGAGTGAAATAATTACCACGACATTATGCCAACCATCTTTTAAGAACCAAATTAAGTTACCTTTTTTAAATACATTTTCTCCAAGAATGGTTAAAAATTCAAATAGATACTCTAATTCACTTAGATTTACTGAAACATTTTCAGGAATAATAAAAATTATAAGTCAGTCAAACGAAACTAACATTAAGGTTATATTGTTATTTTTGGCAGACTTAGTCAAGAAGCTATATAACCAACATTTGGCTAATTCTAGAAGTAAAATAGTAAATCAAGATCAAAATAAAAGTGATCAAATAGACTTTTGTTATTCATACATAATTTTATACAAGTATCTAAATCATTGTTTTGAGAAATATAATAATTATATTGATGAACATGCAACTATGGCGCTAAAAAGTGTTACAAAACCTGAAATAATAATTCCAAAAAATATGATATTTATTTTATAGTTATAAAGGTAGTGGAAAGATAAGTGTTAATAAGTTTTTATATATTTGGGAAGTTTTTGAGCAATTTGCTTCTGATAGATGCAATTCCTCCATTTAAGTAGTAGTTTGATACTTGCATATTTAGCCTTTCAAAACACTGTTGAATAACAGTAGAAATATAATAGGACCTAACCCCATTTAAGCATAAGAACAAAATAATGCAATCTTGATCGATTTGTAAGTATTCCACCAGGAAATTTTTGATTTGATCATTTTTGCCTTCTGGCCATTCGATAATTTCGCCAGTTTTAGAGTTAGTATGAACTCCCAGATTTGCAATCCCTTTAATAACTTCATCCTCTAATAAATTTTTTGACCCTTTAATATGCGAAATATCATAAAGGTTCTTTGGCCTTACATCAAAAATTTTGATTTTTAAGTTTGAATTCCTTGCGAAATTGATTTTTTCTTCAAAATTATAAGGGCTGAGAATCTTAGAACTTGGAATTGGGAAGAACGAATCTTGAGCCATCTCCATTCCTTTATATACCTTATAACTATCGACATCAGCCTTGAAAAATAGAACAGGGTCACTTCCACATGTTTTGCAGTCACTGCTTTTATCTCTAATTTTGACAAGACGTACCATATTTTCACTACTTAATGAGTTATAAAAAAGCATTTTCCCAGATAAGACTGGAAGGTGATTGCGAACATCTGCTCCATTATTCCCTCCCTTTCCAAAATCGTTAAGAATTACTTTGATGACCTCGGTGGATTGTAAACACCCAATTATGCCTACAACAGTTCCTGATACACCAAACGTTTCTGCACCTCCGGGAGTACCATCAACTTTTCCATTATCTTCTCTAGGTGCAATGCATCTATAGCAAGGCCCATTAGAATAATTATATACAGTAACGTGTCCTTGCCACTTTAATGCAGCACCAGAAACAACCGGCTTTCCATAGTAAACTGCTGCATCATTTATTAAATACCTGCTCCTACAATTGTCCGTAGCATCTACAATTACATCGTAGAGTGGAAATATTTCCTTAACTAGATCTATAGATAAAGCTTCTTGATATGCAATAATTCTGGTATTTGGATTTAGTGAATTACATGATTGCTGAGCACTAATTGATTTATTCATATGATTTTTATGTGTGGAATGAATAATTTGGCGATGTAGGTTGCTAATTGATACTGTGTCATGATCAACAACTCCAATAACTCCAACACCAGCTCCAGAAAGGTATAGTAAAATAGGGCTACCCAATCCACCTGCGCCAATTACTAGTACCTTTGAGTTCTTTAATTTTACTTGGCCCGAAACTCCAACTTCTTTTAATGCAATTTGTCTAGAATATCTAATAACATTTTCTTCTGAGAGTAAAGGGGAGTTAATTGTTTCAAATATATCCTTTTTTGTATTTATTTCACCATCAGATTTCCAGAGGAAAAATATGATCGTTGAAAGTGTACATATCACTACTGATAAAAAGTAAAACCCAAATTTAGTCCAGTCCTGATCAACAAACTCCATTTTGAATAAATCAATCGATCTCAAATATTCCAAAATGTGAGTAAGGTTTATCTCTATGGCCTCAAAATTCTTTCTACTACAAATATTCTTGAAATATTTTGATTACCTTCATTATAAATAAACGTCTCCAAGTGATTTTTGGCGCGTACTCTTTCACAGTTGTATTCATTATATTTGCCAATTCATTTTTTAGCGATTTTTGAAGCTCTTTGTTTTGGTTAGGTATTAAAACGAATGAGCACTCAAAATCTCGATTAGTACTTCTATAGTTGTAGTTAGAGCTTCCGAATGCAGTGGCTATGATTGATCCTTGATTTTGCAAACCTGATTCAGAAGGATCAAATTTACTTGAATTTCTGAAAAAATATATACCTTTAAAGTGGAATGACCAATTTGGTTTTTTATATTCATGATAACTAATATTTCCTTTTTCTTGTGTGCCCAGCTGTTTAATAAGTGAATAATTTATGTAAGTGTATAGTTTTGGAAGAATCAAAGTTCTGATTCTTTCCAGTGATGTCTTCTTTTCAATTTTATTCTTCTTGTCAGATTTTGTGATAGGAACTCCGGATACTATGTTTATTGACCCCTCTATATTTTTAAGCAACGAAATTAGGTATTTAGGAAGATTCAGATAAGGAGCCATGAGAAATACATTTGTACTTTTTTTATCACAAAGCTGGGAGATGTTTGTAATAATTTGTTCTTCAGATGCAATTTTAATTGGACGGCATTGAAAATAGGATGCTAAAACACACTCATCCGAAATATCTGCATCATCCAATTTCATCTTAATCTTTGATGTTATTTGATTGTGTAGGTCTACACCACTACTCAGTTCCATTAAGTCTTTTTTTAATTCATTAAATTGTGGTTTTTGTGGTTGCAATATTTTCCCTTCTGGTAGAACTCTATGTGAATACTCTGATATTAAATCCAATGATTGCTCAAAGTAGTCACATATTTTTTTTGCACCTTTAATCATAATATATCTATCTTGTTTATTTAACAAATACTCAGAATTTAAATTTGCACTAGTGATGATTATGTCGTCATCTGCCAAGAATATTTTGATATGGTACACTCCAAGTACCTCCTTGAGAAATGATGTTCTTCTAAACTTGGATAAAATATTTATTATGTTCCATGAGGTTCTTCCCAATAAATTTTCTGAGTAATTAATTATCGGGATTTTGCATAGTGAAATTACTACCGAGTTTGGATATTTTTTAAAGACCTTAATATATGGTTTTACTTTCTCACATTCTCTTGTCATTCTATTGTAGTCTAAAATTAGTTTAATTTTTAAATCATTATTGCTATTTTTCTCTAAATTTTCTGCCACTTTACACAGTGTTTTGGTGATCTTTAGGAATAAAGACAAATTAATTCATAATAAGGTTTTTGTGATAACATGAGAATTTTATTTGGAAATTTTCACTTACCTCATTTTCAGTATCAGTATATAATGAGGAGATATATATCCTTCTTTTAGCATTAAGCAATATAGAATTTAGTGAATCTTTAAAAGAAGATGGGGAATCTAAGACAGATATTTGATCATCTTTAACTTTGAAAGCCTTCCCTACGATTTCTTCAGCCATACTTTATTATTCATCTATACTGTTAATTCCCCTCGTAAAAATCGGTTGGCTCCTAATTGATTAAGAAATCGCAGATTAAAAATAAAAATTAAATAATGAAAGAAATTATAATAGGAAATAATTCTAAGAAAATATAGTTTGCTGATTTCCTAAATAAAGCATCCTACACACTTTTCAAGTTTGCACCTATATATAACTAGAAGTAATAACACATATCAATACCATGATTTAGATTTACTTATATCAATTGGACTACAGCAAAGTTTGGAAATTAAGAACCCAATCTTATAGTTACCTTGCCACAATATTATTTCTAATTAAAGTGTTAAAATTAAATTCATTTAGTAAGTAAAGTTCCCCACATTTTGGCGGCAAACATGCGGACACTGTTTTTTCCCATGAGTTGTTTTTTTAAATGAAAGAAGCCAAATAATAGAGGCTAAATAATAATATTGCTTCAAATTTAAATAATCAATAGACTTTTCATCATGAGTAGTGGGTATAGAGTTCATGATGACGATGAGTCGTCACAGAATTCTCATGATGGAAATCATTCTGCAAGCAATAGCATTGCAAACATTTTGTTGACACAAGATCCCAGTGACTACAGTGAGGCGGAGGAGGTGGCAGTTGATGATGTAGTTTATGAGGAAGAGATGGCAAATGAATCAGAGGAGGAGCTTGGAGAAGACTTATATGGTGACAACTTTATGAACGATTACAATAAGAACCCTGAATTAGATAAGTATGACCCTGAGATGTTGGACGACACTCATTATGAACATGATATTGAAGCAAAGAGAAGAGCGGATTTGGCTCTGGATCGAATGGAATTGGAGAAGTCCCACGAAAAGCAAAGGGAAATCCACCACAAATATGGAATTTCCGCATTTAATGCAGATGATGGCGATGACGGAGAAATTGAAAAGAGAAGAAAACGAAGAGAGGCATTCAGAGAAATGGCTGATGAGGCAGCCAGAGGAGCTGGAATAATTGATATAAATGAGCTTATTCAGGATTTACCATTAGCTGAGCAGTCAGAGTGGAGCGAACATGTTGAAAATATTATTCGACGGTTATTTAAAGTATTTCTACAGGACTTCAAACTTTCTTCAATGTACAAAACCATTTCAAACGGTGAATGCAAAATAGAAGAAAGAAACATCTCTTTTGAAGATCTCTATTATATTAAAAAAATTGAAGAAATGGTACAGGAGGAAAAAACAAGTTTGTATGTGGATGTTAAACATATATTTACTTTTTGTTACAAACTCTGGGATTATTTGAACCTCTACCCTACTCCAGTAATTGAGTGTTTTAACCAATGCGCGTACGAAGTTGTAACCTCTATGTATCATAGCTTATATTTTGGGAAGTCTATTATGGTAAGATTGATTGGTCTAGATTACATTGATCAGCTCAGGGATTTAAGAGTAGAGTGGTTAAATCAGTTAATTCGAGTTTCTGGAATTATTACTAGGAGAACCGACATTTTGACAAGATTTAAATCTCTATATATGGAATGTGTTAAATGTGGTTGTGACAATTTGGGTCCTTATGAAGACAACCCATTGTTCGAGGGGGGATCTCTAACCGAAAATAGTTCAATCATGAAAAATATTGGTAAGTGTACCGATTGTCAGAGCAAGGGACCTTTTGTAATTAACAGGGAAAAGACGATCTATGAAAACTACCAGAAGCTAACTATACAGGAATCACCTGGAAGCGTTCCTGCTGGAAGAGTTCCAAGATCAAGGGAAATTATTGTGAATGGGGATTTAGTAGATTATGCCTGCCCGGGAGAAGAAATCATTATTACTGGAATTTACAGAACATTTAGAGACCAAAAGTTAAATATCAAGTCAGGATTCCCAATTTTAGGAACCCAAATTTTCTGCAATAATATTGAAAAGAAGCATGACGCTCTTAGAAAAGATGATCTCACAGATGAAGATTACAAGAAAATTAAGGAGTTATCCAGGGATCCCGACGTTAAAGAAAAGATTATTTCCTCAATAGCACCATCCATTTATGGCCACAATCATATTAAGACAGCAATTGCTTGCTCGCTGTTTTCTGGAGTCAGAAAGCAGGTAGAAGGCAAGCATCACCATATTAGAGGTGATATTAACGTTTTGATTGTTGGCGATCCTGGACTTGCAAAAAGTCAGTTCCTCAAGTACGTAGAAAAGAGTTTTGATAGGACTATCTACACCTCAGGAAAAGGAGCTTCAGCAGTTGGTTTAACAGCTTCAGTTAGAAGAGATCCAGTTTCTGGTGAATGGACACTTGAAGGTGGTGCTTTAGTTCTTGCAGACGAGGGGATCTGCCTGATTGATGAGTTTGACAAGATGAGCGATAAAGATAGAGTTTCCATTCATGAAGCAATGGAACAACAAAGTATTTCAATTTCAAAAGCAGGCATTGTGACAACATTGCGTGCTAGATGCAGCATTATTGCAGCAGCAAATCCAATATTCGGCAAATATGATTCCAGCATGACGTTTAAGGATAATGTAGATCTAACGGACCCCATCATCTCTCGTTTTGATGTTTTAGCAGTTTTGAAGGATGAGGTTCATCCAATGAAGGATGAGCTATTGGCAAATTTTGTGGTCCAATCTCACATGAATAGTCAAGAAATGTATGGGGGTAGCAGCATGGACCAGCATGATCAGGAGAAGAAGTTTTCTTCTGGTTTGAGCGATACGAGCCAAAATTGTGAACAGAGATTTGCTCCAATAGACCAAAAGCTACTTTGCAAATACATCCGATATGCAAGGAAGTACTGTAAACCACAAATCAGAAGTGTAGACAAAGAAAAAATTACAACATTCTACTCAAGAATTAGGCAAGAGGCACAACAGACAGGAGGTATTTCAATGACTGTAAGGCATATAGAGAGTATTATTCGTCTTGCAGAAGCTCTGGCAAAGATGAGGCTCAGCCCAGTTGTATCAAATAAGGATGTTGATGGGGCAATTGGTATGGTTCTTGAGTCATTTATTCAAAGCCAAAAATATGCAGTTGCTCAAAGACTTTCCAAGATTTTCTCTAGATACAAGGCATTGAGCAGTGGATTTGTGGATGTATTGGAAAATTTACTATTACAATTGTTCTCTGATAAGATTCAAAAAATCAAACTGAGAAATTGGGACGAAGAACAGATGAATACTATTGTGGAAGAAGTTGACAACCTGACTATAAATTTGGATGATTTTATAGCAATAGCAGAGAAAATCAAACTATCGCATAATGTCACATTATCATACCTAAAATCATCCTCATTCTTAAAGCACTACGTCATATCGGAGACTATTGACTCCATGGGAAATAACGTCAAAATTATTTGTAAAAGAAGTAATACAGACCAAGATTCTCAAAGCCAACTTTCCATGTAAGCTGATTCAGAATGGTCAGGCCTATGAGCCGTTCTGCTGAAATATTAGGGACTAAAATTGCAAATAAGTTAGACTAAAATTCTTTTAATTGCAATGATGATTCTTTCTTTTATCTCTTCCACCTCACTTTTTTTTTTCACGACTTTATTAAAACTATGCACAACTTTAGGCGGCAAGGTATTACATTGTGTGAGGACAAAAAATGAGTTAATAATGCAAATGGCAAAGTAAAGAATAATTACGGTTATAAAATTTGTGAAAAAATCTAGATGTTAATATAAATTTGTGTAAATTAGTAATTTATTTTTTCCGTTGATCCATGATTTTTTAAAAAAATGAATAACTCAGGTATAGATTATAGAGGCCGTCCATTATTTGACATTCCTCATAAAATGGCAAGCACAACAATTCTAAGCAAGAACTCAGCAGACCTAAATCTAAAAGGGTTTTTTAATCTGTTTATATTAATTCTTGTGTTTACAAATATGGGTGTTGTATTAGAAAACGCAATGAAGTATGGCTGCAAAGTTTCATTTCCAAAAGGAATTACAGATTTAATTCAAAACTGGCCAATTCTATGGTGCTTGTGTCAATTAGTGGCATTGGTATTTATTTCTTTCATACTGGAGAAGTACCTTGCTTCTTTAAAGATATCTTTGCCCAATGTCTATGATAGTGAGCCTAATCACAACTCAAATGAGACTAGATATGGTTTGGTAAACTATAGTTTACCGAAAATAACAGGATTTTTGTCACTAATATTAATTATTACAAATATGCTAATGATGCTTTACATTCCATATAAAACAGTCAAGTTTTATTCTCCAAATCCTCTTTCTTCCTTAATTTTACTCAGCTTTTCATTTGTTTGGTTTTTTAAGACTCTATCATTTCATCATGTTTGTCACGATGTCAGAAGATGCGTATTAAATGATGAGGACTTCCATGAGATTTGTGGAACTTCTCCAGAAGCTGAAATCGCAAGTAAATATCCAGCAAGTTTATCATTGAGATACCATTACTGGTTTCTATTAGCACCAACTATGTGTTTTCAATTCTGGTACCCAAGAACTGGCGGAATAAGGTGGTTACAAGTGATTAAATACACTGTTGAGTTAATTACGTGTATCATTCTTATTAAAATAATAACTGAACAATATGTTATGGTAACGGCACACTATACATTTACATTTAAGGAAATTCAAAGAATGAATATTTTTCAGTTCTTAGGTCATATGGCTACTAGAATAATGAAACTATCGATCCCATCTCTCTATGTATGGTTGCTAGGTTTTGTTGCACTATTTCATCATTACCTCAATATACTTGGAGAAATCACATGTTTTGCAGATAGAGCCTTTTATCTTGATTGGTGGAATGCCGGGAATTTTGGTGAGTATTGGAGAAAATGGAACCTTCCTGTTCATTTCTTCCTTACAAGACACATATTTAAACCACTAAGAAAAAAGGGATTTAGTAGATCTTTTTCAGGCTTACTTGTGTTCACATTTTCTGCTTTAATTCATGAGTATTTGGTAGTTGTTCCACTAGATATTGGGTGGACAGGGTGGGTCGTACTTGCCTTTGTTTTCCAAGTTCCACTTTCATCTTGGACTCAATCAAGCTACATTCAAAAAAGAGAAACTCTTGGAAATGTTTTGTTTTGGATCACATTTTGCTTTTGCGGCCAGCCTATTGCTGTTTTACTATATTATTATTTGTGGGCACTTTCTAAAGGAGAAATTGATCAAATTGACTTAAATAAAATTGAAGGAATTCCACAAATTCCACTGGAGAACATCTCTGGGTATATTGCAAACTTAACAAATGTGACTCACAATATTTACCATTAATTTTTTTTTCATATTCAAAGGTTAATTTACATAATTTCATGTCATTTTGATCATTATCTATATTTTATGACTTCCCGCCCAATTTTTATTTTTCATTTCCCCATATAAAGCAAATAACCAATTAATTAGAATATTAAGAGCAAAAGTATGTAGTTTGCGATGAATTGTTTTGAATTACTCGATTCAATTAGGAGTTATATTAAGAAGTGGCCAGAAATTCATACAGAGGCATTTAAATTTGGTAACTCTTCATTTCTTGATAGTTCAAACAGTGAATATTATAATACCCTGAAAAAGAATTTATGTGGATATTTATATGATTATTTAGATGAGGACGAGATTTCTGTGATACTTTTCAACTCCTTTAAGAGGTTAGCAAATATATTTTTTACAAACTTTGAATTGGAACCGGAAATTCAACCAGAACTTGATATTTCTGACTTATTTGTAATACTTGAGATTATAGACAGTGAATTCATAATATCAAACAATACTAATGAGTATTGTAACTTGTATAAAGATCCAGTGAGTGGCAAATATGGACCAAATTTGATTGAGAGTAAATCTATTCGCAACTTCAACTCTATTGCAAGGTTAATTGAGCATATAATATCAAGGTTTAATTCTAAGAACATTTATTCACTCCGAAACAGTGGAACAGTTTCAAAAGAGAGGTTCAAGGAATTGGCTTTGAGTCGATACATTAGAATGTATGAAATACACAAAAAAAAACCAGAATTTGTGGTAAATAAGATGCATTTAAGTCAATTTGAAGCGGAAACTCAAATGAATATTGAAAGATCTTGGGAAGTCATTTTATATTCTAAGATTATTGGAATGATTAAGACTCTTTTTTTGTTAAATAGTAAAACTAATGATTCCGAAATTAATAATGGATCATACGAACATTCTTCCGTAAATGAAAGGGCATTTATATTAATTGTTACCAAATTCACTGAAACATTAAGGATTATTCAGAAATATAATAGGGAAAATGATAGATCCGGCACAATTTTGTTTTTACAATTTGAATTATATGAAATAATACGCAACCTGTATCCTTATAATTTAGTAGCTTGTATAGATAATATAGAATATTGGAATTACTTCCAAACCTATCTGGAAATGTTTACAAATATTCAAATTCTAATCATTTTTGAATTGAGCCATTTACCAAAAGATATTGAACAAATGATCGATGACGCATATTTTAACAGGATGCAGGATATGATGGACTATGTGTTTAATCGAATTTTTATCACTATAAATAGTATAGAATTGAAATATTATTCAAGTGAGAAACAGGAAATAAACTACTTAAGCTCGCTTTGTGCTTTAATCGCTTACCATTTAGATCCATTATTGTTTTCTAACGAAACTAATGGCAATTATTCTTTCATAATTAAAATATCTATGGAAATTCATATAATTAATTGGATTAAATTTTCGTTCTTGTGTACAAATAATATACTTAATACATGTAATGACTCAATAAAAATTGAGACAGATTCTATTATACCGAAAAATATCTCAAAAGTTGACTTTTTCCAAGAGAAATCAATTAATGGATATTCGATGATATTTTGTGGTCTTAAAATGCTTTATCTACTATTAAATGCTACAGATGTTTCGTTTTTTTTGCCTCTAGTTAAACATATATTCAGCAATTTACAAGTCACTTATTGCTTACTTTTGAAGCAAAATGATCAAGAATTATCCTCTAGTATTTTTTTTGATGACTTTAGAAGAGCAATGAGGCTCCTAGACGAAATAATAATACTTTTTTCGCAAAGTCTTAATAGGGAGATTATTCATACTCTTTCTACTATTGAAAGTAATATTGACCTACAACGCAATAAAGCTCCTATAGAATTGCTAAATAAATTGATAGAAAATAGCTATTTTGTAGTTTAATACATAGTGAAGAGTAGATAAATAAAATATAAGTATATTCATTCAATATATATATATATGTAGATATAAACAAAACCGGTTAATAGAGATTAATAACTCGTTAATATACTAAACAATGAATTACTCTATTTAAACCTATTTAATGCTACTCAGACATTTAGTAAATGAAAAGTAATAAACTACTTAAATTTACAATAAGATTCCATTTATGCTCTTGTATATATCATCTGTCCGTGAGTCTGTTCTCCAACTGGTTTGATAATTCCCTTAGATTCACAGTCACGTAGCATGGCTCTAGCAGCGCTTGCATTAACCTTAAGTTGGTTAACAACAACAGCTGGGGTCAAAAGTCTCGATTTCAAAACATCGCTGTGGAAACGGTCGGCAGTCTTCTTGTCGAACAAGACGGAATGGTTTGCCTTATCTTTTTGCTTACCTTTTGACCACTTCTTGCGTTTTGCTCTACCTCCTGCAGCTGCAGCTGCGGCAATTTGCTCCTTAGTCTTCTTTTCACCTTTTGGTGGCATCTTGAGTTGATAGGATAAATTTGTCAAATAAATAAACGAATTCTTCCTAAAATGACTCGCTCCGGCCCACGTCTCTATTAGCCTATTTTTTTAATTATTATTAGTTATTAATTTACTATTTAATTTTCGAGACAGAATAGACGCGACACGGCTGGCGCCTTTTTAGGGACGTTTTATTTCAATAAAGGTGTTAAACTAAATTTAATACGAAATCTACCGAAAAAGGAAGCAAAAATTTGACTACTAGAGATAATTACTTCTAAAACTAGACATGTATTCTGTGTTATTGAGAATGTATTAATTGTTGTGCAAGAATGCATTCTTTGAATATATATATATATGAATACTTTCTTCTCTTTATATTTAAGTGGAGTTATCTAGAAATGAAGCATTGAATACTTAATATTATATGTTTTTTGTTTCACTAAGAACAACTTTTTTTCTGTATTATATATTCTTAATGTTTCCTAAATCTATTTCAATGATAACATTAAATTATTCAGAGCGCTAACGTTTTCAAATAGATTGAAAAATTATTATTATGGAAAAATGTTGGGCGGTTAAATTAAATTAAATAATTAATAATAGTTAAACAAATAGAAATAATAAGTAAACAAAGGTAAGTTTACGTGCGTAAAATTAGTTAGATTAAAAAAAAAAAAAGTTAATAGAAAAAAGTAATAGTTAATGCCAACTCTGGAATATTAGTATTTGCAAGTTTTTATGCTATAATGTGGTAATTTCCCTTTACTAACTTTGAGGTCAATTTGGCAGTAATATTTGATGAACGGATAAAAGCCCAATTTGTTCTCAAGGATTCATAAATCAAGTAACATTAGGCTTATTTCTCAATAATTGTATCGAGTTAAATTCTCAAGGTAATTTGAAACTAATTGTTGGATATTTTTAAATCATAGAATAGAAGGATTAAAAATAGTGATAGAGGCCTAATGGTTTTCTAGACATATGAATTAATAGTTTGGTATTGATTAATAGAATAAATAACATAATATCCTGAATAAAACAAGATCAAGAAATTCAAAAAGGAGATGTTTTTTTCGAGAAAATAAGGAAATGTTGGGACAAGGCCAAAACTTATTGAATGGGGTTTACTCGAGAAAATATGAAAGGCACAGTATGGAAATAAGTAAGAACAAAGGAGTTAGGAGAAAGCAAAATAATAAGAAAGGAGATTTTCAGGTGCAGAACATGAATCATAAAAAATCAGAGTTTTCAAAAGGAAATGTGGACCATTTAATTAAACATAGCAATACGGTAGGAAACTCACCAGACAGGTATTTAGCAAAGGAAAGAAAGAGTCAGGCGTCATGTTCAACCTCAGATCCGACTTCTCCTTCAGCTTATAGAAGTGGTAACGATAATGATTTTGAGCAATATGAAGTATGCGACATAATTGAATTAACATCTAATATGATTTTATCGAATGAAGGCCGTTTTGAAACTTTAAGTGAGTACGAGTCAGTCCCCAAATTCTCACCAAGTGTAATAACGGGGTTACCAAATACAACAATAATTAGTACCTCAAGCTCAAACACAACTATATCGGACCCAGAGAAAGGTATTGGTTCTAAATCTTTTTTAACGGAAGGCAAGTTTAGGCGTGAAGGCTTGATTCCAGCATGCAAAGGATCAATACACTCAGACTATATTATTGATTCTGGGAGAATAGGGAAAGGAACATATGGCTCGGTCAAAAGTGGTACTAACCGGCTGACAGGATGTATTAGAGCAATTAAGACTATTCCACTGACTAGAGTTGAGGCTTTGGAAAACTTTATGAAGGAAATTAACATTTTAAAGAACTTAGACCACCCAAATATAGTGAAGCTCTATGAGACCTACCAAGATAAGAAAAATATATATTTGGTAATGGAGCTATGCAGTGGAGGAGAACTTTTTGATCGAATTATTAGCCAGGGAAGCTTTGATGAAATTTATGCAGCCAACCTAATGAAACAAGTTTTATCCACAATTTGCTACTGCCATGACCACGGCATTGTTCACCGTGATTTGAAACCAGAGAATTTTCTCTTTTTGAATAAGAATTACAATGCTCCATTAAAGATTATAGATTTTGGATTGGCAGCCAGAGTTAACAATGAAGATACATCTCTAAATACTCGAGCAGGAACCCCGTATTATGTTGCTCCCGAAGTATTGCAAGGAAAATACGATAAACAATGCGATATGTGGAGTTTAGGAGTAATTTTATATATTCTGCTCTGTGGATATCCCCCTTTTCATGGTAGTAATGATAGCGTAATCCTTCATAAAGTACAAAAAGGAGTATATGCTTTTAAAGAGGAGGACTGGAAACATGTTTCGTTTCTTGCAATTGATCTGATCAGAAGATTATTAACTTACAATCCAGCAGATAGAATTACAGCTAGAGATGCATTGAACCATCCTTGGATTACTAGATTCACTGATGATATTCTTTTCTTATCTCCTAGAAACAGTATGTATTATAATGATGGATTCATGAAGACTGGTTTGATATTTAATGACCATGTTGGTTCTGGTAATAATCATTTTAAGACTCTAGAATGCCAACAAAGACCTAGAAATGGTAATTTAGTGAATTCAAGAAGAGGTGGCTATATAAAAGGAGGACTTAGGTACTGTAGGTCCAAAAAAAGATCTATTTCATCTTCTTCTGGATTAAATTTGCTATCCAATTTTAGAGCATTCCATAAATATAATCGTTTTATGAAGGTTGCTTTGACTGTTATAGCTCAACAAATGACAGAGAGCCAAATCAGCAATTTAAAAGAAGCATTTATTCTTTTGGATGCTAATTGTGATGGAACCCTTACCCCCCAGGAAGTCATTACAGGATTGAAGAATAGTGGGATTACTGAGCTTCCTTCGGACTTACTTGCAATTTTAAATGATATAGATAGTGATGGAAGTGGTTCAATTGATTATACAGAATTTATTGCAGCTACTTTGGATAGTAAACAGTATTCAAAGGAGCATGTATGTTGGGCGGCTTTTAAAGTATTTGACCAAGATGGAAATGGAAAGATTACAGCAAATGAATTACTTAATGTGTTTTCATATAATTCAGAACAAGGATCTACAGGAATTAATGATAAGGCTCTTTCTGATGTGAAGAATATGATTAAAGAGGTCGATGTAAATGGAGATGGTGAAATAGATTTTCAGGAATTTTTGGGAATGTTTAGAAGATCTACTTCTTAAATAGACTCCTATTGCCACTTAATTAATATTTCTGAATAATGTTTTGTTAAGTCTAATATGATTTGATGAGTTAAAAAACAAATAATCTGCGTTTCTAAACTATATTAATTTGTTATGTAAATATTTATATATGTTTATTTATTATCTAAATGCTCAACTAACTTATCTACTATAATTAATAATGTATCCAATATAAGTTGATGCTCTTTACTACTACAGCTTTCTCTAAATTCTTTTTCTAAATTCAACCTTTTTTCATTCTCACATGATTTATTTTGGTTTTGAGATTTACAGTATTCTATATTTGCCTTGTTCTCAGCTTCCTGTCCCTCTCCAAAAAACCCACTGCTAGTTTCCCAGAAGTACTTTGAAAAGTTAAATTCATTTACTTTTGGTTTTATAGTTTTGACATGGTTTGACTTTATATTGGGAGCTCTTATTGAAAATGTTTCAGAACCTACAACCTCAACCTTTTTGCCTACCTCCGAGTTTTTTTCTGCAACTAGAGTAGGAAACTTAACTAAATCAGTCTCGTTTAAAGTGTCTACACCTCCAATTTCTAAATAATCATGATTTTGTTGAATATCTATACTTAAATCAGAATTACAATGAACTTCAAATACATTTTGTCCACTTTCATCACTAATCTCCCTTTTAAAGAGGCAATCACAGATTTTATCATAGTATACTTCTTTTGTAGGGCTCCTCAAATCAGGAATAACTCGAATGTTAATTTTTATAGATTTACGGTCAATAAAAGATGAATCTAAAATACACTTATCTGCACCAAATAAAAGCAGATAATTCTTGTTTCTTTTCATCTCATTATCACCAGTATTTAGATTCAAAACTGTACTATAGTTTACATCCGTTTCAGTATTGCTAAATACCAAGTCTGATTCTTTACAAATAATATCTTGAAGTTTATTCATTTTTATCAAGTTAAAATTATCAGAGCTCCGAAAATTGTTTCCCGAAATAACTTCTTCTGGAGTTTCCATCAGACTTTGCACAAAGTTGTTATACTTTATGGGGTCTAAAATAAAGTACTTGCTACTGCTTGTTCCATCCCCCGAATTTGAATGTGAACTATAGGCCGTTTGAATGTAAATAAAAATAAAATGGAGTATTATATAAATTTTAAACATCAATTCTTTCCGCAAAACAGGGCATATCTACAATGGTAAAATTAAAAAAAAATATCGAATATTTATTTTTGCCTATTTTTATGCAAACCTTTATGCATATATAAAATCATTTATTACTAAAAAGTGAGATGCCGCCAAAAAAATAGTCAATATTAGATATAAAATAAATATTAAGGATCCCAAAAAAAAATTAGAAACAAGTAAGAAAGAAAGTTTGTGATTTAATTAGCTAACAATAATTTTATTTAATAATTAATCATTTTGATGACTTCCAGAACTCTGTTTTAAAATTCACAAAAAAAATTTTAAAATATAGTTTTCAAGTGATAATTGCGCGCCAAAAACTCTGTATACATTAGTATTCCAAAATAATAAATAATTAATTTTCTGTAAGACTTCTATTGTACAATAACCATTTGATTTGATTATTTTATACGATTGAATACATGATTTTAGGTCAAGTGTGCTCCGGTAAAACGTCTGAGATGTCCTTAAAAAAGTCAGGGTTGCTAGTATGTAAGTTTGCTGATGGTGAAGACTTTAATCTCACTTGGCCAGGAGGCCAAACAAAACAGAATTTAGTCAAATACATGGAAAACTCTATTCGGAAGCGTGGGAGTTTTAGTTTGGATGAGTTATTGGAAATAGAGGTAAGTAATAATTAGCAAGAAGCGATTCCCAATGATATAAATTGCTTTTAACAACTGGTTAAAAAACACATGAATAATAAAATCGTAGGTATCTTATTTGGAAGAAGATGGCCATGTATCTTGGAAAGCCACAACACTAGAAGAACTTGCTGAAGATTGTAGAATTAACATTGTTCGAGTGGTAAAACAAGGAGATCCAAGGAAGACTATGATAACTGAAAGTGCGTCCAAAATAAAAGGGTTGAATGAAAGTAAAAGATCTTCGATTAATCAAGCAATATACATGGAGTCAATGAGGAGTCAGGAAAATTCTAATTCAAAACAATATAAGTCTGTTACTAGAGAGGAACTAAAGATTCACAACAAACAGGAAGACTGCTGGATATCCTATAGAGGCAAAGTATACGATATCACAAAGTACCTTCAGTTCCATCCTGGTGGTAGGTTTCCTCAATTTTAAATCTAACAAATGTGACTATATTCTCTTTTTAGGAAAAGAAATTTTGCTACAATTCGCGGGTCAGGATGTTTCCAATGCATGTAATCATTTTCATCACTGGGTTAATTGCGAAAGAATTCTACAATTTTCCTATGTGGGAAATTTAATAGATTAAATATTTTAACTTATTATTTCAGTTGGCGCTCAAACTTTTGATTTTTAAAAAAAAAATTATTTATTCAGTAAAGTCATGGAGAAAAGCGTTGAGGATTGGGAAATCTGGAAAGGGGATATTTCTTTTTGGAAGCATTCCTTGGCGGGTAGTATTGCTGGAGTTATGGAGCATTCTTGCTTCTTTCCCTTAGATACTATTAAAACATGTCTACAATCTGGAAGAGTTGATGGTCTAACAGGGAGTCGAGGAATGATTGCATTTGTGAGGAGTAGTGGAATAAAATCTCTTTTTAGAGGTTTTCCTGCGGTAGTATTTGGTAATGTTCCAGCCCACGCGTCCATGTTCACTACTTATGAATTTTCAAAGAGGATGATGTCAAAAATTATTAATAAGTTTGAGCATAATGAAGATAAATCTCGTGTATTATATAACCCCAACATGAGTATACTTAATTCAGTAGTTTCTCCCGCCGTTTGTGGTGGACTATCAACTATTTCCCATGATGTAATTGCCACTCCTTTGGATGTTATAAAGCAAAGGTTGCAAGTGGGTTCTTACAAAGGAATGAGTGATTGTATTTTAACAATACTCAAAAAAGAGGGGATTCGGTCATTTTATAGGTCTTTACCTATAACTTTGTTTATGAATATCCCACAAACTGGGTTGTTTGTGCTACTGAATGAGAATCTTAAAGTACTTATTGGTCGAGTTAAAAAAAATTCACTTAAGCAAAATACGTACAATTTTGTTATAGCCGGAATTAGTGGAGGAATTGCAGGGTTCATCACAAATCCTCTTGATGTTATTAAAACCAAGCTCCAAACCCAAGCATGCCATATTTCTCAAAAAGAATCATTTAAAGTCGTCTATCCTAACGTCAAAAAAGCCTTTATTGATACTTTTAGAAAGCAGGGTCTTAGAGGAATGTATTCTGGAGCTTTGGCCAGAGCGTTCTTAATTGCACCATCATATGCCTTATGTTGGGGTACCTACGAAACTGTCAAAAACTTTCTTTAAATTCTTTCGAATGATTATTCAAGCTATTCTAATTTAATCAGAAACTACTTGTCAATTAGCTTCTGACAAAATTGCAGTATTATCTTAAGATTTGCTTTGGTTATTCACGCTTTAAGCAACAAATTAATTTTAAATTTAGGAGATTACGTCTAGTTAAACTAGTAGAAAAATAGATTATTAGAACATCAATTAGGAAAAGTTGCAAATTAAAAGATTAAAATTATCCCTAGGCTGAATTCCATCTAATCGCCTTATATACTTTATATTACTATAGTTTAAAATATATATTAGCAATTAACTAGCTCAGGAGCAATATTCTCAAGTTGGGAAACAACGTTCATGGTGGAATTGATCCAATTATCCATCTTTTCCATCAATAATTTCATTCTAGCCTTATCTAATACTCTAGAATGAACCCAACTAATTTCCACTGTTTGTGATACCTGGTCGATAATACCCCTAATCAAATTCATATTAATTGCCTTCATAACCAACAATTCAATTTCATTTATACCAATCCTACAATGTTTTGCAATCTCTTCAAAGGTAAGAATTCTTTCATTCTTATTTTTTCTAAAGGCCAAGTCCATAAGTGCTAGAGTTGTGGTCTTTTTAGTAACACAAACTTGGATCTCTGGAATGGAAAGTGGGGTTTTGTTGACTTTATCTTGATGCTTTGAAATAGTGTTCATAAAAGAATCAATGTCACCTTCATGTAATGAAACCAAAACTTCAAGTATCCAGGCATTTTCTAGAAATTTTTTTTTAGTCAACTCATCTATTTGTTCTGAGTTACTTCCCTTAACTATAGAACTAAACTCCTGGACAACTGGATGTAGAACAAGTTCACCCATATTATATATATCTTCGGAAATGACAGCAGCCATAATCAAGTCATAGACTAAAGATGGCTTCTCTTTATATGGGATTTTGTTAATTGGAGTATAGGACAAGTAATGTATTGCTTGTTTGTAAAACCTGCTTACTCTCCCCATAGTTTTCTCATAAGAAGCATATGAACGATGATAGAGAGCCAATATTTCAGCCTCCAATCCCCTATAAGAGTCCAGCTTTTGTGTCAAAAACTCAAGTGTTTCCTCACAATCAATACTGAGATCCTTAGATTTGGAGTATTCTAAAGCGAGCAAGCATCTAAAGTAGAGATCACCTTTGATTTCTTGTTTTGGTGCAATATTTTGTTCTTGAGTCAAACTTGCATTCTTATAATTATCTTTAACTTGATACAAATCTTCCTCTCCCATCAACTTTTTGAGAAGTTGCACCTTTGATTGAATGTCGGTGGGGCTTCTTGATAAAACTTCCCCAACAAATACTGCATACCTCAAAGGATCAAAGTTATTTTTAAGTGGCTCAATCGCATTTATTAAGAATTCACACAAGTCGTTTTCTTGAATCCTAAGCCCCTCAATAGAAATATACTCTAAAGAAGACTCTAAATACTGAAAATATAACTTCTCCTTTAAATAAGTCTTCAACTGCTCAATCTGCTTACTATACTCAGCTCTCTTATTGAGCTCCAGCTCTAATTGTTCCATTGGAGTTTTAGATTCCATCCTTGCTTTTTCTAAATAATCTCAAATCTACGTTCCCTTCTACCTTCTTTTAACCAGATTCTTTCAAGAAATTTCTTTTAGAAGAGTTGCAATTTGCTTTCACTCCTTTAGTGGGGATTCTTCTAAAGAAGTCTATTTTTGTTTATTCTTCCCCCCTCCCCCCTCCCACTTAATGCAGAAGTCTGTTGGCGCCTAACACCGGTATACAATTTACACTAATTAGGGTGCCCTAACACACATCTAAATGCAAAAAAAAAGTAATTAAAAAAACAAGTTTCAAATAATAGATTAAACACAACAACACCAACCTCTACTGCTCAAATAATATACACAACTATATGTACTTGTCGGAAGCGCAATTCCTCTGGGAGCTGAAGCCTGTGATTAATTTTTTTCGCAAGCAAGCGGAAAGACTCGTAATACTGAAGGAGTCCTTCAAAGAAATAAATGCTAAAATTCTGACTTCGATATGTAGTTAAATAATCCTTGCCAAACGGAGGCGAATAATCACCCAAGCAAAAATAATTATAGTCTTACTTAACTCAACACCATAGAAGACAAACAATAAAACTCTGGTTATTACCCACAATACCCTAACACACCTAATTAATGCATCACCGATAATATGCCCGGAAGAATACACACAACCTCCCCATTATCTAATACAAGTTGAATCAAATAAAGCCACTTTCGCATGTCCATTTCATTTTCTTATCTCAATGTTACAACACTACCGCCTTTACCTTGAGGCGCCAGGTTTAGTGGCAGTAATACGTAATGATATGTCTCTGCTCCACCTCAAATGCGTCAAAGTAAGGCCTGCGTAGAAATCACTTGTCTTCATTTTACCTGAAGACTGCAACGCTGATTATATTGCTATTGCAGCCGTGATGTTATCAGCAACGGCTGAGGAGAACACCCTCGATAGCCGAGAAACCAAAGATAGCTGAGCTGTTTGCACAATTCAGTCAGTCTCTGTTTCCTTTTATTGATAGTTACTATTGAACCAAGAACCTTCTCTCTAATAAGTTGGTTTAGACCCCCCAATTTCTTTGCGGCTGTCCGTTGACCGTTTTGAACTCCGGCTTCACTCTGCCTTGTCCATTGGTTATTGCTTTTGGGTTATATATTAGCGCTGTAAATCACGATAAGTTCTATTGTTACTACCACCTAGCGGAAGACTATTAGGATTGTTTCTTCTGAAGCCAGTGTTTCTGGGCCGTGTTCTTTTGTTTGGAGGTGAGAGTCTGAAAAGCTCCTGTGGTATCTTTTGCCTGGCTTCTCTCAGAACCCTTATGAGGTCACTTGCCATTCTGTATTTGTCAGGAGTGAAGAAGGATAATGAAACTCCAGTGGCTCCAGCTCTTCCAGTTCTGCCTATCCGGTGGATATAATCTTCAATCTGATTTGGAAAATCGAAGTTAATTACAAAGTTAATATCTTTTATGTCTAAACCTCTTGCTGCAACATCTGTTGCTATCATTATAGGTGATGCACCAGTTCTAAACTCATTCAAAACCCATGTACGTTCTTCCTGCTTCTTGTCACCATGTATACACAGAGCAGGCCAGCCGTCTAATCTCAACTCCTTCGTTAGAATATCTGCACCTTTTTTAGTTTCGCAGAATATCAACACTTTTGGAGTCGACTCAACCATTACTTGACTCAAAAACATTTTTAGCTTAGCTTTCTTTTCGCTTTCTTCTATCACATCCACATACTGCTTTATGTTATGGGATGCCTTCAACGCGTCTACAGATCCCACATTTATGTGTATAGGAACCTCTCTGCAAAGATCTCTAGCTAACTTCTGCACCTCCTTCGGCCATGTCGCGCTCCAAAGTAGCGTCTGCCGGTCAGGACGAATTTGAGAAACTAATTTCCTAATCTGGGGCTCAAACCCCATATCTAGCATGCGATCCGCCTCGTCTAGAACTAGATACGTGACCCTAGATAGATTTGTGTAACCCTCTTCTAGCAAATCAATAAGTCTACCAGGACAAGCAATGCAAATTTCTACTCCGTTTCTAATTGAAACTTGTTGAGGTCTCTTTGATACCCCACCATAAATGGCAGTGTTTCTTAGTTTCAAAATGCTACCAAATTGATTGGCCTGTTCCCTAATTTGCTCTACCAATTCCCTAGTTGGTGCAAGAACAAGGCATATTGGTCCGTCCCCGTATCTTAACCGAGGCTGAGCCCTAATATGTATCATTGCGGGCAGTAAAAATCCCAATGTTTTCCCTGAACCTGTTTCAGCTATGCCAATCATATCATGTCCTGATAAAGCAACTGGCCAGCCTTGAACTTGAATTGCTGTTGGTTCAGTAAATCCTGTCCGGTAAAGAGCATCTATCAGGAAACTCGGAAAACCTGAGGCAACAAAACTAGTAATGGGTTTCGGTACATTTTCACCTGCTATTATAGTTATCTTGCGTTCTTTCCTAATTTGATCCACTTGCTCATTTGACAAACTAGAGACACTTTCGTGCTCGTGGTAGAAATTCTTTTCGAAAGGAATAAGGTTCTGAGAACCCCAATCTAACTTCCCTAACCTATCGCCAAACTTGCTGGATCTAATTCCTCGCGAGCTTGAAGATGATACAGAACCCAAAGCTAAACCTGCATTTGTACCAAGACCATTACCCTTACGATTCAATAATAAATTATTATGGAACTTCCTTTGGTTGAGGCCATTTACTACAAAGTTTCTGAAGCCTTTACCATTATTTGAAGCCCCTTCTTTGAATCCGCTATTGTTCTTTTCATGATTTCTTATTTTGTAAGACACATTTTTTGAGGCGTCAGAATAAGGCCTAGTATAATAGTAGTTATTATTTGTATTTGAGTGCAAAGAATTTAGTGAGTCTTGCGAGTCCCCATTATGCATATTTTAATACTTTATTACTTTAAAGAAGGCCAAGACTATATTTCTTAAATAATCGGAAACTGCTAACCGATTTTCTAATAAAAGTTTAGCTTCAAATTAGTTTGGACTTCTTTCCGCGCCTTCTTTGGTTTAAAATTAATATTTATTACATTTCCGCATTTGCCTTCTCTGCTTTACAAATTTGAATACGCGCTTGTTTTTATTATATATTATTCGTCTCTAATAATAAATAATTATGACTATAGGTTAAAAGACAGGCGGGAAAGCACACTAATCAACAAATTTAGATTAAACGTAGCTTTAGTTACTGAGATTTGTGTTAAAGCATGGGGCTAATCATAAATACTTTGTTACAACCATAGATCTTTTTAGCACTCTTTTAGGCATAAGTGCTTGACTAAGTCAGATAGATAAAGTTCTGAAAAGGCCTCAGAATTCGTTTTCAATTAGGAATATGATGGGTGAGGGCGTAGTATTAGGAGAAAGCAAAAGGAGAGGTAGCGTAATAGGTAGTGCAAAGGAGCAGCAGGTACAGGAAAAAAAAAAAAGCAAAGTTTTTATAAACTCCTCTGTTAGTTCAGAGTGCGATGAATTCTCTGTTCCTCGTAGACACCTTAGCAGACATCTCGAGATGAATTTTTTTATCCACATATTTTCTTTTTAAGATCAAATTACGGGGCACTTTTGTCTTAGCAATTTGTATCTGGCTCACCATAGGAAAAGAAGTGCAAATCGTAGAGATTAGATCCTAACAAAAGGGGTAACAAAGAGAGTTATCAACCCAAAATTAGAAAAAAAAAAAAAAAAATTACATGCAATCATGCAACAATAAATTGCCATGAGGAAATCAACAAAGTGGGGGGCAGAAGATATTTTAGTTGATTGCCAAATTTGGCAATTAACCCCACTAGAGACACTTGCCGCCAAAAAAAAAATGCTGTCTTCTTCATAAATCAAAAATAATAATTTGTGAACGAATAAAATTGTTGCATGCTAGAAGCTTGGAATAACAAAGGGAAAACGATATTGATGCAGAACAATGTACAAGAGCCATGGCAATAAAGGACTGTCAAGCTATTTCTCGCCATCCTTCGAGGATGAGTTGGTTTCACAGTACCAAACTCTAAGTGAATCAACGGCCTCAGATATTGGCTGGTCAGTCCAAGAATCATGTTTAAAAGCTGACGAAATTGGGTGGGAAGATCCAATTAAAGGAGGAGGATTAACGCTCAATGAGTTTGGGTCGTTCATGGGTAATATGAACGAAGAACCTGTAACCAGTTCAAAGGACTTGAGATCTAGATATCTAAATAACTTTATATTTGATGATAACCCCATAGCCGTCGTGCCATGTGGTCTACTCTATCCGATAGTTTTCATTGGTAACATCCCTCCGAATGTTCCATATGAATACCTAAAATCAGTTATTCTTTCGTCATTCGACACACGGAGCGAGGAGGATAACTGCCATCGTATGATTGCTCTTAATTATCAGCCTAGTTACAAGGAGTGGAGAACGGCATATGCGACATTTAAAACCTGGAGCTGTGCTCAGAAAGTGATCCAACATCTTCACCTAAGAAGGCACTTTAAAAATGCGCCATTCCACCGCCTTGTGGCTTGTATATCACCGACCCCTCCACCGTCTGTCCTCTCATCAAGCTTTGACTCTGCCTATGATCCTCAAGAGGCAGAGCAAATTATCACGGAGTTTCAGGAAACAAACCGTAGGCTGATAATGTACCAACCTCAGGATACTGAGATTTGGTTGCCGTCTTATAACCGAATTGAAAAAAATAAGGGCTTTTTTGGCACATGGAACTGCTTTAGAAGAGATCATAAGATGCACCAACCCCCAGCTAGATGGATGCAATACTACCGAGAAAATGGCATATGTGAATATTGGGACTCTTTTACTGGCAATATGCAATCCACGCTTCCTGTTAGCCAAGCCAAAGATGACAAACATTTTCTTCCGACCTCCATTACGCTGCTTAGAGATGGTCCAGGAGGAGCTAACCTATTTATATATGGCATCCCTAACGACTGGACTGAGGTTACTTTAATGCAATTGTGCCAGAGATTTGGACATATTGTTGGAATTAGACTCCCTACTGCTAATAACAATGGCAAGCTAAACCGTTGCTTTGGCTTCATTAGCTACGACAACAAACCCTCCACCTGGGCGGCAATCCGATCCATCGCAGGAATTAAGTTCTTTGGCAAGCCTCTCAAGATCCAGCTTAAGGCAGGTGAGGATGCTCTTCTTCCACTTACTCTAAGGCCTATTGTTGAAGGCTCCACCAGAACCAGAAACTTTCATCAAGAACAGTTTGAGCTCAAGTCTAAAAGTGCTAATCAGCAGAGCAATGCTTACATGATGAACAACATGCCATTTACTAATGGCTGTAGTGTTCCTTGTAATAATAGTAGCTGTGTTAACACTCCAATTATTCCCTCACAAGCCTCAAACGGAATTAACTCTTTTCCAAACACCACTCAACTACATTGTAATTATGTGTCTGGAATAAAGCAGGCTCGTTATAGGCCCGAGCCTGGTCATACTAGAATGAATCAGAAATTTGAAAACCCAATATTACTACCACCTAATGATAGTAGTATTAAGTCTCCATATAATGGAGTTACAGACCTTCCAATTAACTCTACCACGATTAGTAATACTATTACCACTACTACTACCGCCAACAATACGAAAACCGTCTCCAATAAGATGCCTCCAAGTGAACACACCAGCAATTCATCTCTTTCATTTTCCGATTTCTTTCGAATTCAATCAACACCACAACCATCCCTAGAGTCATTAGAAAATAATCATTTAATTGCCGAGAACCAAAACCACCTTACTGAGAAATCTGCAAATTTGCAAATGCTCCTCAAAAATATACTCATCTACGACCACTCAAGCTCCCACAGAGTTTAGCAAGGTATCGATTCCCTTTTGTTACTCAAACGAAGAAGTGTAATTATGTTTAACAAAATTATTGTGGACCCTGTTCTTTGAGGGCTGAAGCTCAGCCCTCTCGAGCAGAGATTGTTTGGATCCTCCCAAAACCATATCTAGACTTGGGTCTTGCACGCATACCGGAGACTAAGGAGGAGAAACTTACTGTTGTGATGCTGTTACTACCACTACTACTACTTCCGCCACTACTACAATTACTACTAATACTACCACTACTACTAAAAGCAACACAAATACTACTTGTACTGTTATTATTTGACAAAAATGAATTTTTGATCAAAGTGCTTATGATTTTTTGACAAATTGTTGATCCGTGTCTATACAAAGTTTTAAAAAACCGCGAAATGTCTTTTGGGGATTTAATTTGGAAAAAGAGGAAAAACACCTCAAAATTGGCTAAATAGTTCAATTTACTACAATGGTTAATTTTAAAATTTTAACGCATAATAGCAAAGATGCAAGGTACAGACTGGGTGTCCTTGAGATTCCCAAATGTTTTCTTTCAAAGTATGATAGTACAATAAGACATTCTGATATTAAGACGACTTCTGGAGCCACGGACGTGATTGAGAACCTCCAGGAAACGGGAGTTAAAGCGAAGTCGAGCTCTAGTAACCTAGGAAATATTGGATTAGCCAGTATTGCGACCCCAACATTTAGTGTTCCAACCTTTGGGGGTCTGCCTCATTGTATTTTACCCAAGATAGAGTCAAATCAAGGCGAAAATTACGAGATAGCATCCTTAATGCCTGAAATCGATTATCTTCTAATAGGACACGGCTTAGATTTGGAAAGAGTTAGGAGGAGAGGACTAGTGTCTATAGAAAAGGAGAAAGACGAGAAAAGAGATGATAATCATTCTGGAAATTGCACGTGTTTTAAACAAAGTAGCAATGCCAGCAAGTTTGACATTCTGGAGCAGCCCCCACCTCAACTGGCAAACAAGGACTATATTAGGTATCTAATGTTCCGCCAGCCGCTGGTTCCTGGTGTTACATGCTGGAATGGGTCGGATGGGGTTCTGGTTCACACTGAAAGTGGGAGGATTACTGTCTGCATTGACGATGTGATTGCATCCATAGAACATTTTCAGCCAGCATTCTTTATTTCCCCTGCAGAAGAAGCTCAGACGGGCCAATGTGGCAAGAATGTTTCGTTCAGATCTATTCAGCGAGCTGACGAGATGCTTCTAGCTTTACTTGAGAAACTAAAGAGAGGGACTTCAGACTGTCCAAAGGAGGTAACAGAGGTATGGGATGGAGGAATTTCCTGCACCGGTAGTACTGGGAAGCCAAGGACCAAAGTGCTGGTGAATATCCAGGGAGCGCATTTTGTGAATTACAGAGCAGCAGCGGCTCTGGGTGTTTGGGACCTGTGTAATGGCACTGGAAAAGGTCTGAGGAACATTGGATTTTCTGGAGATAAGGGCTCTGCTGAGATTAGGGTAGATAGTTCAGGTAAATCTGAAGAGGCCAGCGGGCTGGACCAGTTGATTTTAGGTGTGGCTATTGGCGGTCTGGGGTACTCAGAGAAGTCGTCGGTAAGGGCTGAGTGCATCAAGGCGGTGGTAGATCACATTCCTGACAATAAGTTAAGGCTAATTTCACTGGGTACCGGAAGTCCAATAGAACTATTACAGGCGGTATACCTTGGGATGGATATTATTGAATGCCCTTATGTTTACAGATGCAGTCTAAGTGGAGTTGCATTATCATTTGACCTCGACGAGTTTTTGAGACAAAGAGAGATCATTAATTACAGTAACGAAGAGAAAAAAAATGCTGAGAGATTTTTATTAGAGTTTGATTTTTCAAATAGCGAGTGCGGAATGGATATAGATAAGGATGGGAAAGCAACAGGAAGGACAATGTTGAAGTCTTTTGGTGGAGCCAAATATATGGACTTGAATGATAGAAGGTATTCTTGTGACTCAGAAAAACTAACAAAGAATAGTCCAGTTCCTCATTCAAGAGCATACGTCCATCACTTGATCAACTCTGGGGAGATTTTAGGATTTTCATTGTTATTCATGCACAATTATTGGCAATATCAAGGTTTATTATTGTCAGTAAGGAAGGCTATCTTTGATGGAAGACTCGAGGACTTTGTGACTTGGTTTATTTATACACAAACAGATCTTCAGATTCATCCAATTAAGTTACCAGAACCTGCATTGGAAACTTATACATTTGATGGAATGAAGGGAAGATTACAGAAAGATTTGATACGTAAATAGTGAATATAGATGATGATAGATGGTGTTTTAAGCTGTGTTATGCAAGCTCAAGTACTCTTAAAAATATGACTTGAATTTACTCTTGCTATATTTTTAATTGAAACTCAACTATTGTTTGGATTTCAAAAAGAATTACATTTCCTTTGAATAAAACAAACTCAAAGTTTTAATAATAATACAAGTTTACTTCATTTTTATGGGTATTTTACTTCGAATACCATTTTCTTTTTTTACTAATACTTAACATTAGTACTTGGGACTTTTCAACCCCAAGGATTTTCGTATTACTTAAATAATTAACACTAGAATTTAAGATAATGGATACATAACTTGATCCCTTTGAAATTTTTATTTTTTATGTAAATCCTTATAGAATATAAGAATGATCTTTGATTTAAATACAAATTGAAAATAGATGTTAATTTTCTAGCTTAGTTACTTACATATTATCTATCTACTACTAGTTATTATTTTATAGTACTAATTAATATTCACCAGAGCTGCATGCAAATCCAACGAAACCCTATACTACTAACCTGTAAGTGACATATCTGCCTGCAGTTTCCGAGGGACGAATAATTTTGACCACTTGACCTTTAGCCAAACCAAAGTAACGAGCAACCGGATCGGCATGTTGAATTCTTGGAAGTTGAGTTTCCTTGATCTTATATCTGTCCAGAAGCTGAGCCTTTTCTTCGTCTGATAATAAAATATGTTTTGGAACCAACTCATGTTTAGTAATATTAACCAAAAGCTCGTTTTCTAAAAAGCTCTCAATATAATGTTTTGGAGCTGCATCTAGTATAGCCACCTTAGCATGAGCTGTCAAGACATTCTGGGAAATTAGTATTGCTCGTTGTATTGTATGCTCGTCCATCTTTTCTACTATATCTCTAATTGGTTTGACTCCTGTTTTCTTTGATTCATCAGCAAAGTAACAAATAATTCGTTTGGTTTGATCCTGTTTATGAGAAGCAACCATTAACATTCTAGACCTCAGGCGCTGGTGAGACTCAAATCTCTCTTTGAAAGTTGGAAAGTCTTCCTCTTTATCTTGGCTTGAAACTATATATCCCCTATCCTCAAGCATTTCGCAAAGTGTCCTCCTTGCTCTAAAGAACCGGTTATCGCTGTTGTCCATGGTTATTAAAATCCAGCTAACTTTGTTTTTTGAATAATATGAGTCGAAATCTATGTTTCTTTGTTACCTTTCCACTAGCTATACTTGTTTAAGTTCTAAAGACTACCTTTGGTTTTGGTTTGGATTTCTCTAGACTAAAGAGCAATCAAATTCCCAACACCTTCAGTCCTAAATATAAATCCCAAAGCTCTAGTCTGAGAAAACTTCAAAGTTTTTTGAATCAAGTTTTTCTATTCTCTGAATTTTATTCTTGCTTTTTTCCTGGTCAAAAATATGGTACTTTTTTTGGCGCCAATTATTTTATTGTAATGCGCTAATCAATTAGTAAAGGTTTATTATATAATGGAGAAAAAATTAAAAGTTTGTGTGAAAAAGAATAATTACTGGAATTCAGAAGAAAAAAGAACAAATTAAAATAAAATGAGATTGGTATAGTTTTGACTAAATTGAAAAGAAATAGTGTGAATAGTCATATTTGAGAGTGTTCTTGTGAGTATCTAATTGAAAATGGACTTTTGTGATGAGTTACTTAAGTTGAATGAACTTGCTTCAGAAAGTAAAGGAAACTTGACTGGAATATTAGACAGTTTATTGGTTTTTGACACTAGAAATGAGAACTTCCATTCCTTGAATAACAGGTTTCCCGGTGGGTTCCTTTTAATTTCCCAGCTTAAGGACTATAACCAAGAAGAGGGTATTAGTTCAGAACAACAAGGAGATGTGGGGTCTCTTCGAACACAAATTTTTGATCATCAAGATTTTGATTCTATAAAACTATGTATTTGTCAGGACCTGAACTCAGCTATGACTAGGAGTTGTTTACTTGGATTACTTAAACATTATAGCCAATTTATTGGTATCAATTCAAAAAAGGAGCAATGCGGAGATGTCTCACAAGAAGTTGTTATTTTCACTATTAAGTACAAGTACATGATTTTAGAATCAAACCTCATTCCTCTGAGCTTTAAAGCTGTTAGGGATCTTTTATACATTTTAGTTATTAAACAAGTTAAGTTGAATTCTAGAATAGTCTTTTATGTAGAAGAACAACAATCAGAAATTGAATTAGGACCCAGGAAAAAAAGTCTGGTATCATATATTATATTGGATCCAAAAGGAGATGAAAGTTGCGAGTTTAATGTCTATACTGTTTGTAATCCAACTGGATTTTTAACCAAAATAGATTCTGAAGAATCTTCTTGCAATAAAGTTAAAATCAGTGAAATTATTTCAAATGAACTTGTAACTTCTTCCCTTTCTTCAGATCAGGATAATTATTATGCTGTCTCCAGATTCGATATCTATTCCGAGTCCAATCTAATTGACTCTGAGACTCAAAAAGAAAATTCTCCTCTTCTAAACGATGAAACCATTTTACATAATAAACTTAATAGATCAAAGTGCATAAATGTATTTCCAGGAACGTGTTTTTCTCTTTTTGTGAGGTGGAATTTGGAGATTGACGATGTCCTATACCCAAATATACCAAAAATTAACCCAACAAGTATTGATGAAGGATTAATTTTTCTAAAAATAGACATTAACAAAATTAAAGATCCATCTTTAATCTCAATTATTGAAGGAATCAATTTCTTAGAATGCCTTATTAGTTCTAATTATAACTATGAAGAACCCAATCTACAGAATCATGATTTATCTGATTTAGATACTCAATTTGAAAGTAAAGAATTACATATTATTGCTCTGAAGTTTATTAGGAGTCTATCTGAAATATGGGGATACTCTATAATGGAGCATGTCGATTTATATAAAGAAGAGAAAGAAACCAATGCATATGTAGAAAAGGATAAATTTAGGCTTAAAGGCTCCCCCAATGGAAGAATTGATGCGGACTATACAGACTTACTTTGGGGCCTTTTAGTAAATATTCGAGAGGAAAAACTTATATTCAATATTGTTTTACTTTTGCTAGACGAGCTAGAGAAATCATGTAGCCAACAGCTTTACGAGAATAGATTTATCCCTCAGGTGAGGAATGATAACACTACTACCTTCTCTAAACTGATCAGAATTGCTGTAGATATTTACAAAGGAAGTCAATACTTGGGGAAGAGATACGAAAGCTCCAAGGAAAATGAAGGGTCCGATTTCAAGGAGAAGCATACTATCTGGAAATCAATAAGAAACAAATATTTTGGGGAAATAAAAACCTTCAGATTTGTTTTAATGGAAATAGGTTTTGAGTGTATAATGGCGGATATGAAAATGCATGTTAGAAAGAGTGAGCCTCTGATAGATGACTCCAGCTTCGACTGGCATTTGAATAATTTGTATTCAGAGTCTAAACAACTTTTAGAAGAGTTTAACCTATCTGAATTAAATCAAAAGAATAAGGAATTGCTTGGTAGGATCAGAAAGCTTATTCCTGTATGTTATATTTCTAATATACTTAACACCTATAATTGCTCATGGGACATTTCGAAGAAACTAATCAGATCAAGTATTAAATACTACTCAAACCAGGAAATTCAAGAAGCTCTTCCAACTATCTTTTTGGTTCCTGTTTTTAACAAGACAGTAATTAGTCAAATGATTTCTTCAAACTCACCTAATCAAATAGAGATTTCGTCTTGTGAGACACAGGGGGGAAGTGGGAGAGGTATTATAAACCTTAACAAAGTAGACTCTATAGAGCTTCCTAGCTTGGATAGCGAATTGAATGAATCTATTATAAAGTTGAATAGGCTCCCGATTTGTGTTTGGAAAACTCTTTCAGACTTAGAGGAATCCAGACATATACCAAATCACTATACGATTCAAATAGAGAAAAGTTTAACTTAAATCTAGTTATATCTAACTAATAATAATTACATATTAAGAAAATTCTAATTAATAGTGACCTAATAAATACTTATCAACTGCAATTACCAAATACCAATCAACCATTAAGGATTTGTTTGGACATATCAGAGTGGATTATATACGTCTTCCTGGTCTCAGGATCAACACATTGTAACTGTCCAAGAGAAAAGAACTTGCTTAAATATAGCTTAGTTGCTTCTCCATCGTAATTAAGTAGATCCCTCATTCCAACCACGCACTTTACAATATCCTTTTCCACATAATGGTAAGTAATATTTTTGTCAGGTTTGATTGCTTTAATGTCTCCATTTGGGTAAACTAGAATACACCAACCCAGATGAGTCCAAAGTAGCTTTCTTGTATTTTTCGGACAAATGGAATTCTCTTGTTCATCACAAAATACAATTTCTACAAGTCCACTTGGGAACTTGAAAGTGATAGTTTTCAAATCATCATCTTTCTGAATTTTATAAGGTTTTTCAATGTCACACCAAGGCTTTCCTATTTCGTTTGGAATACCCGGTAAAGTTGTAAAGTCCTCCCCTTCTCCTACAAACTCAAAGCAAGTACTTAAAATACCATATAATAGATCTAGTTCCTTTTCAAAATCAAAGTTAACCAAATGTTCTTCAATTATTAAATCCCGATCCATAAATGAACCTGAAGAGTTAGAAGAAATTGACGTTGTTGTTTGTAAATTGGTAGTTAATGGAGTAATGCTAGAACTTCCAGGAAATCTGGAAATCTCTAAGTCCTCGTTTTTTTGAATCTTAGTCTTAAACTTCTCAGCTCGTTTTTTTTCTACATTTTCAGACGAGTTTTCTCTTTTTACTGAAACCATTCTACTTTTTTGGGCTTCCCTTTCTTTCTCTTTTTTCTCCATCTGGGTAATCTCTTTAGTAAGTCTATTTATTTCAGCATCCTTTGCCTTTATAGTCATCTTCAAACGAGTTACTTGGTCGCTCAAAGCAATCTTATCTTTTGTTAGCTTGTTATTTTCTCTCTCTAAACGTCGTTTCTCTGATTCTATTTCTTGTTTACTCTTTTCAAACTTTAATTTTAACTCCTTTTCAAAATTGACCTTATAACTCTCCAAGAGTTTCCTTTCCCTAGCTAGCAAAGTCTTCTTTTTCAGCATTTCCTCGTGAGTTTCGTGTATATACTCCATCTTTTTGTCAAGTAGATCCAACTTTTGTTGAATCAAGTTTTCATAATCCCTTTCCTGTTCCTTTTCACTAGTTTTTTGTTTATTTTTGTCGTTTTTATTACTTTTCAAATTCTCTACATTCTGTTCTCCATCCCATTCCATCCCTACAAACTCTTCCTCACTCTCAAAGATCTCAAATCCTTCCGCCTCACTCTCCATGGTCATATTTGAACTCTGAATTCCCAAAAGTAATGAGTCAAATTTGGCATTTTTGTTTACTTTCCGAATATCTGGCCTATTTGAATTTCTAAATTTTCTAGCAGGAGTTGAGTTTGGGACAGACTTAACAGTTGTACGTGACTTTACTTGAGAACTTTTTTTTAAAGACTCTCCATTTGCTTTTCTGGAGTTGCTTATTACCAACGACTTACCCTCTCCTTTTCTTAAGAATGGCCTTTTTTTCGGAGTTATTAAATGATCTTCTCTCTCATTTTCATTTGTTGTTCTTTCTGTCTCAGTAACTGAACCATCCGTCTCATTTTTTATTCCATATCCCTTAGTTATTTCCTTTGATATTTCATCGTCCTCACTCTCAAAATCGTAAACTCCAAAGCCAGCAGCATGAACAGAAACCATATTGTCTACTCCTTCATCAATATCTTCACTGTTAATATTTAATTTTTCCATTTCATATACATTTTCCATTTCCATTCCCTCATACTCCTCAAAATTCTCACTTAGATATTGAATATTTGACATTCTAACTGATAGAATACCTAAAAACTCGCACCCTTAATTAATACTATAGTAGCCTAAAACATCTGTTTTTTGTTTTCTATTATCTAGTTATATTTTTCTTTTATAGTAAATTTTTTATTACATGTGAAATATTATTATTTTGTGGGAATATGGCGCCAAATAGTACATATGATAACATTTTTATTAATTGAAAAAGTAAATACTATGGTAGTTTTGTGAAGGTAATAATGATTACAACTCAAATTAAATTCGGACCAGAAATATCACTTTTATAAAACATTGTTGACCCCTGTCTAACTACTTGGAGTTCCGAGTCCAACAAATCATAGTAATTTTGAATAATGTTTTTGTTGTATTTATAACTGGATATTTCTGATAAAATAGAGTAGAAATGTTCCCTTAATTCTTCAAGATTTTTTATACTCTTTGACATTTTTTCAACTAGGCCTTGTTTTTGGAACCACATTATTTCATTTTCAAATATTTGGAAATGAGAGATTTCATCTACAGAGTCGATTAAAAGCATGAAATTTGCATACCTGAAACCTAAAATTACCGAAAAACAATTAACAAAATGATTGTTAAAACATTCAATAATGATTCTAAGCATATCCATAGTTTCTTCAGAATATACTAGTTTGATTACTAAACTTGCTTCTAGCTTATTAGATTTATTTTGTGTTTCTATCTTACTTTCATTCAGGTTTACCAGCGCATGATATCCTCCATATTGAAACGGATGTTTTTGTATCAATCTAATTACCCATTTTTCCAATATTTTAATTTCATTATAGCTATAAGGTATGCTTGAATCGTTCTTTGGGGAAATTAGTGTAGGAATTAAATCATAAAACAACCAATTAACTAAACTCCATGCATAGTAGTTATGATCATACAAATCCATCTGTAGACAAATAAAATCATAGTTTTCTTTTAAAATATATATGATAATTTCATCATTATTCATATTATTTAACTTGCTTTCTTTAATTTTTTCATAATATTTCATTAAAATATATTCCAAGTAACTCCATATTTCCCCGTATTTAAAAGTATGACATAATGCAAGTTTTGTTAGGTTTAATTCACTACTTAAAAATCTCATATAGTCAGATTTAATTTCCTCTCTCTGTAGCAATCCTCCTATTAAAATAGCTCTTCTATCCCAAATCTGTGGGTTCAAGCTATCTACGTAGATTAACAATGTTAGTAAATCCCACAAAATGGTATCCTTTGGCAAATCAAAAAGCTGAAATTCTCCATAAATTGTATACAGCTTTCCTTTAATATCAGGAGTTTCCTTCTTTTCAAGTGGTAATTCATGATATTGTTCCCTATATGCCTTAATATATTCTCTAATCTCGGCTCTTACTGCATGCCTAAAATTTTCAGATACAATTAGCCTGTTCTCTTCTTCCAAATATAAAAAGTCTTCTACCTTCTCTTCAGTACAGTATTCTAAAAATTTTGTACTTGTCGTACTTTTTAATTCTTTTTCGTAAATAAACGATAATAATCTGATTGATGATTTTGGGTAACTTTCCAAATCTACTATCATCTTAGAATCAAACTATGTGTGCTTTTGTGTTATAACCTCACAAACTTCATCTTTTTGTTTTACAATTTTTTTTTGAATTGGTTAAATTAATTTTTGACAACTATCTCAAATTAAATATTTGGCGCCATTTTCATTTGACATTATGGTAAATTATGAAAAAAACATGAATACTTGCACTTTGTTCATAAAATCCAGAACAATTCCTGTCCGATTTTTAGAATAAACTCCGAAATAAAACCTCCCCTTACTTGAATCAAGTCAGTAAATGACAATAGTTGAAACTAGTTTAAACATCAACAAACAAATTCTTAAAAAATCACCTAAGGCCTGCTAATGCAATAATAACTAAATGGATATAAATATCAGAAAATACCAAAGTTATTTTTGCTTTTTTGCACTCGGAATCTAATAGTTAAAATATCTTAATATATTAATATAAAAAGTAAATGTAACGTACGTAGAATCACTAAATAATTTAATTAGAATCTATACTTGTTACCATGAGAATTAAAAGTTAAATATCAAAGTTAGTCGTTAAAGCAGGAATAATTTAATCACAATGAATACTGTGAACAAAAATACACTGATTAATATTGAATATCCCAAAATATACTTTCCTGTGATTGTTTCATTATGATTTTTGTATTTATTATTATTCTCATAAACAGAAGAATCAATTAAAGAGCTATTGTCTATTTTAACACCAGATTCAGGTTGTTCTATTCTTTCATCTTTAAATTCTGTCTTTTCTCTTATATCAATATTATTTTTATTCATTTCTTTCTGTAATGGTTCAACATTAACTATAAAATCAATCTCAGATTTTGTTGGTTTGACAGGTTTTTTATAATCTTTATTCCTTGAAACCTTTTTTAAAATCAATGTGTCGGATTCATCTTCATTCAAATCTTCCACCTCATCAATTTCAACTTCAAACTCAACATAATCATCTGGAACTACATCTTTATATTTTATAACATTGTTTGTATGTTTAACATATTTTTTTTCTTTGGAAGGAAGAGTTTTTTTTAGAACATAGAGGTCTTTTTTGGAACTTGAATAAACTTTTTTAGTTGTATTTTCTTTGAGAGGTTTAGCTTTTTTAGGCTCTTCTATAATAATTTTAATATCTGAACTAGGACTAGGGGTTTTCTTTCTACGTACTTTCCCATTCAAGTTGTCACTATTATAATTCAAATCAGATGATAAAGTGTCCTTATTATCTCTAGAGGAAGTGTACTTAGGTACTAAGTTAAGAACCTTCTTTCCTGACTTTCTTTCATTGACATTTTCTACAATTCTGGCCTCTATAACTTTATCTGAACCTGACTTATTCGATTTAAAAGTTTTATTGGTCTTACTAGGCGCGTTTTCAACCACAATCTTTACGACTTTTGGTTCTGGAGTTTCTTTAACCTTTTTTGGTTTAAAAACATGATTGCAATTCTTATCAACTTTTTCAGACTCAATATTCAAATTGCACCTTAGTACAATATTGTTTTGTGGTTTTTTAACCTGTTTTACTTCGTTCTTGTCAACTTTAGAAACCATATTAACCATTTTCTTTGCTTGAATAGGTTTACCAGCATTAACCAACTTAATTTGAACTGGTACAGGAGTAGTAGTCGTTGTTGGTAGCACAACATTTAATTTGATAGTGTCTGGAATTTTAGCCGTTTTCTTTTTAGGTCTTAATGCTGGGGGCTGCTGGAGTTTGATATTGATTGTTTGAGGTTTATCCACAGGATTTGTTGGATTTTGATTTACAATATAACTAGCTCTCACACTTTTTGGTTTAGAAACTTGCTCACAAGTTGTTGATAGTTTTGGATTTAATAATAAATTATACTCAACAGGAGCTTGCCCACCATTACAGTTCAACCCATTCACAATGTAATTACTATTAGTAGGCGTAGTTGTTGGTTCAGGAGTTTGAATCATATCTACTCTAGCCTTTAAAACATATTGATTTTTCTGTGGGGGGTTTGTAGCAGTGTTAAACTGATTTTGGACGTCACTTTTATTATTGACAATCATTAATTTGTGGATATTGGGTTTTTTCTGTTCTTTTTTTGATTGCTGTGTCTTGGCTACTGTTTTAATAGAAACCAAATTATTCGAACCCTGGTAATGGGTATTTGCTTGAGTTTGGTTTGGTACAACAGATATTCTAAAAACATTGGGCACTGTGACATTCTGAGAAGTCATTGTATTTACTGGTTGTTGAACAAAACCATTCAAAATTCCAGAAGTTCCAACTTGGTTACCTATATTCATGTTTTGTGCACCATTATTAACAAAGACCATTTTTGGAACCCCGTAATTGGCTCCTCTAACGGGAACATTTGCATTTTGATATTGAGATTGCATGTTTATTGGGCCTGTGTTAGTTGGCGGGAAACTTTGCTGGAATTGTATGTCATTATAATTCATTATGGGTTTTATTCTTCCTGTAATAATAGAATTTGAAATGAACTGTTTAGCTTTTTTTAAAGCTGCTCTACGAATTAATTCTTCCTTGGTGACGGATTTACAGAGAATATTAAAGCAGGAGGCGAAGCCTTGGATATTGCAATTCATGTACTTGTTATTACATGTAAGAATAACTTCGACAAGATCATTAGGATGAAGACCTGAAGCGAGATCAAGCCTCACAATGTCAGATGATGAATAAATTGAAGTTTGCCCTTTGCTAAGTTTCCATTTTGTTGGAAGCTTTTCCGCACCAGTGAATGGTTTTTGCTTTTTAACGTTTCTCTTTTTGTTTTTGGCTTTGGTGTTAGATGAATCTCTGGGAATTCTATGGTGGGTTGATACCATCTTGTTCATGTCATACAATAAGTATTCATTATAATCGTCATCTTGGACCATGCTTTGCTGTAAATCCTCACTTTCATACTCATCATCATCAAATTCATCTTCATCTAAGTCGTTATCAGGGCCATCCATAGATTTTTCCATGTCAATTCCAAGAGTTTTAATTCTAACATTAATCGAGTCATCTGACAGGCCTAAAATACCTCTATACTTTGGAAGCTTTTTTGAAGATTCATGTATGTTTGATAAAGTTACTATTATAGATAAAGCTACTGCAGAATCTTCCTCTGAAATAGAGCATTTAGACAAGTCCAAAGTTGATTTCGCAGTTTCTCCATCAATTCTCCAGTTATCTGGGATTAATTTTATTGAACTTTTGTTCTTAATTTCTTTGTTTAATTGTAAGTTTGCTGTAGCTACTGATACCCAACCTTTCGGAGTATCAAAGTTTCCACCAAATTCCAATGGAGTACAAAGTGACATTCCACCAAAAAGAGCTCCTTTTTTTAAAAAACCTTCACAATCTGAACATTGAATTACCTGTTCATTGCCATTAATATTATTATGTATGTATTTTGGCTTTCTATCCCAAAAGCGGTACCAGTTTTTATGTTCCCGAACCTTATGGCACTGAAAACTCAAACAAGCATTCATGTAGTCATTACCCCATGGAAAAAAATATTCAGGGTTTTCACATTCTTCATAATCTACCAAATTCTTCTTCTTACCCAATGAACTCCCATTAATTGAAATTAGAATTACTACTATTATAAAAAAATAGTAAATTAATAGGCTCTTATTCATTGCAATACTCAACCAAATAAAATAAAATATTTTAAATTATTGGTATTCTAAATTATTTCCTATTGATTTAATTTATTCTTCTTGCATAATTCAATCCTATCCTCTTTTACAATTACTATAAGTAAATTTATGCCGTTTGGTCTCCCGCCCAAATAGTGGGTATCTAAATAGGAATTATAGTACAAAATGGTCAAAAAATGATAGTAAATAAATAAAAAATGAAGATTTAAACAAACAAAAATTTTTCTTTTTAAGAGAAATATTATAAACTTTATTCTGAATTTTCAATAGATCTGAACTAATCAACTCAATAATTAATCAATTCTTTTTGCTGCAAACTTTTTATAATTCATAATAATTCATAGTTAACCTAATAGCTATATAACATGGTTAATTCAAAATATCTTAAAATAAATGTATTTAGTGAAAATTTTTCGAAATACCAGACTATAGTTGTAAATGTTCCCTTAATTTGTTTATTAAAATCTGTATAGTGAGCAATGAATGGTTTTACCATGTCAAAGGTGGGGGAAAAAGTGGTTTACTTATGCAGTAATGTTAAATAATGCTTTAGTATCACTAAAATGTTTGAAATCTTTGATAACTGTAAATCCACTTGGAACAAAATCATTGGTTATATCTTCACAATTTTTCTTGTTATCTAAAGCCGATACAGATTGTATTATTATTCTAGGCCTACTAATTAGATTTTTAGTAAAAGAGAAAAATTCTTGATAAGTTAGATTTTCAAGAATTTGTATGGCCTTGTTTTTCCAGTCAAAATCAATTTCACCATTAGTAATTGTTGCCAAATACTGAACAACCTCTTCCTTAATATTTTTAGGTTTATTTGAGTAAATTTTAATTTCAGAATCTACTAGAATCTTATACTGATCTTCATCAAGCTTTTCTGATAATTTGACCGTCAAAAGTTCATCAATCAAAGTATGAATACGATTAATAACATGAGGATTACTGAAATCTGATGACTGAACACAAACATAAATACCAATGGCTGGCTTCAAATTATAGCTACATGCATGTACAATATATCCCAATTGTTGATTTGTGCGAAGTTCTAAATAGGAATTTGAATCCAAATATTTTGATAAAAGTTCCAATAGAACGTAGTTCTTCAAATTATACTCACCCATATCAATTGAATAAATTACTGAACCATTCTTATCCATAGGATTTAATACAGATTTGGACAGAATTATTTTGTTGGATTCTATTTCAGGATCTAACTCGATTGCCTTTTTCAAATCTATACAGCTTCTAATGATTGCCTTTTCTGTTTTTGTAACATCAGAATAGCAGGATGACAATAACTCTTCAACAGTCACAGTTTCAACAAGTTCACGAGCTTGATCTTTATTAAAATTGCCAACAGTGATTGATCTTATTAAACAATTAGAAAAAAAGCTGGATATATGATCACACAATTTCTCGTATGTAGCTGTATTTAAAACAGATAAAATCTCTTCTTTTGAAGGAGTATAAGCAGAATAAAACTCTCTGAAATAATATGAAGTTAAATGGGCAAGTATGTCTGGATTGAAAAGTGAATTTCTAACTGATAGCCTACTTTCCTCTAAAGCATCTTCAAAGAATGACTTGTACTGTTGTTTCTTAGCATCATTCTTAAGATTCACTAGAGATTTGATTAAAAACTTTAATAAAGTGTGCATTTTATCATTAAACCCAGAAATTGTGATAGATAAACAATTCATTGAATTTTGTAGAGTATAGCCACCTGAAATTTTATAGTCTAAATTTGCAATAGTTGCATTATAAGCCTCCTCCGTTACAATTTTACTCAATGTTAAAGATGTCAAAGTATCAAGAACAAGTAATTCACATGAAACCTTACTTGATGAGAAGAAAAAGAATTGAGAAAATCCGTGCGGAGTTCGAAAATTTGTATCTGGTTTATAATATGCAACGATTCTGTCAGTAAATGGGTTTCCAGGGGTTTCCAAAATTGTAGGTAATAACTGCATGTTGCCGCCATACGTGTTCATTAGGTCAAAATTTTCTGGAATATAATTATTTTTTGTTGGCATTTTAAGTCCAAATTTGCTAGCATTAGAAAGGCTAATATTAGATATGATTTCTTTAATTTCTGGCCCAAATTCTAATTTGAGATAGTTCATGTTATAGTGTCTGTCATAAATTAATTTATCTTTAAGTCTCTCATCTTCAATGAGAGCTTTATTTTCTGGAATTGAGAGTAAAATGAACATATTTTTGGGATCAAAATATTGTTTGAGATACTTTGCTGCCTCTACATCCATTTTTTCAATTCTATTTCCAAAAGTAAGAATTTCTTTTAAAGGGGGTAAATTAGCAAGAGCATATACGTTGTTATTAATAGTTTCATCGAGGCTTGGCCTGTTTCTATAGTCAAAAACAAGTTGGGAAAGCTTTTCAAGATCAGAAACTACTTCCATATCTATTTCATTCTTGACAACCAAATTCACAAAGTTTAATGTGTATTCTATGACACTTGAAACTTCTCTAGCACCTTTTTCTGTTAAGTTTATTGTGATTTCAAACAAATTAGCAGAGTACATTTCATTTAGACCACTGCTTAGAGCAAGGCACCAACCATTTTTTCTTAATGCTGAAGTCAAGCTTCCAGGTCCTTCATGCCCCAATATATTTGAAAAATACATTTCAGGAAGTCCTTTTCTAAATTTACGTAAATCTGGAATCTGAAAATTAAAAGATATCTTCCTTTCATCCTTATTAGGTACAAGATATACCATTGATTCAAGAGCACCATCTTCTGGAGATTCCATAATACTTATATATGGTCTTTCTTTTTGGAACTCATTAAAATAATCAATACGAGCGACATTTTTATCAATTATTTCTGAAAAATATTTTATTGCATAGTTTTCAAGTTCATCAAGATTGCAATTTGAAACCAAAGTAAGAAACATATTATTTGAACTGTAATATCTACTGTGAAAATTTTTTAGCTCTGCAATAACATCAATTCCCTTTTTTTCTGGCTCAAATTTTAAAGTTTCAATGCTTCCAGTCCCAAATTTTTTCAAAGGATGTCCATTCCTAGCTATTGAAGAAATCACATGGTATCTTATCCATAAATCTGATAACAAATTTTTGTTATGTTCACTATTTACTGCATTAACTTCTCTATCAACATACTTTGTATCAAATAATGGGCATGTAAAAAAAGCAGAAAACAAGTCTAATGCATGCTCAAATGACTCATTTTTTATTTCAAAATAGTAAGATGTTGATAAATGATCTGTAAATGCATTTGAACTCCCTCCATTTAATTTCATAAAATCATCAAAATCACCAGGGTTTGGATGTCTGGCTGAACCTAAAAATAACATATGTTCCAAAAAGTGAGCAAGGCCATTTAAATCCTCAGGGTCTTGTTGACAACCAACAAACACTGATAAACTAGCACCTGAAATATCTGTATTCTCATCCTGAACCAATAATACTCTCAAATTGTTTGTCAAGACCAATGCTCTATATTTGTTATCATCATAAAATGGTTTGGTTATATCATTCTGAACCTCCTTTAAACTTTTGTTTATTTCGACCATTTATCCTATATATAATTCCAAAATAATTACCTTATTAATAATTCTTCTCTATTTATTTTCAGATTATCTTGTTTTTATTGCTATTTTAATTTTTTATTTAACCCCCCATTTGACATTTTTCACAGATATTTCTCCTTATAACCCACATAATTTGTGAAGTTTTACCGCCATTTCAAAATTGCAATAATTACAATATGTAAAATAATCATTGAGAATATAATATAGAATAAACATAAATTTGGACTTTTTTTTTTTTTAATTAGAATTTTTCTAATTTCTTTGTTTTTTGGTTTCAATTAAAACTGTTTTTCATATTATTCAAACTTTTTTCTTTTTTTTTTTGATTTTTAACATCACATTCACATACAATCCAATTATTAGAGTTTACTTTTGAAAAAACTTTACACCACTAAAACCTTAAATATCAATATTTGAATTATAAGTTCCTCACCTTGTCTTCTAATGAAATCATTGGTGTGTTTTTGTTCCTTGAAATCTGAGAAATATTTTCTAATTTTAAATATTCCTTTGGAATGGATGGGCTTTTATATATGCAACCTTCACCAGAACTCTTAGAATCATCTATTTGAGATCTTATTTCTGTTAATACAGACTTTGATGTCCATATACTATCATAAAAATCAATGAAGTCTTCATATTTTATACTATTTAATATATCAATTTTTTTTTGTCTTATGTCAAATATGTATGATTTCTCATTAATCTCATGGAGATAAGTCTTATACTCGTCAAAGATACTTTTTGGATTTGATAACAACGTCTGAATTGTGGAATCCTTTAACTTTATAAACATCTCTTCATTCAGTTTAATTTTTAATTCCATTTTAGTCTTTTTTACATGAAATTCTAAAAGTCTTTCTAATGTTAAAGCATTGGTATACTCAGATGATTGCAAGTAATACCCAATAATAATTGCAGGAGAAGAAAATACTTGTGTAGCTCTCACAACATAAGCTAATTGTTGACTAGTTCTAAGATCAGCAAAAACTTCACTTGTAATGAAAGGTAAAATTAAATCACATAAGACTTGTTTTTTTAATTCATACCCTCCAAGGAAGAAGCTTAGCATCCAACAACCATTTTTATTGGAATTGTTTGGGACATAACTCAATGTATATATATTCTCTTTTAAATCAACTATTGAAAATTGTTCCACTTTTGTTCCGCCTGATTTTGTCTCATTTCCTAGAGATTTTTGAAAATCTATTAAGTTTTTCCAATGCTGTATTGAAATATGCTTAGCATTTAACTCTGAGAAATTTCCCATAATCAATCCTTCAAGTCTACAGTTAGCCAAGAAATATCTTCTTATAGAACAAAACAATTCAAAAGTAAATAATTCTAATACATTTAATTTTTCTTGACGATTAAAGAAAAATGGTGATAAAGATTCTGAAATGCATTCCAGTGAAAATGAAATCAAATTTGGTTTGATTATCTTATTTTTCCAATCCTTACTTAGAATTAAAATTGCTTCGTCATAATATTTTTTAACTTCTGTTCCATTATACAAATTCTCAAACATAATTGAAACCAAATGATTTAATTTTTGGGAAAGCCCGAGACCTTGTAATACAAATACATTCGTCCTAGCGTTGAAATTAATTGTGTAAGATAAGCTTGCTGCTAATATGTCTGAAGAAAACTCATGCAAACTTCTATACATTACTTGGTTCAGGATTTCACCGAATACTTGGAAAACTAATTCATTTGAAAAATTTGATAATTTCTCAAAACCCAAGTTTTCTGTTAAATCAAACATTTTTTCAGCAACCAATCTCATATTTATTAAAGAATGAGGTGAATTAAAAGTTGTATCAGGTTTAAACCACATTTTCAAAGGGTGTGTATTAATATTGTAATTATTCGTCTCATTCTCAGTTATTAATCCGTCAAAATTTAAAAGTTTTGGAATTCTGGAGTAATCATTAATACATTCTTTCTGTGGGTTTACTATTGAGAAATCCGTAGACACAAATGGATTAGGTTTTGGCAAAATTAAACCAAGTTTTAAAGCTTTTTCTGATGAAGAGGAATTTATTATTGAAAGCAAATTTTCATTTAGTTCTGAAACATTATACTTGGTTCCATAGTAGTGTTCAATTGTAAATTTTTCTGGATTTGCCTTATATTCCTCGTCAATTGCTTGCGAAGAAAGTAAGATAAAGTAATTTTCATTATTTAAATACTCCAAAATAGAAAATACATGATCTTCTGAGAATTGATTTACAACCCATCCAAAAGAAAGAATCTCTTCAAAATTGCATTTATATTTGAGGTACTTTGTTGGTAATGAAAACAAATCACGAATTGAGAATTTTGGCTGGTAAGTAAAGCCTGCCTTAGTAATCGCAATAAACTCAGATACTAGTTCGGGAATAATGGGAGTTGCCTTAAATAGTGCCAAAAAGTTGAAAATGACCTCTAGTACCTGTCCTATATTGTTATACCCTTCATCTGTTAGAACAACACCAAACTGAGCTAGTGCGCATGGATCTTCATTGGTAATAGTAAAAGAAGCACTGGTAGCTAACTTTTTACTCCTTAGAATTGAAGATATTCCTCCTTCACCTCTATGACCAATAATATGGGTAATATAAGCAGGAGCACAGCTATCACTATATTTATCTAAAGGAGGGAGTGGGAAGTAAATTTTTAATCTTTTGTCAGTTTCATTAGGTACTAACTTGATTATCTTTCCAATTGATGTTTCTTTTGTGTAAGGTGGAGTTTCCATGAAGAGCTTTGTGTAATCAAAACATTTAACCTGGTGGTTTGGTATTTTTGAAAAATATTCAATAGCATATTTCTCCAATGTATTCAAGTCTTCTTTTCCGTAAAGTATTACTGACATAATACTACTACTGTAATAAGAAGAATAAAATTTTAAAAGTTCAGAATGCAGATTAATTCCCAGTTCTTTTGGCTTGATTTCCAAAGTTTCTTTATTTCCCGTAGTGAAACAATTTAAGGGATGTGATTTATCTGCTAACTGAGCAAGTAAATGAAATCTAATCCTTTCATCATTGTGATAATTGAGATGAAACTCATTTTCTATGGCAGAAACCTCTTTTTCGGACATTTTCTTACAAAACAATGGTTCTGTAAAGAATGAAGAGAATCGATCTAATGCTTCATTAAAAGCGTCATTCTTTATTTCAAAATAATAAGTTGTAGTTGATCTTGTAGTAGATCCCTGCCTCTTACCTCCATGGTTCGCAATAAATTTCTGATATTCATCCACATTTGGATATTTTTTTGTTCCACAAAATAACATATGCTCCAAAAAATGAGCCAGACCATTTAAATTCTTGGGTGAGTACATAGCTCCAACGTATACTGTAAGGGAACAACCGCTTATTTTAGTTTCTTTATCTGAGACTAAAAAGGCTGTTAGACCATTCTTTAATTCTAAGGCTCTATACTTCCTATCTTCGCATTCTGGAAGAATTATATTGTCCACTTTTCGAATTAATTCTTGTGGGTTATTCATTTTTTCTTGTGTGATTGATTAAAAATTTGAATATTTTTTTTATATACAAAATGATCAATATTAGTATTTACGTATCTATAGATCACTTTATTCCTATTTTCATACAATCTCTTACTAGTAATTTTGACCTATTAAATAAAAAAAATGACACGTATGGCGCCAACGATCTTTATATATTTAGTAAAATTAATTTACATGTCAAAGAAAATTTGAAAATGCATGCATAAATTGAACAAAAATAAAAGGTTATGTACAAATATCAATAAAAACATTATAAATATCTAGTTTATATTTAAGCCTTGGAATTAATAAGTCATTCCATCTATGAGGACTTAGTCTGAAGCCAGGGATGTACTAAAATATCTTCAAGACTGGGCCTATTAGTAGGAACTTTGACTAGTATAATACTAAGAAGGTCTCTTAGTTCGCATGAGATATCTGCATTTAGTACAGTTGAGTAACTGGGAATATTGATAGTTTTGTTTTTATCACATAAGTTCAATTGAAACTCTATGGGAGATTTTTTTGAAAATATCTCAAAATAAGGTGGATAACCAAAAACTAGAGTATGAAGTAGACAGCCGAGAGACCAAACCTCTCTTTTTTCTGCCGAATAACCTGTATATTTCTCATTATTGTGGGAAGAAAGTGAACATAAAAATGCCTCAGGAGGCAACATTGTATGAGTTCCATATGCATCTCTGAGTTTTTTATTTTCACTTAAAATCTGAGATTCACCAAAATCAATTAGTATAGGATGTATTTTGTTGGGCTTTGAGTAGTCTAATTTAGTGCATATGTTTTCAATTTTAATATCTTTATGGACAATATTTAACTCTTTCAAAAGAAATAAAGCAGAATTTACAACCACCTTAAAGATATGAGCAATAAATAACTCACCATTAAATACAGAAGATAGATATATAGGATTCGGAACCCATCCGTGGTTTTGCGTAAAATTCATTAAGGGCTGTCCCAGCTTAGGGAATATTAGACCAATAAATTGGTCCTGGGAAATAAAAACTTGAGATTTCTTATCAAATTTTACGCCAAAGACATGAATCAGCTGTACAAAGGAATTTTCAACATCATCAAAAGTTTCAGATGTACTTTCTATGGATTGAGAAGAGTCTGGACAATCTTTTTTATCTTCTATTATTGTCTCAAAAACCCAGCCCTGCTTTTCTTTGCAATAGTACTCCGACGTCATAGATATTCCCAATCTCCTTTGAATTAAGTAATGTATCTTTACGCAATATGAAACTCTGTCATCCAATGATGTCTCCAGGTAATCACAATCTGTGCCTTCATACTCTTTAAAAACATGCTTTATTTGGGCGGCATAACTATCCAAATCGTTAGGTGTAAATAACTTAAGTATAACTTCCTGATTATTATATTTCGCATTAAATACTCTTTTCGAAAGTTTTTCATTGATTTCCAATGTATTTGGGAATTTCATTTTCTTACTTATTTGTTCGTTTATATATTCTCAATATATTTAACATTTTATAGTTTACTTGCCATTAATCCTCTAAACCGTATCCAACTATAAATATTTTCCCAAACCATTCAATCAAGTATTTCAAACCTTAATGCTTGGTTAAAATATTGTACTTTTTTAAACAATTTTTATCTTTTAGCAATACATCCTATTTCCCACACAATGCTTGTTTACAAATTACCCCATATTATTTTTAATATAATTTTTCCAGAATAGGCGGGCAAATTAGGTCCTTTCAAATAATCATTTAAGACATCATGTCTCATACTTGAAAATGAGCTTATAGGAGCCAAAATAAGGGGGGAGCTGGAAGAAATTTGAGAAATCGAAATACATTTTTTCTTGTTTTTTTTAGAAAGAAGGTAGATTGTGTGGCCAATTATAAGGATTTATTTCAGATTGTTTGGTCAAGAAAAAAAGAATAGGGAGCAATGGTAAGTTTGAAATATATAAATTGATCAATTACGTGGTGAATAAGAAAAGTTAACCTATTCACCTTTGCTCTTTTTGGCTTGGGTTAACCATTGATCAATTTTTCTTATATTATTTTCACTAATTAATTTTTCCTTGAATTACTTTAGTTCCAATTAAGACCTGGGATTACAAATTTATTGAAGGATGGAAGTAGGGCGTTTTCTGGCCTAGATGAGGCTGTATTAAGGAATATTGAGGCTTGTGTGAATCTAAGTGAGATGATTCAAACGTCATATGGCCCAAATAGCATGAACAAGTTGATTGTGAACCATCTAGGAAAACAGTTCATTACTAGCGATTTAACAACAATTATAGAGGAACTAGACATTCAACATCCAGCAGCAAATATGATAGTAATGGCATGTAAAAGACAAGCTGAAGAGTATGGCGATGCAAGCAGTACGGTTTTGATTTTCGCAGGGGAATTGCTAAGAAATGCTGCAAAGCTCCTCAACGATAATGGTTTGCATCCTTCAGATATTGTATCAGGATACGAGATAGCTCTAGAAAGATCACTATCTTTACTAAATGGAATGGTGGCACATAGAGTTGCCAACTTTAAGAACATTGATGATCTATCTGCAATTGTAAGGCCATTGATTTCAACAAAAAATACTGGATATTCCGACTTAATCACAAGGTTGACATGCGAAGCCATTTCAAGCATAATGCCAGACGAGGATAAATTAAAAGAATTTAATATAGACAATGTAAGGATTGTTAAACTCTTGGGAGGATCTCCAATGCAATCATTCACAATAAATGGTATGATGGTCAGTAGAGAACCTGGAGGAACAGTTAGAAACCTGGACAAGGTTTCTAATGTAATGGTTTTGGGATGTGGACTGGAGATGTCTGGAACAGAAGCAAAGGGAACAGTCGTTTTAAATAACGCTCAAGAACTATTGGATTTTACAAAAGGTGAGGAATCTTTGGTTGAAAATTTGATTAAAGATATCAAACAGACTGGTAAGATTGATGCAATTATTGCTGGTGGTCCAATTTCAGATATTGCACAGCACTTTTGCAACAAGTATGATATATTAACTTTAAGAATCACGTCTAAATGGGAACTAAGACGTGTTTGCCGTAGTCTAGGAGCTGTTGCAATGGTTAGATTGGGTGTTCCTCTTCCGGAGGAAATTGGAAAAGCCAGTTCTATCAAGGTTGAGGAAATTGGTTCAAAGAAGGTGACTGTAATTAATGCTCTTAACACCAAAGTAAGCTCGGTTATTCTCAGAGGAGCCACTCAGGGAATGCTGGATGAAATGGAAAGAGCTATAGGAAATTCAGTTTCTGTTGTGAAATCATCCACAAAAGATAATCGATTTGTAGCGGGCGCTGGAGCTACTTTTGTTGAACTTTCTAGATGCTTGAGAGCATCTGACAGATCTGAAAACAAGTGCCAACAAAACTCAGTTGATGTTGCTGTTCCTGGAATGGAGGAGTACGCAGTAAATATGTTTGCTGAGGCCTTAGACGTTTTTCCAAGACTCTTGGCAGGTAATTCTGGGTTAAATTCTACTGATCTTTTGGCATCATTACATGCGATACATCAACAAGGTTCCCAACCACATAAAGGAATAAACGTTTTCTGTAGTTCAGAAACTTCTCCAATTGTGGATTGCATATCGAATACTGAACAGAGAATTGGCTTAATTGTTGATCATCTTGGTACACTTTGTTCTGCCTTAAAGTTGGCAACAGACTCAGCAGTTACCATTCTTAAGATAGATGAAATCATTATGTCAAAACCTGCAGGAGGTCCAAAACCCCGCTCTCAAGATGATGACATGGACTAAAGAGTTGGTTAGAAAATTGATGTGGGATGTAATAGAGGGTACAATTCTATACAAGTAGTAAAGTGATAGTTATAAATTCATTTCAAGTAGAAAGTTTTCTGCAATTACTTATATTTCTCTGGCTTACTTCCTATCATTTTTGGCTTCCTATTGTATCTAAGTTCTCTTATTGAAAATCATATTGATTTCACAATTAACTTATTTCTATTGATTATTAATTCGTAGTATATTATTTATTAATTTAATATTTCTTATTATTTTTGCATTCTCTTTATGTTAAAGATACCTTGTTCTTACTAATGGTTGGTAATTTTGCTATATCTGGTAATCTGATTGTACTTGGTTCTTGTTTTTTAATCACCCCTTTTTTGCCTCGAATTATCATATTTGATAGAAAATTAATACTTTTACATTCAATCATGGATCTTATATTTCCAGAATTTTTCTTGGATTAATAAGATATTTAATTAGTTTTTATGCTGTTAAATATTTCATTTGAATATAACAATTAATTAGTTTTATCCACATGCAATTGTTGAATAATCTGCTTGTGCATGTGTAATGTATTGACAATACCGGTACGTTAGTTTGAGCGGGGAATTATAGGTTTGGGGGCAATCAAAAAAAAAATGAATCATTTGGTTGGGAAATATCGCCTGGAAAAAGTTTACAGAGCATGTAAGAACAGAATTCATAATATGCGACATCAACGTCGTTTATCTCACCCTAAGAAGGGCGAAAGAGAACAGTTTAAACACCATTTACTTCCATATCCTGGAAAGCCATCTAAAGCAACTTATGGTAAGAAATGTGAGAATTATCCAGAATTCTTATTTTGCATTCCTATAAAGCCTGCTTCAAATATATTAGGATGCGAGCTTGATATATTTGTTAAGCTTGTATCTATAATATCAATATGTATTTGGCTAAGCTTACTAGTATTGGAGGGATTTTATTTTTATATAGAAATAGTTGGAGCTCAAACAGTTTTTTTTGTTACGATTGCAATAATATTTGGACTATTGTTGGTATCTTTTGGTATATTTTGTGGGATACTTGGTTATATTGGATGTACAATTTCAAATTTTCGTTGTATATATTTTTTTTTCCTACATTTAAATTACCAACTTATAGTCAACGTTTATGCTGTGATTGCTTCCGTTATCCGTGGATATATTATATACTTTTGTGCTTATTTACTTTCAATATTACTTATTTGCTTTTTTCTTTACCCTTCCTGGTCATTATATGTACACATAAAGATTAACGGAATCCCCCCAAATGTTTACAAACATTATGGTTTGTTAAACGATGCACTTTCTAAGTTTGAACAAAAGAATGAGAGAAAATCAAACTTAGAGGAGTCAGAATCTTTTGTTGAAAATGTATGTTCTAGTGTTTCTAATGGGCCTGGTATAACCACTTCTATACATGTTAATACTCATATATTTCAGAAGAAAGAACAGAACCGTATAACAATGATAAAACAACAAAGTAGTATCAAAACAAGTGGTACTAGTATTCATAATAATAATTTTGAGGATTGCACAGATAGATTAATGCATACTGCAGTAAAATTTTCCGATGAAAATGATAATAGTTTATGCACTCGTGTTGAAAAGTCAACAGTCCAGACACAAAATACTCAAACATTGGATTCTTCCCATCCATCCTCAAATAATAATAGCCTTACTCAACCTTATATTCCCCCCAACATTTCATGTAAAATTCGAAATGAAGCCAAAATTCTTCTTAATTGGTCCACACCTGCCCTATCTATCAACAGGAATGTCGTAGCTTCCTCGAACGCAGAGCACTCAAATAGAAGTTCGGATACAACTTTTCAAAGTAACAAGTTAAAGACATCAAGGCATAATGAACAACCCAAGTTCACTCGCACGGACATATAGAATGGGTTTTGAGATGATCTTCTATTGATAGATATTTGGACTTAATATATACTAATTATGATAGCTAATAATGCTAATTAATACTAGATAAACTTGTATATATCATCTACCTCACTATAAATATTAATTTGTAAATCTAAATAATCCTCTAATATTGTTTTAACAGCCCTTCATTCATTTTATTCCTTTCTTTTTTTTCTCCCTATTGTACAATATTTTAATAAATTAATTCTTTGAGATTTCCCACAAACACGTGTTTAGGCGCCATATGTTTACAATATAAAGTTGACCTAATTGAGAAGATTAATTAGTTACTACATAAGAAAAATAAAAAAATTCGATTTTATTTGTACTATGCAATTCTACTCGATATTATGAATTCTAGTTTTGAGATATTAAAGAATTCGCCAGGATTCATAGGAATGGCATCTTTTACAAAGACGGGCCTTCCAATTCAAGGTAAATTGTTCACTTCTTATTATTAATCTCACAGATAATCTTTGAATATTTCTCAGAATATGGATCTAGGCATATTAAGCATGATGTTTCCGAGTTTTGCTCTATTATCACACAAATTAGAAACTCTTTGTCAAGCTCAATTTTGAACGAGAATATTTCAATAACTATAGAAACAACAAAAAAGTAAGTTAATCCAGACAACACACACACTTCATTTAGTTTCTCATTTTTCAAAATTTAACTTTAGAAAAATAATTGTTGTAGAGTCAAATGACATCATCTTAATTTTATATAAAAACAATGATAGCAAAATATCAATGGGAAACGGTTATTTGGAAGCCGATACTCAGAACTAAATACTTACTTAAAACTTAATCATAAACAAATGATTCACACAAATATATATTTGTATTTTAAATAACTGTTATTTTCATTTTAAAAACGTTTTGCATTTTCTCCCCACCCTCACTATTGATATAGAGACGAAAAGGTCATTTGGCGCGTAATTACTAATTAATTAAACATGAAAAGTGCTCAAGTAATTGTTAGCTAGTTTACTGAATAAAGCAAGAAAAAGGAAGGAAGATAGAGAGGTAGTGAAGGGAACAAAAATATAACCTTTGCGGAGGTTTCCAGTAAGAAGAACTTGCATAGGAGAAATTACTCTTTTGAGATGATTAGTAAAAGGAAGAGGGAGGAAAATGAACTAAAAAGGAGTTCTATTTCTTCAAAGACCGATGATTTACCGTTAGATTCACAAGAGTTGACTAATTATCATGTTGTTCAACTCCAAGAGTCAAATAAACAGTACAAGAGAAGAATCGAGGAGTTGGAGAACCAAATCTCTAAAATGATTGGAGCCTTTGAAAAGATTGAAGGGGAGGGGAAATCCGAAGAGGAAAATCTTATAAGCAAATTTGAGCATGTAATACAGCAAAAGAATGATGAAATTTTGTCTTTAAGGAATGAAAATCAACGTTTGAATATGCAGGATATCTTTAAAAAATTTTATTTATCTGGAGATTCAAATTCTGATACAAATTCCAGTATATACGGTAAAAATAATCAAACCAATAGCCAAGGAATTTCTTTATTTGGGTCTATAAGTGATGATTCAACTAATGCTGATAGAATTAATATCGCTACGAGTGATATTAAATCGAAGTTGATTGAAAAAGAGAAGCAGATTTCTGAGTTGACCACTAAGAATGAGGAAATTTCTCGTGAGAATTTAGAACTAAGAAGAAATTTGTCTATATATTCTCCTTGCGAAAGCTTTGATAGTGAATTAAAGGACAGAGAAGCAAAAGAAGGCAAATTTTGTAGGTGTGTAAGAAGTATTATAAATGAAGTTTTTGAGTTAAGATCTCAACTGAATGCAGAAAAGCTCAAATTTGTTACTCTGCTTGAAAATGAGCTGCTGAAGAATATAAAAGACTTTCTGGCAAACCAAAAGAGCTGCGAGGAACATTGCAAAACAACTAACAAAGAACTGGAGGATATTAGAGGTAAATATAATACTTTGAAACAAGATTTTTTTTCTATGGAAAGTGTTCAAAAGAGTTTAAATGCTAGGGATAGAGAGCAAAAGAAGAAAATTAAGGAACTTGAGCTTGAAAACAGTAAGATGAGATCAGAGAAAGTGAGAGTAGCAGAGTTTATTCGGACTGTCAGTACAAAACTTGAAAAGGGAGAAAAAGAAGAAGTGGTTGAAAACTTAATGAATGAGTACGAAGAGTTAAGTAATGCTTTTGAAGAAAAAAGTTTAGAGTGTGACAATTTACATCATAAGCTTGAGGAAAAGGAGAAAGAATTTGGTGATTATAAAATAGGGATTGATGATATAAAGCAAGCTCTTAAAGAAATAGAGACAATTAAGATTTTGTATGAGGAAAAGTTGTCTTTGGTTAGAAAAACAAAAAGTGAGACATTAAAAGACATAATTAACTCTGGTACAATCCAGCCAAACCAGGAGACCAAGATCTCTAAATTTCTGAATAGGTATTTGTCCTTTATTGGCCAGCTTGGTATGAATGATCAAATGGATAACCAAATACAACTTGAAAAAGAAAGTTTTGACAGTATTTATAAATCTCTAATCGAACAAAAGTCCATATCCGAGAGACTTAATTTAGATCTTGAATTTTACAAGGCTGAGTATTACAAGCTTAGAGAAAAGTTGGAATCAGTTGAGAAGGACGAATCTAATTATATTGCAACAATTTCAATTCTTAAAAATAGGGTCCAGTACATTCTAAATAGGGTAAATAAGCTTACCAATTTAGAGATAAATTTTGATAACACTGAGGAAAATGAACATCTTCAGATTGATGATTATGATAAAGAGATTAATACACTCAAATCGGAGAATCAAGAGCTTTTAACTTTGATGAAGTGTTCTGTATGCCGTGATAAAGTTAAAGACACTGTAATCAATAGATGTGGACACCTATTCTGTAGAGAATGCATTGACAGAAATTTATCTTCCAGAAATAGGAAGTGCCCCTTATGCCACATTACTTTTGATAAAAACGATACCGGTAGGATATTTCTTCATTAGAAGAAATTTCGAGAACTCTTTGAACTTTCTTATAAAAGCAAACACTTGTTTACTTTGTTAACTAACTATTCCTTTAAGTTTGGGAAATTTATACGCAAAAAAGAGGAACTAAATTCTACAATGAACACATGGTATAATATGAAGTATTAATAATGCATCTTACAAGCTATAAAGACTAGTTAGTAAAATTTAAAAAAAATTAGTAGGGACAAAACTTGAGCTATTGCTCATATGTGTCTATAATATTGCTATTAATAACACTTAATGATTTTACAGTTTTGTTATAATTTTATTATTTTTTAACTTTTCTCAGTTTTTAAAAATTTTGTTAATATTTTTGCATGTTAATAAATTGGGTTTTGACTACATTGGCGCGCAATCTTAGATGAGTAATAGTTCAATATAAGTAATAAGTCTTGGGATAGTAATTTGAGTTATAATTAATCTCATAATAAAATTTCCAGAAGGGAAAGCTTTAATTTTGATGAGATAATAGATGGGGTATGGTGGTGTGAATCAGAAGGCTCTTGAAGCTCGAGAAAGGAAACAAGCAGCAGCTTTGGAAAAGAAACGAAGAGAAGAAGAGCATGCAGAGAACGAAAGATGGAGAGACGATGACAAACACGCTAACAGGAAGATTGAGAGGAGGAGAGAGGCTTTAAACAAGCAGGAGGAAAAACAGCAAAAGAAACAAGAGTTAAGGAAGTTATATGAAGAGGAGGATTCCAAAATTGTTTCAAATAAGTCAAAGACGACCACAGGAAATAAGCTTACAAAGGCGGAGATAGCAAAAAGGACTTTAATGTTTGCAATGCAATCTTCTACAGGGATTTCTCGAAACAAAGGTGAAGAATTTGCACAGGATGATTTACTCGTGGAGAACCCTAATAGGATTGAAAAAGAAATGAGGGTTGAGACAGAATCTAAGAATATTGAATATATCTCTGCATCCACACTCGACGAAGCTCTTTTGGCCTTTGGAATTGATGAAAAGCCAAGTGGAGATATGCATCCTGAGAAAAGACAGAAAGCTGCATGGCTAGCTTATGTAGACAATAACCTTCCTATTCTAAAAAATGAGAATCCCACTTTAAAAAGGTCTCAGCTTCTTCAGATGCTGCAAAAGAGTTGGAAGAAGGCTCCTGAGAACCCTATGAACGAGAATCCTAAGCTTACTTAAAAGAAAGATAAATATTATTTTGTCATTGCATTTAGTTAGATTTGATTAGTATTAGTAAAGTCTGATTCTATGTCAAATATTGCAGTTAATAAAAGCTAAGAAGAGCCACAGATGATTTTTCTTTTTCAGCAAATGGAAATAGTAATCAATTAATATTGTATCTATTTCTAGTACTACTACTTGCATTACTGCAGCAAGAGAAGAGTGAGGAAATGAAATTCAGACGAAAAATGTTGGGGAATTTTAGGGGGTGTCCTTATGATTAGATTGCTATATATGAGGTGTAAAGAAACCTGTAGTTTCATTTCTTTAATTCATAAATTAATATTCAGTACAATAATTTGCGCGTAAATGTTTCAAATATATTTTCCCATTAATTTATTCTGTGAACCTCTTTGGCGCAATTTAAAATTAGTGTGTTTAGTTGGCGAATTTAAAATAACTGAGAAAACTGGGAGCAGAAAATCATGGAACAGGATTTTTTGAATGGCGAAATTGAGACGGGAACCACAATTGTGGCACTGAAGTACAAGGATGGATTAGTTCTAGCGGCAGATGGAAGAACTTCCACTGGGCCCATTATTGCCTTTAGGGCAGCAAGAAAAATTACTCAAATTACTGAAAGAATATTTATGTGCCGTTCTGGATCAGCAGCAGACACTCAAACAATTTCCAGATATGTAAGCCGAATTATTAAAGATCACGAGCTAGAAACAGGCGAAGATGCAAAAGTAAAATCTGTGGCTTCTGTTGCTAGATTGATATCGTATCAAAATAAAGAGCACTTATTAGCAGATATGATCATTGCAGGGATGGATCCAAATGGAGAATTCAAAGTTTTCAGGATTCCTTTAGGTGGAACTTTGATTGAAGGCTCATATGCAATCTCGGGATCAGGGTCAGGCTATATTTACTCCATGTTGGATTCTAAGTACCATTCGGAAATGGACCTTGAGGAGTGCAAATCTTTTGCCAGGGATTTGATTTCTCATGCCATGTTCAGAGACTCTTCTTCTGGTGGCATTATCAGAATTCTAGTCATTAACAAGAACGGAGTGGAAGAGTTTGCAATTCCTGGAGAAGAAGTTCCCAACCTATAAATATTTCTATTAATAATTATCTTTATTGGGCCAACAGATTTTTCTATCGCATTTACAGTAAGGATAGGTAGTATTAAGAAAAGATTTTAGTTTTTTAAAAAATCAATAATTCTTTTTAAAAAAAAAATCATCAGAGGTTTAATGCCTATTAGTTATGGACTTGATCTTATGTTGCGTTTTTTCTTTATTAATTTGAACTATTTACATGCATATGACATTATGATTATCTACCTGGATTATGTGGACAAAAATGCATGCTGCTCGCATTTTTGTGGAACAATACATTAAGCTCCTGAAAAAGTGATAACTTTGAAAAAAATATATTCTCGGATAGGAACTATGACAGAAATGGTCACAACATTTGATATTTAAGTTTCTTATTAAGGAACTTGTATAACATAATAAGGTAATTATTTTTTCTCACCCTTCCAAATTCATTTCAGCATTAAAAGGGCAAAAGGAAGGGAAAATAGCATAAAGATTTGATTTCTTGTTTAATATTTATAAGAAAAGTCAATCTGAAAAAAAAGTCGTTTCTATAATTAGTTTTTTAGAACCAGGAAATATTTTTATTTAAGAGAAAAAATGAGAAAAACTATTAGATGGGAGGGTTTAATACTTTTTTTAATTTTACATGTAATAATAAATTTTAAATACGTAACAGGAGAAATAACGAATGTATTAAATTTCCAAGCAGATATTATTGTGCCAATGGCATCAGGAGGCGACCTTCCACCAGATAATAATTACGATGTATATAGGCGTATTTGGAGAGTTTCTCAGAATGAAGTCGAAGACTTGGAAAGACAATCATTGGATTTCTTCAAGGAAATGACTGATATTGACATTGCAGGGCTTCCAGTATGTTCCTTAGGTGCCTCATTTAATGGTTTCGGTGGGGGAATATTTTCAATCATTCCAGCATTTAAATCTCAATTTAAAGTAGTTGAGACACCTGGAACACCTGAGTTGTCTGGTCTTTGTTTATTGAGATCAATGGATGGGATAGCATATATATATGATCAAGCCACTCAATTAAGAGTGGCGTCAATTTACCACGTAAGGAATTTGGATATTATTGGTTATAAGTTAGTTCAATCATTAAAGCCTCAACATGAAGCAACAGAAAGTCCTCTTCCATTATTTGATACTGGATTTGTATTAAACGTTTTGGAAAACGGTTATTTACCTTGCTCCAAATTCCAAGGATCTTGTATTAAGGGAGACAGAATGTTATATGGTTGGTATACAATTAGGGATATCTATACAAAAGGAGAATGGGGAATCATCCATTACGAGAGTAGAGGACCACAGAATATTCTGAAGGAGTTTACACCATTATCATTCAATTTAAGTTCATCTGTATGGGGTAAGGGATACTCTAACGGATTTGTAAGCAGAAGATACATGAATAATGATTTTGTTCAGCCATGCTATGAAAACGCATGTCCATACAGAATGTCAAAAATGTTTGATACAGTATCTGTTTCATTCAGAAACGTACTAACTTTTGTTACTGCTTAAGGTAGTTAAGAGAAAAAAATAAAAGCTGGTAATAGTATACATAGTATATTATCTTAAATTATTGCTTTTTTAAAAATTTATTTGAGTATATTATTTCACAAACTAAAGGAAGTGGTAAGTCTGCCACTGGAATTATCTTCTTTTTACTATGCAAAGAATCGATTTCATTGTTCAAGTGGACTAAGCCTAAAGTCACATCCTCACTTTTGAAAGCTTGTATAATTATAGAACTTTTAGGATCATCATATAGTTTGTAGTTCTTTTCATGGTCACTTCTGACTCCTTCAGTAACTTTCTCACCTGGATTCCCATTTACCAATTTGTAGATTTTCAAAGTAGAATGGCAAATAGATTTGATTTGTTCTAAATCCTCAAACTTGTATAGAAACGATAGATCAATATATCTTGTTGATTCATCCATAATCAGATCGAATGAGTTGGTTGGCCTGACATTCAAAGCAGATAAGCAATTATATGCTATAATTGTCATGAATATTAGAAATAATAAGTAGATTGGAACGGTAATTCCCCACATTCTATCTGGGTAATATGTGATATTTATTCGATTTAAGTACTCGTCAGGAATAAACATCCAACTCAAATAGACAACTAAATTAAAATATTAGTTAATGTGTTTTCGATATTTATTTCTCTCAAGTTAGGATTTTCAAATCTCACATTCAATATTAACCCACTTAGTCGTGACAGCTTAATTAGTGGCTCAGTTAGTTATGCCACATATAAAGATTGAAACGACGAAGAAAGTTCAATAATTAGAATGATAAGCCTAACATTTTCACACAGACAGAAACTTAACTTACTCAGAGAAATCCAACTCAAAATCCAGCTCACAAAACTTGATACATCAGCAGCTGGGACTGTTATACTCATACCTTCAAAATTAGTCTTCTAATTTAAGCAAATGAGTCTTACTACTTCTTTAATTAAGAGCAAATCAATTAAGCTCGATAGTCATTATATTTATTTTTTTTTTTGGATTTTCTAGAAATATTTAAACATTAATACATGAACTTTTGGCGGGAAAATTGTCTATACTTTTTTAAACTCATAAAAAAACAAAGTGTTGATTAAAGGAGCAAAGTACATATATGCTAAAAAAACTCGATTTTAAAGATGGAGCTGGAATTTGTGGGGCCAAGTAACCTATCAAATCCAGTTAGAATAGATCAGATAAATAATGGCAACCATAAGAATGCTATGATGAATGAAGAGGTCTCTGGTACTCCCATTCTAGCAAGTATACTAAATTCTGCAAGTCATCCTACAGTTTGCCTCTTTCAAATTTTATTTAAAGTCCTTGCATTCTTATCTTTTATTTTTGGACCATTTTTTTTTAGGTTTTTTTCAAATAATAGCTTCATTATAACTTTTTTCCTCACAACAATATTACTTTCTTTAGATTTCTGGACAGTGAAGAATGTAACTGGGAGAATTCTTGTCGGAATGAGGTGGTGGTACGAGATTTCAAAGGATGGAGAGACTATTTGGATGTTTGAAAACTATAACGAATCTAAAAATGCAAATGCCTTTGTTTCATCTAGCACTGACAAATCTATCTTTTGGGTTACAATGTATGCATGGGCTCTGCTCTGGATTGTTATTTTAATATTTCAATTTTTATCATTAAAGTTTCAGTGGATTTCTCTTTCAGCAATAGCAATTGCACTTTCATTCTCTAATCTAATTGGATACAACAAGTGTATGCGTTCCTCCAAAAACTTTCAAAAGAATTGGATTACTAATATTGCAGTAAAAACTATTATAAATAATGCACAAAACATGGTTTAATTACTATAATCTTCAAAAGTAAGATTATGTTATTTTATTTAAAGCAAGATTTTTAACTGTGAAAGATAACAAAAATTGAAAGGGAGCAACTATGTGAACCTTAAGTTCGTAATTACAGTTTGGCTTCCACCTATCACCTTCAAATATAACGGTAGATCTATCAGAGAAAGCTGCATGCAAAAGGTAATCTTAACAAGATAGGAAGCTCCTTCAATTAACCGCTTCTTGGTGTGTTTAGATACATAGATTACAAATTTGCAGTAGTGAATATAATAATAGACAATTATGAAAAGAAATTTCTTTTAATGTGGGATTTTTTATCTTTTGAAGCTTTATGTAAGGAAATTAATAGTTAATAGACTTAAAATAAAGAGCGCCAACTAATACAAATTAAAAAAAAAGAGCAGTAGTAAGTAAATTTATATATAATAAATTGAGCGATGGCAATTATTCGCTCAAAATTATTGACGTTTAATATTATTTCTAATTAAGTTATATACTATTTCTCGTGTTTGAACATCCACATCTCCCCCCCTCGACGCACCCCACTTAAATTTTATTTTTTAAAGATATTATTATAGTAGACATTACTTTGAAAAGCTTATAATTTAGGCGCTTGCCCCAAAAAATATGAGCTAGGCGGCAGAAATGGCCGCGTCTCTTTTTTTAATTCCTTTGAATGAATATATTATTATTGCAAGGCAATTTTGCTTAAAAGTTCAAGTTTAATTTGTATGGCCTCATCTTCAGATACGGTTGGAATTCCCACACCGTTTGTCGTAGACGCACTATCAGAAGTTGGAAAGAGCTCCTCTGGTTACGTTCACATAAGAAACCAACAACGTAATGGCAAGAAGAGTTTAACAACTGTACAGGGACTCAGTGCTGAATTTGACTTAAAAAGGTTATTAAAAGCGTTCAAGAAGAACTTTAGCTGTAATGGGACAATAATTGATGATCCAGAGCATGGACCAATTCTTCAAATTCAAGGAGATCACCGACACAACGTAGCAAGGTTCCTAGTTTGCGAGAATATTGTTAATTCTGACGAAATAAAAATACACGGAGCTTGAAATTGATCAGGAACCATTTCAACTTTTACAAAAACTAAGTCATCTAAACTTTTTCTTTGGGAATACATTGGGAGAAATTCCTATGTACTATGTTTCTATTCATGAAACTGTATCTTTACAACAGTGCATAGATTAATACAATTACTACCCTATTATTATTTTTCTTCTATAACCTGTTCGAACGCGCATCTCCCAGTTATAATTCCAATCCGTTTAGTTTAAATAATAGTTTACGTATTCCTAGTTTGAGAAAGTACTATTTTGATGCATTTAAATTTCTATTAATGGTTGTCAATAGGAATAACGAATACTTAAATATTTTACATGTATTTTGATTCTTTTTCTTTCCTTCTCTTACTTTTCCGAGTGTAGTTCTATTGTATCTTCTTTTTTCTTTATATAACGCGGATCACCGGTTACAAAGAATTTCTTGATTTTGAAAAGGAATCCTAGACTTTAGTATTATCTCTAGAAATTTTTATTTTTCCAAGGTACAAATTTCTCAACCTGGGCAACTTCCCGCCTAAAGGTAATGTAGACAAGACATGGCTCACACACCTATCCATAATTACTAATTCATGTATATAAGAACAAACAAAAAAAAATAAGAAATTAATAAAATCCAAGGGAATATATAAATAAGTTTTTCTAAAATTTATTATTTTTTTTAATATAGTACTACTTCCATTTCATTTACCTCTACTATAATTATATATTTAATTTTTGAGATAATAAATTCTTTTGGTTTTCTTGAACTCCAGAAGTTGGTATATTTCAGGAAGATAATAATTGATACATAATTTGGTCTTGAAAACCTTTTGATATTGTATTGATACTATTTGTATTATTTCACTTCAAGTATTAGAATCTAAAAGATGGCTGAACAATTAACTGAAGAACAGATTGCAGAGTTCAAGGAAGCTTTCTCACTTTTTGACAAGGATGGCGATGGCAGCATTACAACAAAAGAATTAGGAACTGTAATGAGATCCCTTGGACAAAATCCCACTGAAGCTGAGTTACTTGATATGATTAATGAGGTTGATGCTGATGGTAATGGTACTATCGATTTCCCAGAATTCTTGAGTCTAATGGCTAGAAAAATGAAGGATACTGATACTGAAGATGAGCTTATTGAAGCATTCAAAGTATTTGATAGAGATGGTAATGGTTTCATTTCTGCAGCTGAATTGAGACATGTAATGACTAATTTGGGTGAAAAATTATCAGATGAAGAAGTTGATGAAATGATTAGAGAAGCTGATGTTGACGGTGATGGCCAAATTATGTATGAGGAATTCACTAAAATGATGCTTTCTAAGTAATTATTTACGGGTAATGAAAATATTTAGCAATAATTTACCTTTTGTTTATCGGAAAAAAAGCGAGTCAGAGGATATAAATGATCAAGAAATTGGTTATAGTTCCCTTGTGATGCTGTATCTCTTATTGCTTTCCTTCTCCCGATTACTGCTCACACTGTTATATTATTTTTAGCTGTTCTTAAGAATACTAATAGAAGGTAGTAATAGCTCCAAAAATACCACCAATTATACATCATTGGAATTACTTTCAATAATCAAGAGATGGATCTCATTCTAACTCATGCACGTCATTAGGCTTTCAGGCATTCAATCTGTTGAATATATTAAGTCCAATGTTTCCTTAATTAGTGAGATTTGTGGTTCTTTCTATTGATCCCTAGTGATGATTCACAAGTTCTTTTGAATGTTGAAAAGTGTTAAATTATAATAGAAATCGAATTTGATTAAATGGAGTATTTTATTATATTCATCGTTAATTACATGAGAAAATATCACAATGAGAATGACACTAAGGCATTATTTTTAAAATCAATGAGTATTGTGTTTCTTTTTGTACGACTATTTTGTATTTTAGTCAAGGGAGAAAATCAAAGGAGTTAAAGAAAATTTTGATTGATATTACTAGTCTTTTCTACTTTCTGTATTTGTGAATACATAACTTAGATGTTGTATAAAGAATGCGAGTATTTAGGGAAGAAGACAACAGAGAATAATCTACTGTTTTCCTCTAACTATATATTATCTCTTTAATTCATTATTGTATCTTTAATTGACAGCCTGGTTATTTCCATTTTGGTCTTGTTTGTAGGTTAGCCTCAAAAATCCAAATAGAGTAATAGTTAGGATCCAAGGGATGACAGTCATAAGAAGCATGGAATTAGCAAGGGCATTTGCATTCAGCTGTAAAGTCTTTATACCATGTGTGTTATTAGATAATATAATTTCTCGTATCCCCTTTTTTAAAGATGAATCATAGCCAAAATAATTCTGAGCTAAAAGTCCAACAAGAGGGGCACCAAAAATAGCGGATCCAATAGTTTCGAATAATGAGAATATTGCAAATAATGTGGCTCTATGGTGAGGTAAAACAATTTGACAAAGAATAGGTCTGCTTGCTCCAACTCCTGGCCAACCTGCCATGAATCCAATTAAAATACTGACTATTAAGTAATAAAAAAAGTAATTAGTACCCCATGGAATGTACCTCAAAAGGATGACCATAAATATAATTCTTAATAAAATAGCAGTTTGAGCCAATGCTTGTCTCCCAATCCAAGGATAAATTGACTCAATGTAATCAGAAGCTTTCCCAACAAAGGGGGAGATCAAAATTGCAGAAATCCAACTCGAGGAGTAGACTGTTGTTGCTAATAAAGGGCTCAACCCACAATACTGCAACCACATCATTGTAAAATTTAGGGAATGCCTTGGAATTCCATTCACTATACCCATTATCAACATCAACCATGCACTTTTATTCGATATTACATACGAATAATCATTTAAAAAATCTTTGACCTTATCATATGACGATTTACTAAATATTCTTTTTATCTGCAAAGTTATGTACATAAAATATGTATGCTCGCCGGTATATGACATATTAATCATACTTAAACCCTTCCCGCCTTTTTGTTGGAATGCATGTTTAATGCATGACTTGTATAAGAAAATGGAAAATAAAAAGGAGAGGAAAGAAAAAGTGAGAAGTAACCAGGTGAAATCAAAATAATGACCCATAATGTTGGCAGTGGCAGAAATACATAAGAGTCTTCCAATGTTTTGTGATAGAAAGAGGTTCCCAAAATACTCACTTCTACCAATGTTATTGAATGTTCCAATAACAGATTGTGTAAGCGGGCCCATAAGAGACAAAAACATTCCCATAAAGCAGAGCAAAATGAGCATTTGAAAAAAGTTTGAAGCAAATATCATTGAAAGCAGTACCATACCCCATCCAGTTGTGGTCACCATCATAAGGTAGGCAGGCCAAACTGTTAAAAAGCTAGTATTATTTGAATATTTTAAGAGTTTTCTTTCTTCTGAGGCCTCTTCTCTGCCTGATAGATTCCCAACTCCGCATTCCTCCACATCATCCTCCTCTTCCCTATCTGTTTCTTCTCCTATTATGTTCCTACCCTCAATATTCCCTGCATGTAGTCCCTTAAACCCAACTCTATTCTCACCTTCCTCTAATGAAATTAAGGTTTTGTGTTGATAATCTAATTCTCTATTAATAGCATTTATTTGCCTATCACAAATTATTCCACTAATGATTGTGGATATTCCTTGCGTAAATTTTTGGGCAAAAGTTAGCATTCCCAGAGATTTTGGGGAAAGACCAATAGAACTTTCCAGCAACTTATAGTTAGTAGGTATTATCTGGTCAACACATCCATGTAGAGAGGAATAGACATAAAGACTTGGTATAAATCTTTGGTATAAGCTACCATCTCTATCGCCTTCAAAATATTCCCCCAAGATATCATTTTCTTGGTTTAATCTTTTGTAGGATTCAGACCTAGACCTTTGGGACTTTGAGGGAGTTGAGGCTGTTGAGGCTGTTGAGACCGTTCCAAGACTCATTTCCAAATTACTTATTTTTTCTTAAGTAAATTAGGTAAGGTTTACTATTTTACATGCATGCATAATATAAAAATGAAATGATTATGGCTTAATAAAAATCAATTTGTGTGTGTGTGGCCAAAATCTATTTACCTTTTAAGATAGCCAAAACTATATTATATAATCTTATTGTAATTGCGAAGTCCGAGCTCAAAATTCTCTTCGGGTATTCTTCCAAAAAAGATAATTATCTGAATAACTGTTTTATTTGAAATTCTGTTTTTATTCTTTTTTTTTGCTGAAAAAAATTCAATCTTGAGTTTTTTTCTTTTTCATTTAAATTACATAAATAATTATAATCTAATTATAAACCGCCACATGGATTAATTATCACACAATATATTTTCTATATAAAGAAATATTAATGATTATTAAGGATAGAAATTACTGTAAAAATGATCAAAATCTATGCTAGTTTTTAGGGCCAATTTGTGATAATGAAGAGTGGTGTAAGAGACTAGAAAGGATATAAAAGCTGGATAATAAAGTTACCATTATGCTTGCAAATTTCTCTTCCTTTTATAAGTTTTTGTTATATAAGTATTTAAATTTAATTTTCCAGAGCAGGTAGCTTTTTCCCTACCTCTCCTTTTAATAGAAAGATAAGCAATAATACTCTTAATTCTAGTTTTTTATAAATCTTGAGAGGAGTCCATTTTTTATGTATTTTGGAGTTTATATACTTTAATGTACTAAAAAAAGGAAAAATAGAGATAGAAAATATAATTAATTTCAGGAACAAAAGTGTATTTAGTTTTCTTACTTGTTTCTTTCTATATCATTTTTATTCTCTTAATATGATTAGGTCATTAATTTAAGTAAAACAATTGAATTGTGTAACTATTTAATGATTTATGAATAAAGAATGGGGTTTTAATGTTATTATTGTTATATAATCAAGTTACTTAGACAATTTTAAAGCTTCTGATATAATACCCAGTAGACTGAGACTGAATACCATTTCTATTAGATTGTTCAAAGTGGAATTGTTCAGGTCCAACTTCAATTTGAATTTCACCAGCAATACCAGAAGAAAGCTTGGAAGCATGAATTGCAGCTCTGCAAATAGAACTTATAGGAGAATATACATCCATTCCATAGACTTTAGCATCCGATTCAAGTCCACAATTGCTTGGACAAGAAACTAGTTCTCTTTCACCAACTGGTAATTGGAAAATAAAACTTGCAGTATCCGAGCAAGTAAGTTGCCTTGGTTTAGGAGCAGCTCCAACAACAAATGATCTTGTCTGAGGAGTATTTTCATCAAGACTGACTATATTATTCTTTCCAGCAGCTCCAGAATACTGTTTAAGTCCAGGATAAAGAGCAACTACAAACTCACCACCAGTATTGCTTATTATACCCATATGCATAGCAGCTTGACAAATTGAACTCTTAGGTGAATACACTTTATGTCCTTTTACAGGGTATCGACTTTTTGAGCATCCAGCTGGACATTGAACTCTGAATTTATTAGCTTTAGATGAGAATTTTGCATTATCTAAATTAGTGTCGCATGTAATCTGAATTGATGGATTAGTTGCATAGTTGATTCCTCCCATTTTGTAAGCAACTGGGAACTCAGATTGGCAAGAAGTAATACACTGCCTTCCATCAATTGTGTGTCTTTTACCTTTAAGTTCTCCACCTCCAAACATTCCTTTTTGATGCCAAGACTTCTCCATAGCAGATTTAACCTCATTTGGACTAAAGAATTTATCCCATATATTAACATTAGTTATTTGGCCCAAAAAGTATTCACTATCTGAGTCAGAGCTTTTACCAATTATTAGCTTAGTTTTCAGATTGAAAACAAATCCTGTAACCTTATTTGCAACTTCGTTACCATTAATATACATTACAACTCTTTTTTCATTAAAGTTATATGTAACAGTTAAGAATAACCATTCATTAATGGCAGGTGCATATGAAGTTGAGACGGTATCAGAATTACATAATTGGTCAAAATGAATAGTATTATCCCTATCAATATACAATGATATACCCAAACATTCAGTATGTGCCATAATAGTTCTCCAGGTACCTTGTCCACCAGTAATAAGAATTCTAGCAGAGATAGTAAAATCGTCCAAAGAGCTAATTCTATCACCCCCTGGTAAGTTGGTAGCATCAATATAATCATTCTTTCCTCCTCTGAATCCAGGATAATCAGTTGGACAGACCCATGAAAGTACTGGTGGGGAAATACTTGGAAGCTCTTCATTAATAAGTTGTTTACTTAAATCATTGTCAATTCTATTTACTGTTGCTGAGAGTTTTGAGATGGTGTAGGATCTTAAAGAGGCCAAATCTGAACCTCTAATTTTTGACTTGGAAGCAGTAGTTTCAACACTTCTACTTTGAATTCCATTATTAAGGCTTCCAAAATACTTTTTTTGGCCTGATACAAAAGTAATAACAACATCTCCTCCAATTTCATCAGTAATAATACCAGCGTGTATGGCTGCCTTGCATACAGGAGTATCATCAGAATAGATATAACTTCCTTTAATGTGAGAAGATGCTTTGGAACACCTTGATGGACAAGAAATTATTGCGCCAGTTCCTACTGCTCCCTTAATGCTTACAGGGCTATCATTGCACTCAAATTGGTACTTGTTGTATGGAATAGACGGTAAGATAGATGGTGACTTCTCAGATAAATAAGCACCGTTACCTGTTGGGTCTCCAGATCCTGAACAGCTTACAACAACATCTTCCTCGTGCACACAGTAAATATTACTTGATGAGAAATGTTGACAGTTAACGAGTTTTTCTTCATCTCCCTTACATGCAACATCTACCATGAGAATTTCTTCCTGTTCATTTCCACATACGTCTTCACCTCCAAAATCTTTACAGCTTTTTGTGGATGCTCCTCCATTTTTAACTCCAGAATATCCCATCTGTCTGCATGCAACTCTTTCTGAGGCACTTGTAAAACCATCGCTACAGACTGATCCCCATCCATCCATATAAACTTCAAGTCTTCCTGATCCAGTTCTTGAAGGTACACCAGAGGAATCAACAATTCTGAGAGCTCCATGCATTGTATCTTTTGGAGCAATTGAGCTACATTGTATAGCAACAGTTGTCATGCTATTGGTGGTCTTTGGTTCCTCAAACATACATTGTGCAATGTCGATTTCGTTTCCATTACATTGCAATCCAGCGACTGAAATTGGGTATCCTTTTGGAGTACAGACATTACCTCCGTTAACGTATGTGCAAGAAGGTAAGATAGATCCAAATGAATAACCTAGCTGCTTACAAGCAAGTGTAGCAGCAAGTTCGTTTGTTGTAGTTGATTCTCCCTTTAAAGAAACACTTCCCCAAATACCATTTCTTCTAACCTCAAGTCTACCAGAAGATGCCAAGTTACCTGTAGAATCAACGACTCTGACTTCTGACTGGATGAAATCGATGGAGTCACTCAAGTATGTGTAGAAGCTGAATATTTCACTGCCAGGCTTTGGAAAGAAGTCTGAAGATTCCATAGAAAATCCACCTTTTCCACCAAAATACATTGGCAAACTTGGGACTATTGTTAGGACTAATTCTCCTCCAGAAGGGGATAGGATATTGTCAAATACTGCAGACTTACAAATGGATGATGAAGCTGCATGAATTCCTGTTCCATAAATAGTGGCAAATTTTTCTGAACCACAATTTACTGGGCATTTTACTTTAAAGGTAATTGTAGTAACCGGAGCTCTTGGGACAATATCAATTGCTCTTGTATTACAGTCAATATCTTGAGCAGGAGAGTTTTCTGACCCTGATAAATTATTTGTTAGTGTTACCATCTGTGAGAATGGCTTTCCGATCCATCTTCTTACAGTAAAGTCCATGCTTTCGCCATCTTCTGACTGAATTCTAACGTATTCACAGTACCATGGGTCATCCAGTGCAGTGTTTGTTAAGCTGATCTCTTTAATTCTGCCAACATCTGCTGCTCTGAATAGCATCCTTCTCAAAGTTGATGAGTAGAATCCTTGCTTAAGCAAAATCTTATCACTTTGACCTGCATCTCCAGAAATGCTGATTTCTACTCCGCCTCTTGTTCCTGCCTCACCACTCTTTCCTGTCATAATACTTGCGGTATATAATTTATTTCCAGTTACTCCGTAGGTTAATGAACGATGCTGAGGCGTGAGCTCTCCATTACATGAAAATACCCAGTATCTATAATCTTTAATAACTGTAATCTTTAAACACTTCCAAGTTGTATTACTCTTTAAGAATATTCCGACTTGTTGTGGAGCTCCAATATCTAATTGTTTTGTGTCTAAAGACCTTACAGTACCTGTTACTGACGATGAAATTGGAATTGGGGATGTCTGTGTATCATCTCCTCCATATAAAACTATATCGACTTCACTTCTTAGATCAAATCCAGAAGCCACTACTGGAACCACTTCAATGGTATACTCCGCTTCATTGCTTGGAGGTGCACATTCCGCAAAATCTGCAAAACCATCTAATGGAACTGCTCTACAATAATCCCTAGAAACATGTTTTTCTCCAGATAATCCTTCTGAGCTTACAGTCCCAATTAGATACAGTATTATAATCCATGCAAAAGTCTTAATAGTAATGCTCACTCTCTTTTTTCCATATTCCGTTTTTCTTTGAGCAGCACTCATTCTCTCGTCAATTACTCTTAACCCTAATTTTTGTAAACAAAGAGTGAATTTCTTCTTTTTTCTTTTTAATTCCCTTTCACTCCCCTTTTTCTTTAATACTCTAAATTTAAAGAAAAAAAAGTTAATAAAAGTTCATGCAATTTTTTGGGTTGACTTGTACTATTCTAGAAAATTCATTCTATACAAATTATTTGCAATTATTATTTTTTTACACATGCATGCACATTAGTAATACACCGGTACTAAATTGTTATCCACATAACATAATGACTAAAAAAAAAAAATAGCAGCCATGCATGCAATAAAATAAAATACATGTAAAAAAAAATTGTGAAATTTAGATAAATTTTGTCAAATTTCATAATTATAAATTATTTTCATATTTTGCAGACTAATCTGGTTAAAAATTGAGGCAGAGTGCAAATATTGAAATTATAAAAATTTGAATGGCTCTTCTATTCAAAACTCTCACTGACTATAATTACCCTTATAAATATTTTCTTTTTAAATGTCAAATCAGAAAAAAATGAAATATTGGCGGGCACATATGGCGCCTAGTCGCGTCATTTTGACATGCTTTGTGATGCTGATTAACATATGAGAACAAGTTTTGTGAAAAATAACCAAATAAAAATAAAAGCTAACCTACGAAAGTTGAGAGATTGATTGGTTGAGTATAGATATCAAATATAACAATATTTATATATTTATTCTATTTAATTCTGCAAAAGTTAGTGTGTGAAAGTAATAAGGTAACTGAATGCATTCTAGTATTATAAGTATAATAAATATCTATTAAAAACAAAATTAAAAATAAATCAATACAAGATCAAAAAGGACTCTAAAAATGTCAGTTACAACGGCATCTAAACCTCAGTTCGATGCTTTCAGAGATGAGTATTCTTTTTCAGAAGGACTATCATTTGACTCATTTATATTAGTCAATGATCCAAGATGCAGAAAACCGCCACAAAGAATAATCAAAGAAGAACCACTCACTCCTATACAGCTGTTTTTAAGGCCATTTATGCAATGTTGTGCTCCAAGAAACAGAGGTGGGAAAAAAATTAAAATTAATATTTCATCATATTCCACAACTACAAGAACAAGTGTTTCAAGTATTAAAATACCAAATAATTTTAGAATTGATGAATTTGAAACGACAAATTTGGAAACTCTCTCAAAGCAAAGTAAAAACATTCTTTGGTATATTATAGTCCCTTATGAATACGGTATACCCATGATCACAGAAACACAAAGACAATATGCTTGTTTATTATGGGGCGTTAAAAATGAATACGGTTCAGTTACTACAGAAAAAAGCATTCAAAAAATATTCCAAATTGCCAGTGAAAGAAGAGATAATTCTGATTTAGTTAAGGAGTATAAGTCAAACCCTGATTTACAAATATTAAAACTACATAGGGATGGACTTTCTGTCACAGCTGATGAAGCGTTTAATGAAATCCTTAGCTATTATTCACCAAAGTACTCTATTCTTGCAATCATTTCAAGAGGAAGATGTTTTGCATTCTACTCTAAAGCAAGCGAAGATAACAACAATGTTACATATATGTTGTTTGATGCATCTTCCAAATATGAAAATGGCCCAAAAGTTTTTGGATTTAAAAATATGAATAGTCTTAAGGAACATGTTTTAAGTGAATTTAGCCGTGATCATGAAACAAGATTAAAGGTCTCAGAAGGATTCAAAGTTACAGTTTTTCAGGGTAGAGTAATGTGGAATACTGAATTCGATTTGCCTAATACAATTATTAAAAAGGACTATAAGGAAAAAAATGAAGCCATGATAAGGTTAGGGAGGCTTAATGATCCCAAATTTGATGCTAAAGTTGTATATGGGGAACTTCAAAAAGCTACTACAAGGCCAACTGATCAAGATTACTTCTTTACATATCAAAATAACATGATGAAGATTATTAGATAACTAATAATCAGTATTTTGAGTTAATTATTATAGCAATCCAAGAGGAAGATTTACATTCACCATTAATATTTTTTATATTCATATTTATCTCACTCAATTCCCCACCAACATTGCTTCTTATTACTTCTTCTACTCCATTCTTTAAAATGACTGTACATAGTGAGTCACCTGGTGATATTTTTATATTCCTATTCATTATCCCATTTGTATTTACATTTGATATTATTTCTTCAGTAAATTGAATACTTTCAAACGATTGGTTCTCGGGTGTATTCGGAAATGAAAAGAAAATAATTGAGACTCTAATAAATTTTTAGAGATTTTATTATTTAAGCTGAAAATAAAGTAAACAAATATTTAGTAATATTCATAACATACCCATTTAAGTGAGTCTGTATTGTGGTATTCTCAAACTCTCTGGAAGAGTAATATTTCTGAATTGTATCCGAAATAAACTGATCCAATAAACATTTACTTTCCTTTTCCTAAACTTACCTCCCTTAAAAAATCCATCACCTGAGTCATATATTGCTCAATTCATTATTGTATCATTTCATGTGCATATTCTGACTATCATGTTCCCGCCTAACAAATTTTACATTCAATGGGGAAAGGACAGAAATTACTTAAGTAAATATAATTGATTAGAAACATACTAGAACTTGATCGGATGCCTGGGACCTCTGAGGAATTCAATTCTGGTGAAAGAGAGTCTGTTGGTCAAGTTAATGTGACTTTCGAGGGATTAAATAATATAAGTAAGTTAGAAACGGTGAAAATTTGTCATGCTAATAATTACCACTCGAATTTTTGCATTTGTTTAACTTATTGCTTTTTATTCATTAGGTCCAATACTTTTAAAAAGCTATAAATATGTGTTTCAGGGAGAACATGATTTAAACAATATTATTAGGAAGGCTAATAGTGTACAAGAAGAACTTTCCTCGTTAGATGCCTTCTCATCAGTTTCCCATAATGTGAGTCCAAATACGAATAATCCTTTAGATATTGATATAGTATTCAAACTAAGGGAAAGTAAGAAGAGATACACATTGGGAAGTACGATCAACAAACAAGGAAAAATAGGCTTTGAAGCCTCGGCATTTTTCCCAAACTTACTAGGGACATTAAGTACGAGCAAATTTAGCGTGGAAACATTTGGAAGCAATTCTAGAGAGCTAAATATAAGTCATTTCACACCCAGAATATTCTCTTCTAATATTAATATGGTATACAGTCTCTCAAAGTCAACTGTAGATTATAGCAAAAGCTCTGCTTATACAGAAAGCTCCTTTGGAGGTTTAGTCAGGTTTTCTGACCCAAATAATCGTCACAACTTTACCATAGAATCCAGAATTAGAGAATTCCCTAGATCACTACATGAACAAATCGGAGAAGGGCCGCAAGAATATGGTGTTACCACTTCAAGTAAACTTTTTGATCATCAAAGTATTCAAACTCTTAAAAATAGCCTTTGCTACTCATGGAACCAAATCAAAAGCAATAATTATAATGAAAAAGAGGAGAATCTCTCCAGAACTGAAACTAAAAGATTCGAAATTGTTCCATTTAAAATTCATAGTAAAAAAACTATTCAACAACTCAGCTTTGAGCTTGCAGGGTTTAATGGAGACGTAAGCTTCATCAAAACACAAGGTTTCTATACATGGAGCTCCAAGTTCTCCAGGATAAGAGGTTGCACCAATTTCTTTAAAAATCCCAGTATAGACTTTTCTCTTGGATTTGGTGCTCTATTGCCTAACTTGATTAATAGGTCTATCTTTAAAGCTTCCATGCATGACAAATTCTTTTTAGGCGGTAACTGTGGGGCGCACTACTGTTTGCCTGGGTTTGCGCCAAGGTCTGTGGGGACATGCAAACATATTATTGGAGTACAAGGTAAAGGAAAAAATCCCACGATTGGTGAAAATAGAGGGAGTGTGTGTTTAGGAGGGGACGCATTTGTTTCATCAGAGTTAAAGATTTCTCACCCTTTAGATCTGAGCGGAATGGGAACGGATGTGAAACCCAATCTACAAGCTTTTATAAGTAGTGCAGTGGTTCTTGACAAAAATGATTATAACAAGAAAAAGCAATTATTAGGAAAATTTATACAGAATATTAGGGCGGCAACTGGATTTGGCTTTTCAGTTCCGTTAGGTCCAGCTGACTTAAGTCTTCTATTTTCAGCCCCAATAAAGCATCTCCATACAGATATGCTTGAGGGATTCCAGCTAGGTATGAGAATGACTTATACTCCATTATAGTGACAAAATTTGGTTAATTTGGGCTTAAAAACCAAATAATACCTTTCTTTCGAGTAGAACTAAGGTGTAATTTAAATTTAGAAAAAAAAAATGATTTAAGCTAGGTTAAGTTAGATCAAATTCATTATTTTCTGCCTTCTCCATCAGGTTCATGGCTATTCTTGCCAAGTTCTTTTTAATAATAGAAAGGAAATGTACCTTCCAGTCATCTACGGGATATATGTTATTGTATTCTTCAATCAAGCCGGTAAACTCCTCGACAAATTTGTTTTTGTCTAGATCATCATTTTCCTCTCCAATTGAATTCTGTCTCCTCTCCATTATATCCAGAATGGAACGGCAAAGCTTTCCCTGAGGGGATGTGCAAAAGCTCTGATCGATGGATGAGTACTTTTCCCATTTAATTTGAGCATCTACGCTGTCCTCCAAAGACAGAATGATCAGAAAAGCTTTGAACAGATACTCCTTTGCATTGTATTTAATCAAAGAATTACTTAAAGCCTTTTTTGCCTCCTTCTCATATATCTCAACTGCCTCAAGAAGTCCACTAACTCCTGGAGCATCTTTACCAAACTTTGAAACTGAATGATCCAAAGACTCATTACTAGAAAGAGAGAAGTTATCTGCATACTTTAAAATACAGGAAGAGTAGGCTGTTTTGCTGTATTCATCCATGTCAAACATATCTGCAGCCTTTTTATAGTATTCACAACATTCAACATACTGGAAATCACTTTCTAAGGACTCTGCAATGCTCTTGTAAAGCTTTCCACTCTGGCTGAATCTCCCATTCTTGTTGTAAAGATCTACTGCCTTTAAAAAGTAAGGGATGGCTTTTTGCAAATCGGACCTCTTCATTATATTACCACACTCAGTGTAATAATTGGAAGCTGTGACCAAGTCATTCTGCTTTAAAGAAAGTTCTGCCGCTTTGCTAAAGCACTCACAACCTTCCATCCAAGCCTTCAAAATCTTGAACTTATTTCCTGCTTCAATGTACAGCTGTATTGCCCCATCGTAGTCCGGGCCTCCTGATAACAAGGACGAAAAGAATCCTGTAGAACCTTTTCCTGCCTTTTCTGCCCTTCTAAATAGTTCCTGAGCTTCTTCCATCTTGAATTGTCAAAAGGTAAAGCTTGGAAACCAACACTATTTTCTTATACCGTCCTTCAGTTGACTTTCTCCTACAACCTCTTACCTTACTACCCCTAATAATAGTGCATAGCTCCCACAAATCAAATGTACCGCCAAAAGGCGCCAACTCTTTTTTTCTATGGGTCATTCAAGTTACTAGTAGAAAGGTGGAATTAAGAGCAAGGTGGGTAAAGTTAATACATAGCTCTGGAAATGCAAAGTTATTTTCTTTTAGAATGCCCAGAAGAGCCAATTGGCTCTATAGATGTCATAAATAGTCACTGCAGGCAAGATATTCTGGGCCATAGTGAAGGGTGCTTGTTGGCATTGACTTGTTGGAACAAGAGTGTGAGGCTTTACGATCCTCAGATACCTTATGAGATGAACTTAAACGATAACTTTAAATATAACTCTGCCAATGAAACTTTGGAACGGCCTGATGTATTGCAAAGTACCTCAGCCACAGCGCAGAGTCCAAAATACATTTCCACTGGCAAGTGCATACAAAGTATTCAGTGCGAGTATATTTACCTTGCATGTAAATTTAAGGACGACTCAACCATATTTCTTGGAGGTTTTAACGAAGCTGTGGATTTCATTGACCTACAAGACTCTCTTTATAGCCCAAGAAAGTTAGTTGGGCATTTGGCTCCTGTAAGGTGTCTATCTTTGCTGGAAAAGAATTCAATACTAGCCAGTGGAGACTGGGATGGAGAGGTCAAACTGACCAGCATTAATGGAGGTAATTTTGGGTCTCAAGTTTCAAGAATATCAGTTCCAGGTAAAGTTTTCTGTATGGATTATTCATATAATGAAGAATGGCTTTTGGTTGGAGACTCTTTAAAAAACATGAACTTAATCAACTTGCGAAAGCTTTCATCTGGCATAGAAGCCACACCACCAACTGAAATTATCCCTAACTTTATGAAGTACCAAATGCGTAGTATCTGTGCAAACAGACACAAAGATGTGTTTGCCACAAGTTCTATAGAAGGAAGGGTACAGATTACAAGTGTAGATAAAGCCTTAAAGGGTGAAATTAACAATAAAGAGTGCCCTAAAGATAATTATGCATTCAAGTGTCACAGAACTAAGGACAACTCCATGATGACTGAAACTATCTATCCTGTCAACAGTGTTTGCTTTCATCCTCAATTTGAAAATGTCCTGGCTACAGGTGGAAGTGATACAAGTGTTTTTCTATGGGACATAAGTGCAAAAAAACGACTCTGGAGGAATTCAAACTTCCAACTAGTTGACTCAGAGAAAAATCTCATTCGAACATGTAACGAAGGTGTATCATCCTTAAAATTCCATCCAACTCTTCCTTACTTAATTTCTTCATGTTGCGACACTTTTGACCAGTCCTGCAGATTTAGCTCCGAAACCAGAGACCAGGTCAAAGGTGGGCCCAACTCTACTCCAGCTCAGAGGTCTTCCATAATCTTCCATTCTGTTCATGGAGTCAAACCCTTGGAATAGTTATTCTGTTATAAACGTACTCGTTTTTCAGGCTTCTTTTTTTTTTTGTTTTAAATTCTGAAAATTTCGCATGAACTCTAATCTGTATATGATTTCGATAAATTCCCTTGTTTCAAAGTTTACCTTTTTTTTTGTTAAAACCCCTCTTTAATATAAATTCTATTCAACCTAATGTTTTTTCTCAGTAAAGCATACTATCTATCCTGATTTGAATAATAACACTGCAATTTGGCCCATATAAAAGTAAATAAAGTGTCTGGTTTCGTGCGTTACGTAAGAACCAAAATTACGGCCAACTACACAGTGCCATGTTGGATTATATTTTCTGTCAAACTCCTTTTTTATATATGCTGCTATATCTTTTTCCACATTATGTCGCTCAAGAGCTGCAGCAGCGCATGAAATTGCGTCCTGTTGCATCTCGTCAGACATATCTGCATTTTTTATAACAGCCTTTTTTTCACTCATCGTTATTTATTCTCAATTCTAATATCCAAATTCTTTTTTTTTTCTGGCTTTCCGGTCTTTACAAAATTTTCCCTGTAATATTTACATACACAGATCTAAATTACAGACGTAAGGTGGGGATGTTTTGGCGCCTATTTTATTGAAATTATTTTATTAATTCCAAATTTGGACATTATATTCTTTTTTTTTCTACAGCTTTAACTCTTTCTGAAATCCTACAAATTCATATAGACATTAAATAGTAGATACCTATCCTAGTGAGCAAATATAATTAGTTGTTTAAATATTGCTTTTTTCATGCCCCACTAATTTAATTTAGTTTTGCCATATTATCCAACCTGCCAGTTTAGCTTAATGACTCTAAACTACTTCTAAGATAAATATGCCTATCAAATATTTATTGCTATAATTTCACAGAAAACGTTTTTCTACCTTAATACACCATCTTCACTCTCCTATTGTTTTCTCTCATCACAATCTTCTATATAAACTTTCAAATACTCACTCACCCTACCTAGATTAAAGTAAAATCCATCCATTTAGACCTCCATTCCGGTCTAAAGTTGTTTTTGCATGAACATGCGCATGTGGACTTAAAAACTTGGACAAAATACCACGAAATGTGGGGAAGAAAGTCAGAGCAATTAATATTTCCCGCCAATTTAGAGTCTAATATAGCATAAGCAATCATTTGAAAAGGTAAAGATTAATGGTTGAAATACCAATAAAGTCGATAGTATGTGTGGAAATTCCAGGTAAAGTGGAGAATTTGGATAATGCAATATTTGCTTTAGGAGGTATGGAAGGGATAGAGGAGTCAATAAATACAAAAACTTCAATAAAGTTATTATTTTGCCGAGAAGATCCATATAATCGTCCTATTTGCTCAGATTTCATGAAAAGAACAGGAATACTTCTTCGAAAATTAAAGTATTCAGATGGAAAAATAGAGTGGAGGGTGATAGGAGACGTTTCTCTTGTTCACCAATTCACCCAAATGGCGGATTTCTATTTTATTCCTCCTCCAGGTTTCAGAGATAAAAAAACAATACACGAAGAGATTAACGAAGAAATTGTCGGTACTCCATTTATTCCGCCAGCAGTATTTTCAAAAGTGACTCATCCTGTCAGTATTAAATGGACAAGCACTAATGGTAATTTTGACAAATCTACAAATACCAATAATATTACGACTAGTTTAGCACAAGATACAGTAGGGTCTTTAGTATCGGGCTCTCAGGGAGAGCCAAGAGATAATGATGTAGAAATGATGGATGCAACAGAAGAACAGGAAGAGCAGATAAAGAGTGAAGGACAACAGTACTGGAACGTAGTATTTAAATATTCAGATAGTACAGTTCCAAGTATGCCACTAAAAATATCTACTAGTATAAATCTCGACAAACAAGCACTAAATACTCTGAGAGAGTTATTTAAGGAACAGCCATTATGGTTGAGGCCAGTGATAGAATCTAAAATCTCTTCAGAAATTTCGTCTTGGAAAAAAAAGTTGCTGTTTACACAGGTTTGCTATAATATTAGTGACGGGCCATGGAGGGCATGTCTTTGTAGACTAGGCTATGACCCCAGAAATGATCCAGAGTCAAGAATATACCAGACTCTGGATTTCAGAGATCCATATCTTAGAAAGGTTCTGAAAGAAAAGAGAATTGGGATCAACGTTAAAGCTGAGGAAGATTTAGGAGAAACTGTTTTGGACTGGCAATTTAAGGTACCTCCTAAAAGGGGATCACAGCTTTATCAACTTTCCAATATTGAGGACAACCACATTAAAAAAATAATCAAAGAAGCTGTTCCTTTGGAATCGTGTACAAGGGAATCAGGTTGGTTTAAAAAGTCTGTTATTGACCAGATCAGAGAGTTGCTATCCCTTAAATGTGAACAAATGAGGCGGCTTGATAATAGCTAACTACCGTTCTTGCCTTCCCCAAATTTTAACCCATATTCTCCCTGTTTCATCTACATTAATAATAAGCAATGGTATACATAATACACAAAAAAAATGTGATTTAGGCTTTAGTTGAGTTAATTTCCATAGAAACACTATTCTGATTTATGCTTTTTGTATTTCTTCTTGAGGCAAATTCCACTCCAGAGAAACAACCAGAATCAGATTTCTTTAGTGTGGATGTAGATGTTGGTCTAGTTAAGGTTTCTGAACTATCTAGCTTTTGAGAACTAATAGCATTCATTGATGAGGTTATTTGAAGTTGTGAGTTGGATGTTGATTGCATTGGGTTTGAAGAGGATGTGGATATTGATGTTGCTGAAGTCATAGTCGCTCCAGAAATCTTTCCTGGAGAAACCACTAAATTCGAATTTGGAGTGGAATTAGAATTCGAAATTGATACCTGTGGCTGATCAGGTATCATCAAATTATTAGTTGGGATTTCACCATTAACCATATTATCATAATGAGAATACACAAAAGAGAAAAAGCTCCCAATTGCATAATTATATTTGGAGATAATATTCAGTGACATTTCATGACTTCTTGTTAAAAATTGCTGAAGTTCCTGTTGGACGTCGTCATCAATCCTAGTAAACTCATCTAAAGCGTCTCCACACTTTCTTTGGGTTCTATCCAACTTGGCGTTATCACTCAAAGAAATACTCTTTCCAGAATTCATTCTCTGTTGGCGCTTCTTTAGTTTCTTTTCGTAGTGGATTCTTTCAGAGTATGCAACTCTTCTCTTTATTAGACGCTTTTGAATGCTATTTACATTTAGAACCATTTCTTGGATCAAGATTTTTACCTGATCACAATCTACATTAAAATGTTCTCTTGCTGTTGATAAACCACCCATGCATTCCATAGCATTCATTAAGCTTCCATACTCAATTGCTTCTTGGGGAAACAAATTTCCAATTCCATTCAAAATTACTTCTCTTGAATAACACAAATTTGTCACACATGTAATGCTTTTATCTACAGCCACCTGCATCTTTTTTGCAAATTTCAATACATTGTCTAATTCTCCAGTTAAAGATTCTAATGGATCGTTTGCAATCTTTTTAACGTAAAAAATCTGAGTGAAAAACAGTTATTTAGTTGTTGATTTAAATATTTGGACTTATGACCAGTTTTATCCAGAAAACACGGTCATTTCCCACTTTCTCATAAACTTACCTTCCTTAAAAACTTCATCATCTTTCTTAAAATTATACTCAATAAACGGTATTTATAACTTTAACTTTATTCTTTTTTTCTCAATAAGTAAAAAAAATATCGTACATTCAGCTTGACCGTTTTTTTTCTGCTTTTCTCCTCTTATATTTACCTTATGAGCCAAAATTTTGGCGGGAAAACTGGTTTTTCTCCCCTATCCCCCAATTGAATATTCGGAGTAAAAATTTCACAAACTAATTAATATAACAAAAAACATTTAAAAGAGAGATTAGAGATTGTTAAGAAGGAAGAAGTAAACGATGACTTACGGAGATCAAAGAGTAAGAAAGAGAGTGAGAAAAACAAATGAGCTTTTAATCTATAGATCTAATTACCTGAATTCCAACTTTTAAAGTTCTATAATACTTATTTAGTTTACTTTTTTTCTTAGAACTTTGCATGCATACCCACTTTTTTATATAAATTTCCCCATCAGAAATCTGTTATTTTTATATTTACCATGTCGGGCGCCAAACTCAAAAATTAAGTATTTGTTATTTAAAAAACTGCACATATTTATGTGAATGGGTTTCTTATTCCAAATGGAAATTTGTTAGACGATGTCCCTGTATGATCAGTAACAGACTGATTATTTTTTTCCTCTTGATCATGTTCAATGAGTGCAAGATTTGAGCAAGTAGAGGCCATACGGTCAAAAAGTGTTGAAAGATGTCTGGTAACTTTGTCAAGTCCATCACCAGCTTGACATAGGAGTTCTGGGAGGAGTTTGACATAATTTGGAATTTTTCCAACGTTTAGAACCATGCAAAACTCATCAGCAAAGGTTAAACAATTTCTTCTAAATATATTATAATCTGAACCGGGCCATAAAGGTTTCATTTCACTAATAATTCGTTTAATATCTCCTCTGGAGAAGTTAGTTCTACCCATTTTAACACTTTCCCTATAAATATGTATAGGATGCCTTCTCGGGAGATTTACTGTGACACCACTACTACCATCATTAGTTGCTCCATAGCAATACTCTACTCCATAAACTTCGATTCCTGCATGGAAGGCTCCCAGTTCGAATGCTCTGGTGAATCTATTAATACTTCCACTAACTGCATCTAAATCATATACATTCAGAATTACCATATTGCTTCCTAAATCCCTGTCAAAATCTTCTTCTCTTGAAGTTAATGAAGATCTTGTAGTTTCTGTGTATGAATAATTACCTTTTCTGTGTAAGTCAGAACAAGTCATGTGCCTTCTTACATTTGATCCTGAGATATTTTCCATTTGGTCAAAATAGTCCACATGTCTTCTTATATTTGATCTATTTGGAATTTTATTAAATCCTGTATTCGTGTCCATGTTTTAGTAATTATTGGTAAAAATCAAGGAGCTGAAATATTTTAACAGTAATTAGAAAAGTAATAGTTTATTTTAATGAGGTTGATAATTTAGGAGAAACAACTAAAACTTTAGGATTTGTTTACCCATTAATTCTTGATATTTCCCTTATGTTCTTCTAGAATGTATATTATGGCTTAGATTAGTATACAAAAATACAAATATTTTTGTTTTTATGATGATTTTTATTGTTACTATTATGTTTTTTTTAATTCAATTTCTTCTTTTATTACTTTTTGCCCTTGTGGCTTCCCAATTAATTAAATTTTTTAAAAACATGAAACCCACATTAGGCGCCATAATGTGCGTACCTATTATATTTAATTGGCATGTTTATATACTTAAAGTAAAATAAAAAAGTGGAGAGGGAGAGTGAAAGAAAGAGAAAGAGAAGGAGAAAGAGAGTAATCGATTTATGGAAAAGAAAAGGGATTTGAATTATTTATTATTTCATTAGTTTTGTTTGGTTAATTTTGAGTAGGTTTAGATTCTAATAGGCAAAAAAGTATTAATAGCATGCTGAAGAAATTGAGTAAGGAGGACCAGGATAGAATATGTAGTCAACAAGTAATCACTGAATTACGAGATTGCATTAAAGAGTTAGTAGATAATGCGATTGATGCTGAATGCACAGAGATCTTAATTTCTCTTACTGATTTTGGTTCGTCCACAATAGAGGTTTTGGATAATGGAAAAGGTATAGAAGAGTTGAATCAAATAGGAGAAAGAGGAGCCACATCCAAATTAGAAAGTTTTGATCACATTAACGAAAGTTTGAGTACTTTGGGATTTAGAGGGGAAGGTTTGAATTCTATAATTAATAGTTGTGAAATTGTGGAAATTGATTCAAAATATGGTAATGAAGAAAATAAGGTCGTGTTTGAACAAGGAAAATGTCAAATCATAAATTTAGATGAAAAAGATCAAGGGACTAATCAATTTCATAAATACCATTTTTCTGGAAAATCAGGAACAAGAGTCAAAATTGTTGGTCTTTTCCTCCCTTATATTTCAAGAAGGTCTCAATTTTTAAAAAATTTAAGATTACAGCTTAAGTCACTAATAGTATTAATAGAAGAATATGCAATATGTTATCCAATGATAAGGTTTCTACTTTCTAATAAAATACTTTCAGATGTTGAGAGAGAAAAGATTCATAAAAGATTAGTTGGTAGTGAAATTAAACATCAGAGTAATCAAATTCAATCTCAATTAATAATGACAAGGGGCAAAGTATCCAGTCAAAAAGAGGTTGCTCAGTATATATGGGGAAAATCTGTACTTGGAAATTCTTTAGATTTTAAACTTGAGGGAGAAGTTTTTATTCCAAAGTTGCAAAAATTTGCTTCTAAAGTTGAAGAAGAGTCTTCTCCTTCTAATCAAGCGTTAGTTGGAGGAAAATGGATAATTACAGGTTTCATATCGTCTTTAGATAAAGGGAGACCATCTCCAGATCATCAAATATTCACTGTTAATAGTAGGCCAGTAGATTCCATTAAAAGAATTTCTCGGGTGATTTCATCAATACATTCAACTTTATCATCATTTAACAGTAGAAAACTTTATCCTGCTTTTGTCATTAATATTCAGCTTCCCCAAGCTTTACTTGATATAAATGTTACTCCAAATAAGAGGATAATCATGCTTCCAGCAAAGGTTGAGACTATAATAGCTGAAAGTATTCAACAATTTTTACAGGACTCCTACCAAAATAATATTCCTATAAAAAGAGAATCTATTGGTAGCCAGAGTCTGTTAAATTTTTCATCCAAATACCAAGATACCCATTCTACAGAAACTATTCAATCTCAACCCAGTCAAAAAAAGTTTACTGATTGCATAACAACTTCTACACCCTCCCTACAATCTGACACTTTAGCAGACTCTTTGCATTTTGGAAGCAATAAAGAAGATCGGAATGAAGAGAATTCATCTTCTTCGGAGTCAGAACTAGAGCCTGGAAAGGTTCCAAAATCTATTGGAATTAAAAGGCAATGCCTGGGTGTATCTATGAGAGAATTCAATTTAGATGACTCTTTGACTAACAAAAAGAAGGAAACAAATATCGGAAAGCCATGTTTGTCCTCCTTTCAAGAGTACATCCCAACTGGTAGTAAATTCATAGACGAGGACAATAATAATGGCGTGGGTAAGGATAAGGATAAAGACGAGAACGAGAACAGGGACGAGGATAAGTACAAGGAAAAGGAAAAGGAAAAGGAAAAGGAAAAGGACGAGGACAAGGACAAGGACAATGACAAGGACAATGACAATGACAAGGACAAAAACAAAAACAAAAACAAAGACAGCAACAGGGACAGCAACAGGGACAGAGACAGGGATTTCGGAAAGCCAGATATCTTGGGTCAAGGAGTTTCTGTGAATCCAATAAAAATTCGGTTGAAAAATAACATCCCAGTGGAATCAATTATTGAGCTTAGGTATAATAAGGCAGAACAAGAGGCAATTTGGAGTTGCAGAAAAAATCTTTATCCACGTTTTGGTAGAAGATCTAATCAAGAGAAGGTACCCAGTGCCAGTAAGTATCTTCCTAATGAGGATATTACTCAGACCATTAATAAACATGAAAAGAGAAGTGGAGTTTCAGAATTACTAGATTATCAGGATGATGGAGCTAGCCATAGCTTTAACTTTAAAAAGCATCTTTTTGCTCAGCTACAGGTAATTGGGCAATTTAACAAGGGATTCATATTAACAAAACTATCTGTTGTGCAAGGCCAAGATCAAGAGGAAATACATGAGAAAAAAGAAAAAGAGACGGAATCAATACATATATTCATCATAGATCAACATGCCTCTGATGAGAAAGCTCGGTTTGAAAAGTTAAATAATGATTTAAGCAACATCCAAACTCAAAAACTGATTACTCCATTGGCTATTTCGTTATCTCCCTCTCAGGAGCAGTTAGTAATCAGCTATAAAGACATATTTGAGAAAAATGGTTTTAGATTTATTTTTAATCAAAATTCTGAAATTGGATCTAGAATTCAACTTACTCAGTTACCCGTAGTTCTTGGGATTCCATTAAAACAGATAGATTTTTTAGATCTTCTTTCCCAAATTAATAAATACAAGGTTAGGGTATCTACGGAATATAAGTCTTTAGATTTCCAAGAACCTTCTAGTATTATTAACAAAGAAATAAGAGGAAAAAAAAAATTAGAAAACAATAATCAAATGAATGAGGATGAAGATGAAGATGAAGAGGAAGACTCCATTTCAATTTTAACAGAAGGCCAGGATAATAATAGTGTTACACTATGGTGTCCGTCAGGACTCGTTCCTAGGCCGAGAAAAATCTGGTCAATCCTTGCATCCAAGTAAGTTTTTCTAATTTTAAATTATTTAAAACTTGATTAATACTCATTTTTTTTGTTCTTTTTAGAGCCTGTAGGAGCGCTGTCATGATTGGGGATGACCTTAATCTCCCCAAGATGAAAAGTATTGTCAGAACTATGAGTACTTTAAAGTCTCCTTGGAACTGTCCTCATGGTAGACCATCCATTAGACATCTAGGATACTTTTCAACTCTCTAATTCACCTAGATCAAATTTGAGCTAAAAAAGTACATAACGTATTAAAAAAAAAAAATATTTTTCATAAATATCTTAAGAAAGAAACCCACAAACCAGATTATTTGTATCTGCATGTATTTATTTAGTTAAGCTATTAAGGAAAGCAAACCCGCCAATAACAAAAAAAAAAAAAAAA